TAGGCTCTAGATATCTTATTAATATTCTTTGATTTTTCAACAATTGTCACCGAGGGATTTAGCTCACGGAAATATTTTGCTTTGTTTTAACTAATTAGAGTATATTATTCTAAGATAGAGTATAGTTCAAACCTACGGGCCAAGATATCAACTTTCAAACCTTTAACTTATAATTCTGTATGGTTTATTTACGTTTTTAGAGCAAAAAACGTCAGCACATTGGACACATCTAAGCAAAAGCTGAAATATTGATGGTTTTAGCTATTCTAACATATTCCAATGCAGGAACAATCTTGGGGACATCAAATTTAAAAGTTGTCTAAATAGTTAAAATCTTTATAAAGCTAGCTGCCTATGTTTCAACCTTCAATAGGAACAATTCTTTTAATCAAATAATAGACGCTGAAGACTCTTGAATTTAGATTTTTGACACATAAAAATACATGAAAGAGAAGACTATAATTATACTGAAATAATTATATTGGAAGTCTATTAAAAATCAATAGATTATTTTTCAAATCTTTAGCAAAATTTCATGTGATTTAAATAGCATTTTTTGATCAATTAAATTATTTCGGACTGTTTAATTAAGAATCATAACAAATTTTATTTCTAGCACCCAAATTTTCTTTTTTCATAGTTTTTTAAATATATCTTCTCTTCATTATTTAGTCAAAAAATCATAACAAATTATATTCTTTGAGAATAATTTTTAAATTTAATCTGATCTTATTTTACATCCCTATGATCAACTTAATTTTTTTATTATTTTTGAGCCTTTTATCAAATTATAAATAATATATTTTTACTAAAAGTATTTCTAAAAAATCTAAAAATTAATATTTTCTACTTTTATAGATTTAAAATTTGCTTGATATATTATACAACTATTAGATCATATCAAAATTTAGTATTATTTTTGGGGATGTATTAAATAATACTTTGTATTTTTTATTTTTCTCTTAGAGTACATAAAAAAATTAGTGTATGTTTCTATTTTGTTCATTGTAGATAAGAAAAGAGAGAACAATGAGATCAGAAATCAAAGATGAGATCAGATCCAAAAAGGAGGGTAACTTATCATCATTTTTTTCCTAGAAATTCTTCTTAAAATTATAGATAGTGAGTCAAGATATTCATATGATTATTGCATGCCCAATCAATGTCAAACCTTCACATATGATCATAGCCCATTCAATTAAATGTTTCATCCTAGCTTTGGAGTTCAATCTAGTCAAATGGATGATACTTTGCATGATATAAATAATTATGGAGAGATATATCATATGAATGAGAGAGGATGAAGAGTGTTGGCTATATAGCTGAAAATGTAGCTATCATATAAGCTAGACTATATAGCTGAAAATGTAGAACAACCTAAGGAGCAAAATACTCAACGGATCTAATTTTTCAATCTATTATAAAAAACTTGAGAATTAGTCAGAAATTTCAAAAAATACTTATTGATCAACTAATAGACATTAAGAACGAACATAGTGCTTCTAATAATCAAAAAAATTCCTCACCTATTAGAGAGCTGTAATATTAAATCAATTTTCATATCCTCAATGTGATGATGTTGATGCATCTTCTTGTCCTTTGGAAACATATGCCCCTAAGTATCAATATTTCAGAGATAACATGGAAAAAGTAGATAAGTCATTAGGAGGAAAGGAGAATATTAAGGTTGAAATATAGTAACAGAAAATTTGAGTAAAATCATTTATTATTCACAATTGATGGAGGAATATAGTGAGTATGCTGAGAAGGACAAACCTCTAAATAAAGAACTAATACCTGATTATAGAAAAAATATCTAAATTTTAGTAGGAGAGAGTAAGGATAGAAAGAAAGAAAGATAGAGAAAAAATCAATTGATTGGGGAGATGTACGCCATGAAATTAATAAATCTATTTAGTATTTTATAGTAATGAATGTTGATAATTAGGATGATGATATGTATCATATAGAAAAGTATTTAGAAAAAGAGTTGACTCAATTAATAGAAAAAAATAAAAATGAGGAATATGAACATCTAGATAATTTAGGGAGAAATTTTTGAATTTTAATGAATTCATTAGATCTAAGATTGAAATACATAATTCTTCTATCCTTTAGAACTCACAGCCCATTAAAATTGAATCTAAGCTTGAATTATTTCATTCCTCACAAGTTGAATAAATATGTAAAAAAGATAAAATAGAGTAAAAGTGGATTAGTAGATAAAATAATACTTTGATAAATAGGTGAGTAGAGAAATTAAATATATCCTTTTGGATTAAAATGACTAGGTTGTGCAAGAGCTAATTCTAAAATTATATGGCCATATCATATTGTGTCATAAAATATTTACTAAAGAATGAGAGTCTTACAAAAAGGGATAATAATGAGGAGAGGTTCTTTTCAAAGTAGAAAGATTTTATAACAAAAATTAATTTAGATAGAAGTATTTCAAGTATATGTGTAAAGTACATGAAATTCTAAATCTAAAAAGAATATAATTAAACTTTACCTTTGGATATTTTGACAGCCATAGGTCATCTCATAAGATGATCTAAGTTATGTCTGGCTAAAGATTTTAAATTCAATGGTCCATGAGAGTTAACTCAAGATTTTTATTTCATTAATTTCGTTCTGCTTACATTTATATTTTTTATAATTTCGCAGTAATATTTTCCATATTTATTTCTTTAAATAAAAGTACAAAAAGTGGCTTGTAAAATGAGGTGAAAAAATAAAAACGAAGTTGAGGTGGTATTTCTGAACTTCACCCTTTATGATAATATTTTTGGTGCTTAAATTTACATATATGTATGTTTTATTTGAAAATAATTATGTTCTACATATTGTAAATTTTTCTGTCATTGATGACAAGGTCATTTTTATCCCACCTTAAGGAGTGGTTGTATACACTTGTGTATGTGGGGCAGACTAACTAGTTTATTATCCCTCTTAGTCCCTTTATTTTTGAGAGAAGAAACTTGAACCTACAAAGTGATATTACTACATATGACTCTCAAACAGTGGGAAACAACTAATGTGGGACTAAACTTACGCTTTTATTAATGGGCTGTGAGAAGGGAGTGACCCTATGATTAATAAGCCTATTGGGCCGGTGTGAGTTGGTTGGGCCGGCAGGTCAAGGTGGCTGGGCCGGAAGGTCAGGTGGGTTGGGTTGGATGGTTAAGGTGGCTGGGCCGGAGGGTCAAGTTGGCGGGGCCCAATAAGTGGCCCCCTTAAAAGGGTCGCTGCCGAAATCCTAATTCGGGCATTTCAACCCCGACTCAATGCTGGGTTCGAGGTGGTGACGGCACGGGCTACTGCAGCGGGAGGCGGCAGCGGCCAGCGAGCAGTGGCGGTGGAGGCGTCGTCGGTGAAGGCAGGAGGAGCAGGCGGCAACGCTGGCGGGAGCCACTGTAGTGGGCAGACATTGAGGATTCAGTCTCGGCGGAGTGGCGGCGGTGCAGCAGGCGGTGGTCTCTGGCGACTGGGAAGACACGGCGACGGCGTAGGCGGCGGTGTCTCGCGACTGGGCCAACGCGGCAACGAAGGAGGCCATGGCGTCTGGCAAATGGGACGACGTGGTAACAAAGGAGGCGGCTGGCTCATTGTGGGTGAAGCGGAGGAGGCGAGAAGTGCTGCGGCGCCTGGAGGACACACGACGGAGGCACGTCGGGCCACTAGCCCCAACCGGGAGTGGCAGTGGGCTTCTAGTTACAATTCGAGGGACACTATGCATCTTGCTTGCATAGAACTCAAAGTCCAAAATTGGAAGTGATGCATCAACAGGTTGCACAACAGCTAGACCTGTACTTTTCTTATTGAGAATTTTTTGAGTGTTAATAAATGCACATAATTGGTTACAAAAATAAATTTCCACGGAAACCCCCGCACAGGAGTGACAATTTACACCCTATAAAGTTAGACTCCAGCCCTAGAAATTGTAGAATCACTCTATATTGGGTAGAATCGCTGCACCACCCAAGAACAAAAGAAATCTTTTTATATCATGCATGTGCAAGAGATATTCAGTCAAATGGCCCTGCTGGTTTCATAGAAGATAATCCGCATCACTTTTCTATTGCTTTGTAGCATCCAGTGTTGCTGTTCACCTTTCCATAATTCGTTCATGAGTATTGGTAGATACCAACCAACATTTATTGTAATCATGCATTAACTAGATTTGTCATGCAAAAAAAAAAGCATGCTGAAAACATGTGATTAATATCATGATCTTTCTTCCCCAATGGACTGCGTGATGTAACGATGATCACAAGTAGGAAGGAACCCATATCCTTGTGAAGCTGTCTGACTTATTGATTTTTTATAGTAATCCAGCTGCACGAGTTTATTTAAAACTCTTAAGAGAGGAAAATATTGCAAATGAAACTATGTTAACTTCAAGAAAATCTTCAGGATTTTTGATATTTGATTGCCTCATATTTATGCACTGCTGTCCCTGCCGGGCATCTGGCTTGCACTCGATCGGCCAGGCGCCACTCGCTCATATGGGAGTAACAGGTCGCTAAAGGTTGTTTTGATATGCTTGCCCGTTACTTATGCATATCCCTGAATCTTCCAGTGTTCGGTTATATTAATCTAGAAATTTATTCCTGCATTGGAATATGTTGAATAATATGATTTTGCTAAAATAGAAGGATTGCTTCCACAAAAGAAGGGTTTTTTTAATTAAATATTTAAACTATCTTTAAAATTTTCAAGGAACTAACCGTTTCTGATTGAGAATGGGTCTTCTGAATTAATCTTGTGCAGAATTGTGCACTTTCTAAGTCATGGACAGTGATTCTGGCATGCTTCTTTCATGCTCACCAAGAGGGATCCACAGGTATTCTGAGATCGAAGATAAAAAAAGATTTGATTCTGGGAAAGACTCGCCTACCTAGAGGTAGTTCTCGGCGCACAGTTGAGAGAGACATTGGGCGCGAAGGCAGTGGCTCCAACCAGGCAAACAGCTGGGATTGGTAAGAGACGAACCCCCCTCAGAGATCGTCCTCGGACCTGAGGTACTCGCCGAGATCCGCCTGGTTGAGGATGACGATTCCCTTGGGGTCCATCTTCCGGCAGTCCTGAGCTGACTTGGCGGCTATCCCGAAAGCGAGCGGCACATCACCGGAGGAGAACACCACGACCCCTTCCCCGGCGACCACATTCTCTGAGATTCTGGACAGATCGGACTTCAGGACGTGGTCCCCGCTGGTGAGGGACTTCTCTGCTGTCTGCTTCACCCACACCTTGCGCCGAGCGTGAGCGGCCAGCAGATCGAGGCCATGGATGGTGAGGCGGAAGCTTCCGCCCTTGGTGAACTTGCCGATGCAGGTCCCTACCGCCACCAGGCGATCGCGCGCCACGTTCGTAGCTCGCCGGACGAGGGACTCGCTGGCGTAGTAGACGCGATTCTTGTGCAGACGGAAGCAGTATCTCCCGGGCTTGCCGCCGGCCTCCTCCGGCGGCCCCTCGAGGGCCGGCCGCTCGACGATGTGCTTCAGATTTGGCCCTACAAACTTGAACAGCTTCTCAAAAACCGCCGTCGTCTCCTTCTCATCCAGTGGCCTCATCTCTACAAGCTCTGTCGCCGTCGCCGCCGCCGCTATCGCCGAGCAAAGATGGAGCCTTAAAGAGAGGGAGATAAGGGCTTTAGGGTTTTGGTGGCTGATACGAGGGAGATGGGGCATGAAATACGAAATAGCGGTACGCTGTACCCTCGGCCAAGTTAAATCATAACGAGATATTCCTATGGGTACCGTAAGATATTAATTTGAAACAGTATTTCTGCCCTCATCCATCTCTGGCGGCGTCTTCCCATGCCTGACGATCGGCGAGGAGGGATCCAGCGATCATCGGGCGATCGATGAGGTAGCATTTCTCTCTCATCTCCGGCGCTTCTGTGCCGAGCTTCCGCGGAATTATCGCCGAGGATGTTTCTCTGTTCTTGCTAGGGTTTGGATCTACTGATCGCCTAGGATGTTTCTCTGTTCTAGCAAGGGTTTGGATCTGCTGGTCGCCGATTATTCTGATTTGATGTCAGGTGGTGTGCGATATCTGTCGATTAGATCTTTTTCTGTGGATTGTCGATAATGTATTGGGATGACGACGGGTTGTGAAAATCTAGCATCTCTTTAAGGTAAATTTACTCTTCATGCGATGATGGACTGAGCAGACTAATCGTTTTCCTTGTTTGAAGGCCCACCGGTAGGCGTAACTCCCCCACGTTCATCAATCAATTCAACTCGTGGGATCAGATCCCACCAGGACAGATAGAAAGTACTTTAGATTCGTGCTCGGAATTTCTCGAACTCGGAGCTTTTAGGGCATCGTGATGAATGCTCACCGCTCGATCAGATCCGATGGCGACGTTGTTTTCATATCCCAAATCGCCGAGTTCAGTGCTTGTGGCATTCAATTTCGCGATTAATTCTTTTTATTTATTCTGTAATTTCACATTCCATCTGTCTGAAATTGAAACACGCAGTGCCAGAGCCCTACCGTTCTCTTTCATCTGATACTCTCAATGGTCCTGTGCCTGTAACTAGTTTGATCATAACTTGCAGATTATTCAAATATAAATTTACGATCAGTAGTTTCATGGATGATCCTGTGGTTCCTTCCATTTGGGAAGAACTCGACGACAGCTTTAGGGCGAACACTAATCCAAGCTCTACCAGATTTTTCGAACGAAATTTCTTCCATCCTTGAACTTAACTATTTGACCTCAATCTAAGGCAAGCAACCACTAAATATTGTCGCTTGTTCTATCTACTGATATTACCGAACACGTGTTTTCTCTCACTTTTCCAGGACGTATTCAGCAGATTGAAACTTCCTCATTAAACCAATCCAGTTGATGTGGTTTGTTGATCTCCAACTTCTCATCGGAAAAAACTCTTGGGGAGATCATGCTTTATCCAGAAACCAAAATCAAAATCATCGATCAAATCTCCTGATATAACCCAATGCCCATTTTCTTTTTAATCCCCTTGTTTCTTTGTTTTCTTCAAGACATTGCAACTTAAAAGATCAAACCAAGCCATTTGATGTGATTGATATCGAAAAACTAATCAATCACAACAAGATAAAAACTCCTGATGAGATCATACTTTATCCAAAAATCAAAATCAAAATCATCGATTGCATCTCCTGATTAACCCAATGGCCATTTTCTTTTTAATCCCTTGTTTCTTTTATATTTTCAGGACATTGCAACTTTAAAGATCAAACCAAGCCATTGATGTGATTAATCTCAGGAAAAAAAAACTCTTTCTCGGTCATGGTTCATCCGAGCGGTGATGACAGGATACTGAGCTTCGGAGACGTCGTTCTGAGGGCATCAGACCTTGAGATACTCAGAGGCCCTCACTACATCAACGACCGGATCATTGAATTCTGCTTCAAAGACATCGCCAATGATCTGCCAAATGACATCTTACTGGTTCCTCCCTCGATCTCCTTCTGGATCGCAAACTGCATTGGCCATGAGAGCCTCAAGGATGCTGTCGGCCCGCTCGATCTGCCCAGTAAGAAGCTGGTGATCTTTACTATTAATGACAATGATGATGTGGCCATGGCTGAAGGGGGGCAGCACTGGAGTCTCCTGGTCTACGACCGGGCCAAGGATATGTTTGTCCACCACGACAGCATGCTGGGGATGAATAGGCCCCACGCCGAGCAGCTCTATAGGAGGGTCAAGAGGTTTGTGGATCCCACTGCGAGCTTTGTCGAAGGGTCAACGCCAAAGCAGGAGAATGGCTATGACTGTGGGTTGTATGTGGTGGTGATAGCCGGCGTGATCGTCAGGTGGCATCTCCAGCATGCTGCAGCCTCCTCCGATGATGAAGGTTACTGGATCTCCTCTGTGAGGTCCCAGGTTGATGGGTCGACAGTCAACGGGATGCGGAAACAGATACTGTCACGGATCAATCAGTTGAGGAGTTGACTCTCTCTCTGTCTCTCTCTGTCTCTCGCTAGCTCTTAGTGAATGAAATTTCGTGCAGAGAGCAGCACTGGAAGTCTCAGATTTTGGCTCTTCTTCCACATCTATCATCTTTGTGTAGGAACAAAATCACCCAGGCGCCTGTTTTTGGTCTGTGTATAAATATATGATCTAATTTGGAAGGCTGACGTCTTCTTCTGCGGAATATTACCCGTTTTGGTACCATCGTTCTCTCCACTGCAACTACAGGATCTTGGTCCAGGAACCCAGGAAGGGAAAGATGGCGACCAGCAGCCTCAGAAGCAGGGGCACCTCCCCGCCTCGCTCCCTCCTCGACAGCTTCCCCTTCCTCACCGGCGGAGGTGGCGCCGCCGCCTGGGAAGGGCTCCTGGAGACGGCGCCCTTCCCCGGAGTCCAGCCTCCCAGCGATGACAGTTCGTCCCATCCGCCATAATCTTGGGCGCTGGCGGCTGATTCCCCTTCCGGCGCTGCCCACGGCCGGCGGGCCTCCCTTGCTCGGAAGCCGCTCCCCTTCTCCTCCTCCGACGATCTCCTCCTGAAGCCGGCGGCGCCGCCATCGGATTGCTTCTTCCTCCTGGACCTGGATTGCCTCCTCCCCCCTGCGCCGCTGCCGCCGGCACTGCTACCCCAGAGCTTATCGACGGCGAGAGAGAGCACCGACTGCCCGAGGGGCAGAGCCAGGGCCATAAGGAAGGCCTTGGGGCCGCTCGCCAGAAGCAAAGACGCGATGATCGCCGGAAGCAGGTAACCGTAGGCCCTGAAGACCTGCGCATATGATCAACGATTACTACATGATTTCTGTTTGGATCTGTTATTGAGAGATCATCAGAATCTCTGCTTCTCGATTATGAGACTATGGTGATTGATGCTATGATTTACGGGAACTCAGTCGGGGATTGATGGAGAAAAGATCTGGCATGTATGGACGATTAAAGCGATCATGGATGGATCATAGACTGATCTTCCGCGATGATTCTGTGGAAGTTTGAAGAGAATATTTTAGGTTCATCTCTTTCGTTCTGGAATTGTTTTCGCTGTTTTGCAGATCAAGACGGAGTAGGGGCAGCAAGATCACCAAGAAAAAACCCTAACTGAACCAATGAGGGTAAAAAATTTCCAGACGGATTGCTGCTCTGTTCAAGCTGTAAAAAGTTTCCATAAATCACGCATGATGCTCTGTTTAAGGACATCAGATCAGATGATAATACGAAATCAGGAAGAAGATCGCGGGCGAATTAGCCATCAATGGAGATCGGGATTTACGGCGGCGAGGCTTATCGGATTAAAATCTGTTCGACTGAAAGATATCAGGTGGCGCGAGGGAATCGGCGATTCACCTTAAAGATCCAGATATTGTCCCACGGCTGCTCGGGCTCGTCGTCGAGGAGATCGGCGTCCTCCTCGCCGCCGTCGTACAGTTCGTCGGACCACCACCACCCCCTCTTGCCGCTCCACCTCCCTCCCTCCTCCTCTGGTTCCTCCGGCCCGCCATCGCTGCCGCCTCCTTTCATATCTGAGAATCTGAACCTTTCCCGCCGGACGCCCTCCGCATTGGATCCCCAGGCGGCGCCTCCGCCGCCGTCGTCGCTGCGGCGTTCGCAGGGGCAAAGGATGCGTGGGCGGGGAGGCGGGCCGGAGCGGGAGAAGAATCTGAGAGGAAAAGGTCTTACCGTGGAGGAGGCGGCGGGGACGACGGGGAAGGGGGGGAGGCGGCGGAGGGATTGGAGCTCCGCCATGGGAGCTCCGCCTGAGAACGGCGGAGGAACTGACGTGGTCGAGCTTCTGCGATTTCCCACCCCGGCCGGCCGTTTAAAGGATAAACGTGTTAGATGGGCCGCAGGAACTTTTAACACTGAGTGATGATACAACGGAGGGGGGATACGGGCCGGGCCTTTCAATGCAAGCAAGGGAAGAACTAACTGCAAGAGCATTACTAGCCTAGCTGCCATCCCACTATACTAAAATGGGCTTCGAAAGAGAACTCTCAAGAGGGAGAGAGGGAGGGAGGAAGGGAGGGAGAGAGAGAGAGAGAGAGAGAGAGAGAGAGAGAAGGCCAAAATATATGTCAAACTTTGGATATCATACCCATTGAGAACCTTGGTAGTTGTTGTTCTTTCTTACTTAGGAAACTCCTTGTAGGTGAGCCTAGAATGGAGAACATATCATTTTGATGCTCATGTTGAAATTTTTGTTTAGTGTTAAAAAAATACCTCTGAAAAAGAAAAAAAAATAAAATTCTGGTCACAAGTTATCTTCACAACCATTACTATTTTTTCTTGTCTTCAGTATTATCTTCACAATAATTATCATTTTCTAGACTTTTCATTACTACCATTGAAAAATAGTTGGTATATCATAAAAATAAAAAAAGTGATAAAACAATTATAGAAGTATTTAGTAAACACATATTGATCCACTTATTTTTTTATACTAAAAAGAAAACAGAAATCTTTTGTTTTTATCATTGTTGTGGTGCTCATGTCATATGATGTCACCATGCTCACTCCACCCATCTTGCCATTGATAGACTTCATTGAGGCCTGGTGTTTTTATCTAACATGAGATTACAATGAAAGTAATACAAGTCTCCCTTTGAGAGGTGGATATCCCCTCTATTAATATAACAATGAGACTAATGGAACATTAGGAACAACACTTTATATTTGATAGTGAAATTATACCACAAAAGCTTCCATAACCACTTTTGACAATTTGGATGTATTTGCTACTAAGTGAGAAGGAACTTCAAATTAAGTTGAGCAGCAAAAATAATAAAATCATGTCCCAATAAATTAAAAAAAATAGTATGGCTAATGTGACAACCATTAACTCCCCCTCATAAATTGGTCGAGGTGTTTCTAGGTGACAATATTTAACTAAAATGGGTAGTCAATTTGTGATTATACATAAAAAACGCCAACACACTTTTGTTAGAGGAATCAGTCTCTAATTCAAAAGATTGAGAAAAATCAGAGAGTCAAGAGGCCATAATTGTTTTGAGCTTTTTGAAAGCATCTTTCACAACTTAATTTCACTTAAAAGAATCATGTTTTAATTGTTGACTAAGTGACCACATGATGTCTCTATAATTTTTTACCACAAGTTGTCAATGATAACCAATGAGGTCAAGGAAATCATGAAGTTGGTGCAAATTAGAGGAAGTCGGCCAATTCAACTTTGCCTCCACCATGACTTGATCAGCAATCATTCATGTTGTCAACACTCAATATGCCATTGAATGAAGGTACATTTTCAACTATTGACATGAAGCTTATACAAGCTTAATAAATCAAAAATTACTTGGAAGTGAACTTCATAGTTGTAAAATCTTGAATTTACACAAATATATCATAAAAAATACAAGAAATGTGCATAGGATTAGAAAAGATATAGTTCATCAAAGCTTAGAAAGTATCATGGACATTCTTTAGCCCCATTAACATAGCCATAAAGTCATAATGGCTTTTTTGTGTATGGAAGGTTTTTTTTTAGGATATCTCCTTATGTCATATGGAAGGCTATCATTGGAACCTTGCTTGGTGAAGCTGAGGCATGACATTGCAGGTTTGAGTAGCTTATTTTTTCTCTAATTTCAATTTTCAATCCCTTTATAAAAGTTCCTTCTAATGCTCATAATAAACCTTCCACTACTAGGCCAACTTTGCTTGATATGTAAGAGTTATTATCATCAGCTGCTAGATTTTTTTGAACCAACCCTCTTTTGCAATTGTTTTTTGATGTTCTAATGCTCATATTTTTGGTTTCATTCCACATAAAACTAGATCAAGGCTTCATCCTTCCAAATTTATACCTATCAACTTTAGCTTATAGTTTTCTTTGGTGCCATGTATCTCAAAATATAGTTTGGGCCAAAAAATTTAGTTGTCCTCCTCTATTGTTGGGATGTGTCACACCCCTTGATCTCATTCACCTCTTTATACCCTCATATCTATTGTTGTCACCTTTGGGTGTCGTATTCTGAACATTGCATGGTTTGATACCAAAGTGCTGGAATGTTGAGAACCCCAAGTGATTTTCTAAATAAAATATAACTAGAGAAGAATGAGAAACAAAGTTAGGAAAGAATGGGTGAAGAACAAGGCCCATAGAGGAACCCTATGAATAATAGTAGTAGACCAATTCGAGAGGGCCCTTAGCTCTCCACTTTGAATTGACTACATTTGTCCTTGGAATGATGTTTTTGCCCTCCTTGCAACAATAAGTAACTTACATTGGAGAACAACAATGAATTGGACCAAGGAAGGTTAGTATGATGGACCAAAGGCCCATTAAAGACCTCCATATCTTCTACTTATTCTATTCCTAAGATATGATACTACCTATGATAATCCCTTGATGTGATGGTCTTAGTCAAGTGGAGAATAAAAAATGACCTTGATCTCCCTCCATAATAAACTAGTCCACCTAACCTTTTCAATATTTTTTACAAAAATCAATGCTTTAAATATTTTTCTTTATCATCAACTTAAGTTCAAAGAGCTTTACAACATTAAATATCTTTTGGGTCCTTTATATATTTCATGATCTACCACATATATCCTTTTATCTCAATGCCATTACAATCTTTACTTGAAGACACTTGTTTTTTGGATGTCAAATCTTCCTTCACTCACATGGATCCATGATTCTCTCACAAAACAAGTACTAGCTCCTTAGTTGTTGATGCTACATAATATTAATGATTGATTGCCAGATTTCTATTTAAGATTATTTTTTCATGATATTACTTTTTATATCCATAAGCTCAGTTAATTTATGGCTCAACCTAGGCAACCTCATTGGACTGATTTATATTGTTATCTCATATCACATCTAAGTTAGAGAGTCTTCTACTCCATTTCACCTTTCTCACAAATTTAGGTATTTTCTAATGTAGATTGAGCAGCTTATTTAGATTCTCAAAAATCTATCATTAATTATTGTGTTTTCGTTGGTGACTAATAAATATTCAATATCATGAGTTAATAGTTAATTAATAATATATTTTAAGCTTTAACTCATTATAAATACATCTTTATTTTTTAAATTGAAAAAAATAATCTTTGAATTGGTTATTATGAAAATTTGGTTAATTATGTGATTTTATATAAATTTCAATAATTTTTATAAAAATATTTTTAAGATAAAATAAATAATTATAAAATAGAAATAAGGGGGAACCTACTAACCAGCCGAGCCCCTATGCAGGTCGGAAGTACAGTCGAATGGAGCAACAAGTAGGGGACTTGAGTGGAAGGACTTATAAGGGGCACCTATGAGTCACTTCCCTTCCACATCATCACTAGCCAACTAAGTGTGAAGCAAGGAGTGATTATACACATGTGAGAGATAACAGATGTAAGTAGAGATATATATGTGTCTCAAATATCAAGGAATAGTTAATGTGGGACCAAATAGAGGCCACCACTTATTGTCATTTATTTGTAATATTTTGATACCTAGAATATCCTTAAATGATAAAAAGAAGACATGCTTAAGACATCACTTGACAAAAGTATTTACATACTTATTTAACTCTCTCATACAAGTGGCAACCATTAAGGATTTAAATCTCACAAGAGCTAAAACTCATATTTTTATTTCATTAACTTGTGATTTTCTTATAGAATATTAGTTAATAACCAAGCCACTATAATCGCTCAATCATGAATAAAGATATACTCAATGTGATTCATGGAGCATAATTATCAACTATCAAACAATTCTAGATAAAAAAATATACATTCATCAAAGAAATCATTTCCAATTAATCGATGAATGAGTTATTGTCAAAAAGAAGACTCTTTTAGAAGACTAGTCACCACTTCCTATGAGTGCATCAAATGCGATGAAGAGCTTTTTTTTCCTACACAAACTTGAAAGTGAAACTCCCTAAAGTGCACCACACCACCATCAAACTTATCTCTATTAGGTGACAAGAATTAGAGATTAAAAGGTTGTCATATTTTCACTTTGTCGAGTGACAGTCACTAAAGACGATTCATCAATCCTATTTTATTGATTTTTAGACTTCACAAAACAATATAAAGATTATTCACATCATCCATATCCAAAAAAGCCTTTCAGGTCATGGACATCACAAGATAATCTTTCTTTTTACACACATAATTTTGACAGTTGTCATCATAAAGTTCAAACTCTGTCTTTTCTATCTAAAACTTTATTTTTACTTAAATTAGTGATATTTTATCTTATTTTAAGTTTTAAAATTATTCTTCATTAAATTATAATTCTTTTAACATTTAAATATCTTAATTTGATCAATTAAATCATCTATAATCACTTATGAAAGAATCATTAGATGAAACTCTATTTCTGCCCAAATCACATTCATTGAGGCACTAACATTATCTTGACATCTACACTTGAATTTTTTTTTTTCACAACTTTTTAAATATAATTCATCATTTAAACTAATAATTATACTTTTAAAAAAATATTAAAATATTATCTTCATTCTTATGATAGACTTAATTTTTTTTTATTATTTTTAAAATATTTGAAAAATTATAATTAATTTATTTATACTAAACTATTTTTAAATTTTAAAAATTAATATTTTTAGTTATACAATTTAAAATTTACGTGATTTATTATGCAACAATTACATCGCATTAGTGACTCATTGATATCTTGAAAAGTTAAGAAGCAATCTATTACATTTTGCTCTTCTATAGAGACTAAAAATCATACATTAGTTGGCACCATTGGAAAAATCTTTTGATTACAAAAACTATTACAAATTTTTTATATTAACTCAACCCTCTCAAATGCCTTAATCTGCAATAATTAAGCTTCACATTACATTACATCAAATCTAATTTTTCATGAATGTACTCAACACAATGAAATTGATTGTCATTCTATACATGATCAATTACTTGCTAGATGTGCCAAACTTTTGTTTATGAAATCCAAGCATCAACTTGCCAATATCTTTACAAAACATTTACCTACAAGTTGGTTATCCTTTTCACTATCCAATATGACTGTTAAAGATATTTATAGTCCATCTTGAGGGAGAGTTTTAGGGAACCATCACATGACCCCTTGCACATGAGGACCCTTTATCATGTCAAGGGGAACCCTAGGTGAATGAATGAATGATTTTCGTATGTTCCTTTGCCTTTTCTCCCTATTGCACAATATCTTCCTATCAATTGTAATAATTTCCCATTGTAAGTGTCTCAACCCCCGGGTCCTATAGCTGACAATCACAACTATATTATATGAGTGAGTAAAGAGAGGGAGAGAGGGAGAGAGAGAGAGTTGACTACAGCTCCTTTTTTAAAGGGCTAACATGGTCGCGTGGGCTGCATGAGCTGTATGCTGTGCTGAGGCTGTTCTCACATACTGATCCCATGCATTGCCCCACGCCGGAAGTGCAATGTGCGCATGTGTGCCGTTGGTGTGGCACTTGGTAGTGTCTACCATCAATGCAAAACTAGAATTTGGCCCCATCTCCATCGAAGTACTTCCTTCCAGTCCTCTTCGTTCAGAACCGTCAATCTCCAAGCCTCCTAGATATTTATTGCACAGAAGAACGAGGTTGTTGAAAGGGGGAGAGAGAGGGAGAGAGAGGGGGAGAGAGAGAGAGAGAGAGAGGAGGGAGATACTCCATGATAATTTTAAAAATGGATTTACAAATAAGAAAACCAAATTCTCTCTCCATGTTTGATCACTTCCATGCAGAGAGGTAATAGTTACGTGACAAAAAATATCTTCTTGAGTCGGGTCAATTCTGAAGTATACCGACAGGAGAGAGAGAGAGAGAGAGAGAGAGAGAGAAAGTATACCCAAGAAGACCTCTTTCTCGTCAATATGGACGATTGATCGATGGTCTTTGCGAACGCTTTGCTGCTGCCGCAGCCGAGACCACCGGCAGCGGCGCCGCCCTCCGCTGCCTCCGATGGCGACACCTACCGCCGCCTCCCCTCCCGCACCGCCGTCCTCCGCAACCTTGACTCCTGCTCGTCCATGGCGGAGCTCCGGCAGCGCCACTCCCTCCTCGTCCGCCTCGGCCTCTCCCACGACAACCACGCCGCCGCCCGCCTCCTCCGCTTCTGCGCCCTCCATTCCTCCGGCGATCCCGCCTACGCTCTCCGCCTCCTCCTCCATCTCCCTTCCCCCGACGCCTTCCTCTTCAACACCCTCCTCCGCTCCTCCTCCGCCGCCACCGGCGACCACCTCCCCATCTATGAACTCATGCTCCGCAGCTCCGTCTCCCCCAACGACTTCACCTTCCCCGCCCTCCTCACCTCCATCACCGCCGCCCGCTCCCCCATCGCCGGCGAGCAGGTCCACGCCCATATCTTCAAGCTCGGTTTCCATCACCACCGGTTCTCCCAGAACGCCCTCATCACTATGTACGGCTCCTGCGGCCGCGCAAGCGTCGCCCGCCAGTTGTTCGACGAAATGCCCCACCGGGACGTCGTCTCCTGGACCGCCATGGCCGGCGGCTATGCTGCCTGCGCGCAGCTCGACGACGCCCGTGTATTGTTCGATCAAATGCCTGAAAAGAACTCCGTTTCATGGAACACCATGGCAGCCGCATACCTCAGGAACGGCCGCCTCCGCGAGGCCTTGGAGCTGGTAGACGGCATGGCGGAGTTGGACAAGTTCACGGCCGCGACGGTGCTGGCGGCCGCGGCGGAGGCCGGCGCGGGGTCGCGCGGGCGGCGCATCCACGCGCGCATCGTCGGCGCCGGCGTGCGCGTCGACGCCAAGCTCGCAGCGGCCATCGTCGACATGTACTGTAAATGCGGCTGCTTGGAGGAGGCCATGGAGGTCTTCCATGGCCTGGAGGAGAAGCAGAGGGGGCTCTCCTGTTGGAACGCCATGATCGGCGGGCTGGCGGCGCACGGGCGGGGCGCGGCGGCGATGGAGCTGTTTCAGAAGATGGAGGAGGCGGCGGCGGTGGCCCCCGACAGGATCACCTTCCTCGGCGTGCTCACCGCCTGCGCCCACGCCGGACTGGTCGACGAGGGGCGGCGGTTGTTCGCAAGAATGCAGGCCTACGCGGTGGCCCCGGCGATGGAGCACTACGGCTGCCTGGTGGACCTGTATGCGCGGTCGGGGATGATGGCGGAGGCGGAGGAGGTGATCGCCGGGATGGTGAAGGCGGCGCTGCCGGACGCCGCCGTGGTGGGGGCCCTCGCCGGGGCTTGCAGGACCCACGGCGAGCTAGAACTCGGGGAGCGATGGGGATGGCGGGCCGTGGAGCTGGAGCCGCACAACGCAGGGAGGTACGTCCTGGTGGCGAACCTCTACGCCCGCGCCGGCCGGTGGGAGGCGGCGGCGAGAGTGAGGAAGCTAATGGGGGAACGGGGGGTGGAGAAGGAGCCGGGGAGGTCGGTGGTGGAGGCGGGCGGCGCCGCCGCCGTGGGGGAGTTTGTCGCCGGCGACACCTCCCACCCGAATTCAGGCGAGATCTACGCCAAGGTGGAGGAGATGATGGCGAGGATCCACCGGGAGGGGTACTCGCCGGAGATGGCGGAGGTGCTCCACGAGGTGGCGGAGGAGGAGAGAGAAAGGCCGCTGGTGTACCACAGCGAGAAGCTCGCCATGGCTTTTGGGCTGATCAACTCCGCCGCGGGCGAGACCATCCGCGTGTCCAAGAACCTGCGTATTTGCAGGGACTGCCACGCCGCCGCGAAGCTCATCTCCGCTACCTACCGCCGGGAGATTATCCTCCGAGACCGCCTCCGCTTCCACCACTTCAAGGACGGCGCCTGCTCTTGTAACGACTTCTGGTAAACACAAGCAACAGAGAGAGAGAGAGAGAGAGAGAGAGAGAGAGAGAGAGAGAGAGAGAGAGAGAGAAAACCCTCTTCTGGCACCGATCCAACAAGTCAACTGGAAGAAATCCAAGTCTGGCCGACATGGCGGGTGAGGGCAACTGACATCTCCTCCTCAACGTGTTCTTGCATTGACTTCTGGTCAACACAGAGAGAGAGAGAGAGAGAGGAAAATTTTCTCCAGTCGGTCCAGTTTGCATCAGCTCACCAGCGGCAGCAACATCTTCAACACCTGCAACTAAAATTATCCATCCTCTTCCCCCACCGATCCTAATGAGTCAAACTCGAAGCAATCCAAGTCAACTGAGACCTCCTCCTCCTGCTGCTGCCTTCAGCGGGGATCGTTTGACCTTGAACTTCAGGGGCGCCTCCAGGACCCTCACGGGGACGTCGTTCCAGGCGTCGGGCTTCGCCGGCAGGCGGGCGATGCGCTCGGCGATGGGGAGGTCATCGGAGAGAACGGAACCGAAGACGGCGAAGGATCTCCGCCACTCGCCGTGGTTGGCCAGGCTGATGAAGAACTCCGGCCCCGCCCCGATCCACGCCACCGATCCCCGCCGCAACGCCGGGCACGCCTCCGCCGGCAGCTCCCTGAATGCGATCCCCTCCGCCGCCAGCGTCCCCTGGATCAGCCCGTACGGAGGCCCCAGCCCGGCCTGCACAAAGAAAGAGAGAGAGAGAGAGAGTTAGGGTTTGCGGGTGGAGACGAAGGTAGGAGGAATGGAGTGGGGGGTGGCTGCTTACATTCGGGATGGGGTCGCCGGATTCGTCCCAGGAGAGACCGCGGGGCTCAGCGCGGTAGAAGTGGCAGCCGACGCAGTGGCGGGATTTTAGGACCTCGGCGATGTAGACCATCGAGTGAGGAGCGCACTCCGGGAAGAGCTGCATGCATGGTAAACAACCACAGAGACTGTTTCAGATTTTACTATTCATCTCTCTCTCTCTCTCTCTCTCTACGTTCTCTCTCTCTACATTTCTCATTCTATCTGCTGTAAGTATATATATAAGAAAAAAACCAGTTAATGCAATCCAATTACCCTCATTCAACAAAGGATAAAAATTTCCTCTCTCCACATTCCCCATCTCTATTGTAAATATATGTATATCTTTAAATAGGGAAAACCCAGTAAATGTAATGAAATTGCACTCATTTAACAAAGAAGAAAATTTTCCTCTCTCTCTCTCTCTCTCTCTCTCCCTCTCTATCTCTCTCTACAAAGAAGAATCTCTCTCTCTTTTCATATCTTTAAACAGGAAAAAACAGTTAATGTAATCAAATTCCCCTCATTCAACAAGACCTCCTTCTCTCTATTGTAAATATGTGTGTATATCTATACATATCTTTAAATAGAAAAAACCCAGTTCATGTAATCAAATTTCCCCCATTCAACAAGGAAAGATTTATGTGGAGGAGGAGCTCAACTGATGATGCAAAAAAAAACTGAAGAGCGGGTATTACCTTTACACGAATGGTTCCAATCTCAGTCTCGATGCCTATGATTCCCTGCGTGAGGAAAAAAAAAATAGAGCAAGTTGAGGAACAGCATCCCCTCTGGACTTCTATACAGCTTTTTGATGTTAACCAAAAAGAAAAAATAAATATATATATATATATATATATATGTTTCAACCAAAACAGGAAAGAATCTCCTGGGTAGCCCTTTTTTATTTAAAAAAATTACAATATTTAATGAAAATCCTCTTTTTGGGCAATAATCATCTCGTGAGATGCACTCAAATGTAGGAATCTACATTCAATATCAAGCATACACAAGACAGAAGGGCCTTCATTAATCAGAAAAAGTTAGTTCCTTCTAGTTTAAAAAAGAAATAAAAAAATGTTAATGAAAAAACCCTTTTTTTTCGGTCATAACCCTGCTATATTAGCAAAATCATTCCATTAAACCAATTCTAATGCGGCAATGAATTGCTAAATCAATAGGACCGAGATTGGAAGAATCAGGAATACATCAATTCCAAAACTCCTCAAAGGGTTTTGGAATTTCTGACCGTGTAATTAATTCACAGAAGTTGGATCAGGTTTTTCAAGATCATGATCCTTGACGGGTAATGGATAGATTGAATTCCTGATCCCCAACACAACATAAAGTCAACCAGCCGAGGGATAATGAAGTGAATTCTTTCATTACAAAGTACAAGCGTTGACAATGAGAAGCTAACGACTGCTGTGAAAATAATTTTGGTATCTTAGTCCAATGGATATTTCCTTGAGCATAAGCATTTACCTCTCCTTTTCCAAAAATAACCCCAGATGTCCAGGGAACTTTCTCTCCCGATTCTGCGAGATCAGGAAACATGGGATCCTCCTGTTTTTTCAACCAGCACTGAGAGCAAGAACAAAAAACCAAGCTCAGCCTCTTTTTCATCAGATTGAGGAAATTTTCACAGAAGATGATTCCTAAAAATCGATACTTAAATGGAATACAAAAATATACACTGTTAAGCAAAGCGTCAATCAATCAATTCCTTTAATCACTTGGAAGCTGTCACAGAAACAAGCAAAGCGTCAAGAACAGATTTATTTTTTCATGCGAGAATCGCCCCTTCTAGGTCTCAGATCTACTACATCTTTCATGCCAAAATTATCAATATGAGTAGGGAAACTGGAAACGGCATTTTCTTGATTGACCTAAAAATTTAACTTCCCACCCTGAAAATTATACTCCTGTGGGTCAGAGTAGGTTATCCTCCGGCCACAAAGCCGCCATTTCATAAATTTCTCTTCCTGTGGAGAACCTCTTGCCTGCAATCACCATGATCTATGTATAGCAACCAGTGCTATCAACCTTTGTTCGGGATTTGCCCCTTTTAGAGAGAAAAGAAACTTGAATTTATCTTTCATAGCCTGTAATAATTTCATGATGATACGATTCTACATAGAAAGCATCCGAGACAACATCAATGATGATATCGAAATTTTAGATATCTGATGGAGATGAAAGTAAATTAACGTAACTCTGCAAGAAAGTTCCCCCCACTTGATAAAGAAAATCTAAATGGAGCATTTATGCAAGATATAATCGAGAATAAGCATGTTACATCCACCAGGAGATTGGAATGCAGCTATAAATGAAGCGGTTGAAAGTCGCATACAAAAAGTCAACGACTCCCAGCCTCCAAGAATGGTCTAGTGATGATGAAAGATATGAAGATTGCGAAAACCGTAGGCGCTGGAGGTCTCTCATAGCTAATCCAGCCCTTTGGAAGATCAATCGAGTCTGCAAATGACGAAAGCCGGCCATGGCCACTCCCAAAAGAGACAGTAAACTAAAACCGCAGGCTCATCTGGCTAAACGGAACCCATGAATCGTATCCAATATGCAAAAAATGATTAAGGGATGACGAAATAAACGCAGACGGCGAGAACCCTAGGTACATCTGGAATCTCATAGTTAATCCAAGATTTCACAAGATCTGGAGGAACAATTTAGATCGGAAAAAGCTTAATAGACACTGCAAACGATGAAAAGTTTGCTGGCCCGATTTCCCTCAAAAGGACACACACTTGCAACGGGGGAGAATGGATCAAGAGGCAACGCGTGAAGGAGTCCGAGCTCACCTGTCCGAATTTCTCCTTGCATTTATCCTTGTCCCCGCAAAATACCCAGGAATCACAGAGGCAGGGCCCGTCTCCGGCATGGCACATGGCCTTGCACGCCTTGCAGCACTCCCTGGAGGTGTTGAACTTGAAGTCTATGCCCCACTTTACGGACGAGCCCCAAAGCTCCCTGTTCTCCACCCCCCTGCAGCATTCCCCCCTCGCCTCCTCAGCGTCCTCCCCTCCGGCGCCGGATCCGACCACCGGATCAATCAACGACGACGAATAAATCGATCGGGAGGACTGGCGGTGGACCAGGGACATGCCGGTGTACACGACGAAGCAGGTGACGAAGGCCACGAAGAGGAGAACGGCGGACAGTGGCCATCGCTCCCCGCCCCCGGCCCCGTCGCTCGATCTCCGCCTCATCTCAACACAGCAGCGGAGACGAAGCTCGGACGAGGAAAATTAGCGATCTTCTTCCTGCTGAGAGAGAGAGAGAGGCTGACTCCACCTTCGTCTCCTCCTTCCCCAAAGGAGTTGGCCGGCGTGACATTTTGTTACGTTTGGTGGAGAAGAGGTCAGTTGACTAAAAGGAAAATCAGTATGAATTGGCGAATACCAGATCAACTCTCTCTCTCTCTCTCTCTCTCTCTCTCTCTCTATATATATATATATATAAATTTCTCTCTCTTCACGGTACGAAGTGGAAGTCAGCGCTCGTTCTCTCTCTCTCTCTCTCTACATTTATCTCTCTCTTCAATGTACACAGAAGCGGCCCAGTGGTAACATCCGCTCTCTCTCTCTCTCTCTCTCTCTCTCTCTCTTAATTGCTCGGAAACATTGACAACAGCACCTGCTGTCTCTTTCCTAACCTCTCTCTTTATTGTGCCAATATCGCTCTATACAACGACCTCAACGTCTCCTCTAGCCGGGCCCACATTTTCCAATTTCTCATTTATCATTTTTAACCAAAATACCGCCATTTTTTATTCCCAAATAAAGCAATTGGTGTCGACTATTTCTATACTGGGCCGGCCCAATTCTGGCCCATTCTATTGGGGCAAGATTGGGCTGAAAATTAATCTCACTCGGCCCAATAGTAATCGATAAGCCCACCAACTCCAACCTCACCACCACCCGTAAATAGAACTCCATTAAGCATAGAAGTAAAAATGATAGTCTGGTAAACCCTAGCGGCCACCTCTGCTCCCCCTGCCGCGGCCTCTGCCGCCGCGGCCCCGGGCGGCGCCGCCGCCGCCCTTCCGGCCGTCGGGGACCTTCATGGAGTCAGGAAGGGGGAGGATGTGGTCGACGCACTTGCGAAAGCTGAAGTCGTCGCTGGAGCCGTCTGTGCGGACGAGGAAGAAGCAGCGGCTCTTCCACAGCGGATGGTAGCGGACCTCGAAGGAACGGACGCCGCCGGCGATCTTCCTCTCCGGCTCCGGATGGCCTCGCCGGAGCAGCTCCGTCAGGACCAGCTGCTCGTACTGTGGAAGATTAGAAGAAGAGAATGATATCAGCCTCCGATGTTGCAGCAGATCAGAGAAGCTAGATTCGGACGGTAACAGATTCTCATTCACGACGCGGTCGAATGGAGATCGAAAGATCATTTTAGCTAGGGTTACTGTAAGAGCACCTTGGATCATCCGCAATCCTGGAAGGCAATCCAGCATCAGAACAACAGATTGATTCTACATGTGAAAGATCGATCGGTACGAGACTGATGAACAAATACGACAAAGTTAAGCCAATTCTTATTCACGGTGCGGTAGAATGGAGATCGAAAGATGATTTTGATGAAGTTCACGGTATGAACATCGCGGATCACACCCAATCCTAACGGCAATTCGGTATCATAGCAACAGATTGATTTGAGAAGCGAGAGCATCGATCGATAACGAGACTGGCGAACAGATACGAGACAGTTGATCGAGAGGAAGCCGATTCTCAGCAGAAATCATAAATTCTTATTCTAAGAAATATGGGTATGGTATAGAACACCATCCGTGCCCTCATCGAGATGGAGTATCTATGGAACTCACAGCAGCAAGCTGAGATTGGATAAGAAACAATAAAATACTGGATGCGAGGGAAACATCGAAACGATACCGTTCACATATTAAGACTGATCCATCGATCGATACCTTGTTGATCTCAAGATCGGGAGACCAGGCGTGGAGCAGCTTGTAGAAGTAATCGAACATCTCCACCGAGGTGCCGAAGGTCTTCGGGCCGAGCTTGACTGGTAGGCCCTCCGCCTTCTCACCTGCATCCCCTTCCTTCTCCGCTCCTTCGAGCCGCTCCTCCTCCAAGGATTTCTCCGTCTTCGTCCTCTTCGCCGCTTCGTCTCCTTCTTCCTCCTCTCTCCCCCTCTTCCCGGTGGCTTGGGCATCTGGATCGTGGACCCCGTTAATCTTACCAGCCTCGCCGGCGCCGGCGACGGCGACGGCGAAGGCCTCCAGCTCCATATCCACAGCAGCGGCGGCTGGCTCCTCCGGTTTCTCCCCTTCCATGTACCCGGCGATGTTCCGCACGCACGGTTGAGGCGGCGGCGGCGGCGGAGGTATGCTTGCAAGGGTCTATGGAACCCAGCGCCGACTAGAGCGATATTCAGCAGGCTAGGGTTTTTGTTGCTCCTACTCATGAGGTAGGGTTTTACTAGTCACTTAATTACATAATTATCCTCTTTAAAAAGTTAATTTACAGTGTACCCTGGAAGAGTAAAGTCTTGAAGTTGTACACAAGTGAACCAAAACTTCAAGGAAGATGTGAGCTGAAATGACCCCAATTTGTAACAAGGAGCCTAGCAAAATTGGATTTAACATTAGTATGAAATAGACAGACTTGCCAATGACTCATTTATCCCACATACAATGTATATCCTTGTGGGCATAACTATTTATTCTTTCTTCTAAATTAGGTGATAGCCAAGATTATATCAATACTCCTCTTCATTGAGCAGACTTGTCCTCAAGGTGAAACTAGAAAACTTATGCTTGAATGGTTGAGGTCAGTTCCCACGAGGCTTCTAAGATAAGTAGTTGGTCCCACTAGATGGAGTGGAGTGTACCATCTCGGGCAAACATTCCAATGAATGTCATAATCCAATCCTACATATAGGATTTGATTTTGATCCTTTCGTCCTATCACCCTACACAATTAGAAAATATGAAAAATTAGGATAATTGAGCATGTAAGTGGCAAGTTGAAGCAATATGGCATTGCTTAGAGGAGAAAGTATCCCGACTAACAATACCACTAACGTATGATTTCCTTGCAACCAGAAACTCAACGTGAAAATCGGAATCACCTTTTTGACAGTTCAAAGAATCATATGAATGACATTGAAAGTCTCCAAGCTTTACAGATGGGTCAAGTTGTCAAGTTTGACTAAGCTAAAAATCTTACCAACGTAGTTACACACGTTGACCAATTTCTAATGTTTTAGTAGTCTCTATCTATCTATATTTATCTTTGGGAGAAACATCTTCGCTCTCTCTCTCTCTCTCTCCCGCACGCACACAAGCACAAACAGAGTTCCAAGGATGTCATTAAATAATTTGAAGATTTCAGGAATATGATGCGGACTCTGCGATGCTTAGCAAACTACAGATCATATTGAAACAATCCACTGTCCGATCAAGTTGATAACCGCAAATTTTTAATCTCCTTGGCCTCTCTCTCTCTCTCTCTCTCTCTCTCGATACGAATTCCTCTCCCTCTGGAACACATGGTCTCAGTTGGAGACATTATTTTTATGGGTTTTTTTATAAAGAATTTAAACATCGCGGTAGGAAGGGCTATCAGAGCGCTCTGTTTTGGGCTCAGACAGCCCGTTTGTCTTATTTCTGGCCCAGAAGCCCAATAAGCCCGTTAAAACTATGAGCTTAGATGAGCCGTCCATATGCATTATAACGGAGAGAAAGAGAGGGAGGGGGACAGGAACTGATGAACTAATTTACCTTAATTAGTAAATTAAAGTGAAAATATAAAGACTATTTTTAAAGGCTAAATTCCAAAAAAACCATTATCAAATTTTTCATAAATGCATTCTCAAGTTGCATGTTTATTTACATGAAGTGATTTCCAAAATAACACTTTAGGCTTAAATAATATTAAGTAAAGCATATTGTTTGACTGAAATGGTGAAAATGAACTAATTTACCTTAATTAGTACATTAAAGTGAAAATATAAAATGTTTCCCATATAAAGTTAAGGAACCTCTCTTAATTAGAGAGTTTCCCCCCATAGACTTTTGAGTGGACCCTTCTTCCTCCACCTCATGGCAATCATCCTCTAATTCTCCTTGGGGGGAGGAATCACCCAATCTAGCCTCAGATTGAGGTAGTGATTTTGTATATTCTTAATATCCCTCTTAGCTCTTTTAAGTCTTTCTCCCTACCACCCCCCCCCTCTAGCTTCCTATCTCTCACCTCTATCCACCCATAGTTGACTAGTCATATCCCACCTGGGGAAGTGTGTTCTTCGAGTACACTGGTTGCACCCCATATCTCACACTACCCCCTAATTCATATCATGCATGCTTGTTGACCCGAATGAATCTCGGGTCTGAGGCCTTAGGGTGTGTCTACTTGGAGGACTCTCAAGTCATTTCCCTTGTAATAAGATTTGCCTCCATGGGTACATCTAAATCCCTACTATTCCTAAGTAGTGGGGATTGGAGGTAGGTTCCTTAGGGTAGTGAGTCATGCAAAAAAATAATATCCCTTTTTGAAGACATTTTCTTAAGTGACAAAGGGGCGAAGGGTGGGTTACATACCCTTTTTCCCTTCCTTGCTACCTCCTCAATACACTTCCCAAGCTTCATGACTCCGTGGGCCTCACTTAGTAGGGAGTCTGATCGATTCTAGAATCTACCTTCTCCCAAGTAGAATTTCCTACAAGAATGCTCCCCTTGTACCTCATCTCTGCCTTTCCTTATTTTCTACTCCTCTTTGGACCCCATATTTGGGGTCCTTTGTTGGTTCTTCTTGAGGAGTCATCATGTCTTTCCTCCATACAAACTTTACACACCATCTTCCTTCTTTTTCCATCTGCCTCTCCTCATTCTCCTCCCTTGGTTGCCGAGTATCTACCACTCCCTCCCTGTCAGCCCCAACCTCAAACCCTCTCTACTCATACTCCTTGTCTTCTTTCTATGGATCATCCCTCTCTTTCTAATTGCACTAATAATTTCATGAACTGTGGCCAATCCTCTAAAATCTACTATAATAAGGTGAGACATTCTCTACCACCATTCGTTCTTCAATGACCTCCCAACCCTCATTTTTTATCATAATTGTTTTGAGGATGCGTTATGAGATGTTTACCTTAACATATACTTGGGCATATTCAGATGTGTAAAATGAGCAACATCTAGATCAACATAGATAAATGTATCAATCATAGAGGCAATTGTCTAGAGTGTAAAAGGGTTGAGAAAATGAGCTCTCAAACCTAATAAACTTATCTACAACGACACAAAGTGGGGGTTCACTATAGGGATAAAAAAAGGTAACATAGAATGTGGACATTCATTAGTCTTCAATCCTCTATATAATTCTTGCCATCTTAGAATCGAATACATGTGCCTTGTATCCAAGGCACAAACCGATATGTTCTCTTTTAATTTTTCTATCCTCTTGATAAGTCTTTATTATCATGAGTTAATAATTAGTAAATAGTATAGTTTTAGCCTTAACTCATGATAAATAGATTTATATTTATGTTAAAATGTGAAAAGTGGTTTTCAATTAATTAACGTGAATTTTTGGATAATTATGTGATTTTATATGAATTTATATAATTTTTACAATCTTAATTTTGAGATAAATGAAGAAAAAGAAATAAAAATAAAAATATAATAAAATGAAGGGGACCTGCCGGCCAACTGGGCCCACAAGCAGGTCGGAAACGCAGTCGGGGAGTAGTCGTGAGCAGGGGCTCGAGTGGCTAGGACCAATAGGGGCACGTTTGCACCACTCTCTTTCCACATCACCGGTGGCCAACCGGCTATGGGATAAGGAGTGGTCATACACGTAGGAGAAAGGGACTTGATTGTAAATATAATATTATTATATATTTGCCCGAAACTTCGGCACACAAGTGATGTGGGACTAAACTTGTGTCACACCTTCCCTAGAAGGATTCGATGATTTTAATACCTATAATACCCCTTATTTATAATAGAGAGATACCATGATGATGTCATTTAATAAGGGTATTAGAGTATTTATGTCAATCTCTCTCGTGCAAATAGGAAACCGGCATAGGTTCAAATCCTCCTAGAGCCAAAATTCATATTTTTATCTCATTATCGTGACTTTCTTATAAATCGCTAGTGAAGGATTAAGCTGCCAGAATCACTGAATAATCGACGAAAATCTCGTCAACACGATTCGCAGAGTATTGTTACTAAAATTGTTGAATGATTCACAATAAAAGGATCGCGAATCCATCGAGTAAAGCATCTCTAATTGATCGACGAACAATTTGTCCTCGAGAAGAAGACGATCCCTCGGGAGACGAGTCGCCACCTTTTGAGAGCATACCGGATGTGATGAAGAGCCTCCTCTTACTATGCAGACTTGAGGATGAAGCTCCCTGACACGCACCCCACCTCCATCAAACCCCTCTCTGTCAGGTGATAGTCACCGGAGAGCCACAAAGTCGCCGTTTTTCTGCTCCGCCAGGTGACAGCTGTTGAAGACGATTCAACGACCTATTTTATTGATCTCTAGACTTCACAAGTAGATCTAGAGATTTTCCATGTCGTCCTTGTCTAAAGAGAGCCTTCGAGGCTGTGGACACTACACGACGATCCTCTCGAATGTTTAGGATTCCGGTGCATCGCTGACACATTGCTGTCGCGATGTCAGAACTCTATTTTCCTGCTTTCAACCGAACTTCTACTTCATTTAGTGATAATTTGTGTGATTTAAATCTACCAAGATATATTTCATTCAATTACGATTCTTCTAACTTTTATAAATCTTAATTTGATCAATTAAATCATCTATAATCACTTACGTAAGAATCACCATGTGGAACTCTATTTTTGCTCAATTCACGTTCGTCAAGCGCTAACGTCATCCTGACATCCGCACCTTTATTTTCCTTTTTTGTGAATTCAAATATATTTAATTTTTATTTTCTAGTATAAAATTTATAGAAAATAGTATTCTTTGAGAAAAATTTTAAATAATTACCAGATATTATATTACATCTCTATGATCGACTTAGAAAATTACCACTATTTTAAGAAGTTTTATTGAATTATAATTGATATATTTGTTTAGAAATACTTCTAAATATCTAAAAATTCGTATTTTCTAGTTTTATAAATTTTAAATTTACGTGATTTACTATACAATGACTAATTCATGTCACCTCTTTACCTCATCACAAATGATTAGGAGGTAATAACAATTTCTACCGAACTTCCCCACAATTGCCTGTTTAAATGTAGCAATCGGTTGGGTCACTTCCTCTCTAGAGAATTCAATAATTAAAATTGTCTCATAGATATAGGGCCTTTTTTGTGATGTAACATTTACAAATTATGGACTAAAGTGTTTTTATTGAGTAATAGCCACATAAGAATGCTTGGGTCCTACTTCTGGTTTAGATATGGCTACTTTCGAGTGAGAGAGGGTCATATGGAACTTTCTAATCAAATAGGCTAAACCTCTAATATTTGTGTCTTGTCTCTACCTTTTGCATGCCCTATACCTCTAGTACCCTAGGGCTTACTTCGGAGATCCTTTACAAGCAATCTCCAATTGTATGCGCCTCCCTCCATCTCGTAAGATTTTCCATTCTCCATCTCTACAATAATAGTATAAAAATTAACACGACTACATAGCATCATGGATGACATGCTAGCAATCAAATAAGAGGAGGGGTTAGGAGATATCATTGCCCCCAAGGTTGAGATTTATCTTGGAAATTTTACATCCTCCCCTTCTTTTTTGTTCTTTTTCTTTCCCACTATTACTTCCTCATTCTCATATGCCATGTATGACTGCTCCACAATTCTTTCTCCTTTGTTGGTTACGCTTCCTTCCACAATTGGGACACTCTTTGAACTCATCAATACTTCCCATTGAGGAGATTTATTTCTTTGCCTTTTCATTTGCCTATAATATCAACTCAATAGTCAGTATTTTTCAATGTAAAGTCTATTGTGGAGGATCTATTGACCATAGGGGGTTCATCCTGCTCAAAATACTTTCCACAACACCCTCAAAATTCTTGTCCCCCCTCAATTTTTTATTGAATATTTGACTACATTATGCACTAACAGTCTATTTCTCCCTCAATATTCTTGTCCCTCCTAATGTTCACAGCTAAAATCTCTCTTGTCACTACCTCATTCATCATGATACTCCCTAGAAGTTCAAACCTTTTTGGAGTTGTTACTACATGTGGGCTCAACACTAGGATCATTGGACCTCCAAAAACCTCTACTCCTTTTTCTATCATTTGATTTTCCTTAGATGCAAGTTGCTCTCCTTCAATCCCCACTAAAAGATATGTTTTTGTGGCTATCATATTCCCTTAAGGGTTCTCTTCTTCTATGCTTCCATCTTGTTCCTACTCATGTATGTGAAACTCTACCACCACATTCTCTCCTTTCATCATTTGCTTCATTGGCATTAGTGGTTGTATAATTTTTAGAGACTTGTCACCATCTTCCTCAACACATTCAATTGGGTTTTTATGGCTAACTCCGATCATAAGATCTTTCTTTTTACTTTGTTGATGTAGCTCATTCTATTAGGCATACATCCCTGGCATTTGGTTTTGTCACTTTTCTTCACCAAACAAATAGGAGTTGAGCATGCCTTGCCTTTTTCACCCATTATTGTTTGAGAATCAGGAGTACTATAGTCATGGCCTAACTCAACTCTTATTTATACTTGACCTTCCACCAACGTAACTTATCTTCTTTGTTCCAACCACCTCTTGTCATTCCTATAGGGAAATAGTAAACAAGACCCTCCTAGAGTTATCATAAATGTAATAAAATAACCTTGAATCTACCTTCAACCTTCTCAATTCTAGGGACAACTAGATATTGTCTTAACTATATTTCGATGAACTTCTAAACCTTAGTACCTTCACTTATAAATAAAACCTTTTTTCTCCACCACATGCACTTTGTCTCAATTGTGAGAAGGGTTTGTCACAACTTAGTAAATAAATACTCCAACACCTTGGCCTTCAAGCACAAATGTTTGTTTACTCCCAGACCTCTCTCTTCACTTGGGCCCACAAAGAACCTAACAACTTCCTATGAACTATCAATGCACCTTACGTGCCCTAGATATGGGTCAGATCTTCAATTTCAGAGTTGAGAGCCATTTATTTTACTTCAGCACCTCATTGAAGGCTACTTACGTTGAAATCATTATGTTCCCACCTAGGACTAGAGTGCACCTCTAAACAAACCTTTGATTCTACCTAATGACCATATGCCTCATCTACTACTAGCAAGACCTTTAGAGTGAGACTAGCATAACCCCCTCATCAATTTGGTCAGAAGGCACACCCTTCTTCTACCTTCTCCAATGTAACCTACCTCACGAACCTCCCTTCAAATTGTCCAAATTGTCAGTGCACATTACCCTTCAGTGGCGTTGCAGAAATCACTCGCATTGAGGAGAGAGAATTTTTATCCATGAATGAGTTTTGACATATCTCTAGTTGATTTATCATGCTCTATTGATATTGATATAACATCTAAAATAACTCTAGATTCCATTTTTCATGGTTATTTTGGGTCAACATGTTTAGTATCCTTTTATCCTAATGTTGTTGAATTAAAAATACTCCATCTTCTTATCATAAAATTGAATGAAAATGTCTTGTATCTTTATTTGCTCACTTTTATATCAATAAAAATACACACTCAAAAAGAGTAATAACCACCTAGTTCTACCATCTTTTATTTGTGATCAGAACCACAAGCATTTATTTCGAATTTATTGTGTATGTTATTACATAAGAAATGTAAGACATGTACATCAACATGACTATATAGAGTCACAAGTGCCCATTATGAAAATGGTAGCAGACTTCACACTCATAGAATGACAAGTGTCCATGTTTAAGAAATTCTCATCATAAATTTTAATTACCCATTTTTATCTCCCTTGAGAATATTTAATTTTTGAGAGAAAATATGAAATAATTTGATGATTACATAATAAATAAATACTCAACAACAATCTGGGGTGGCCTTTTTTGATATACAATCCTCTTCATTGAAACCCTCACAATAAAATGTTTTGCTAAAAAAATTTGTGCTTGCATACCTACCCTTTTAGAAATGAAGTTGGTGTGAGACAAGAATTGGGGGGGGGGGGTGTACAAAAAAAACCATCACAAGGTACAATCAATAAATAGTTCTCCTTTAGGGATGGATCATGAATGATAAAATGGGAGTTGGTGAACTAAACATGCCTATATATAAATTTTTTTTATACCATTATAGGTTGAGATTTGAGGAATGGAAGGATAGATGAAAATTATAGTTTTTTTGTGAGTAATCAACATCTTATGATGGTTTTTTTTATTGCTATATTCATCCAATTTATTTATTACCCAATATGTTCTAGTATGAGACTTAGGTCCATGTTATTGAGCCCCTTTTTATGCCTACTTTTTATTGAAAAAATGTCACTAATACGAAGCTAAGAATTCTTGATAATTTCGATAAAAGTCCTTCTCTTTTCCCTTTGACTAATACGAGGCTGAATGGGGAAATATTCAGAAAGCCAGAATTTCTGTTAAAAAACAAAAGGGGGGGCAGTACAAATAAGGATGACGTCAATAAATTAGGGTGGGCCCCACTCTGGGCCCTCCAGCTGGACATGTTCTAGCTCCAGACGTGAGCTAAGGGTTGGCTGCCACAATCATTTGGTGGCCATGACAGATGTTAGAGAGAGAAAGAGGGCTCTGAGAGAGGGGGAGAGAGAGAGAGAGAGAGAGAGGATCAACTGCCGACGGCCCCCTCTCACAGCTGTCCCAGATTCGGTGGCGGTAGATCGGCTGATCTGCTGAGAAGGCCCCCCCATCGGATTAAAACTAATTAATATGCATCAATAATATTTATTGAAAACAGATATTATTTAAGTTTGAGGTGAAAATAAAAAAAAGGTTACGCCCTAAAACCCAGCGGATGTGTGTCATTCGATCAGATCCTTGAGGCACGTTAGGAATCTGGGGGGATTTAACATGCAACCACGTGGTTAAATCGCCGCATGTAATTAAGCCGATGCCCCACATGCCTTGCCAGAAGGACGCATAGGACAACCGCAAGTCAGGTTACCTCCTTCCGTCTCAACCACACAGGAGGAGCCCACCCCCACCCCCCCAACCCCCCCCCCCCCTTCCCTCACTCCGCCTTCCCCACAAAACCGCTGGCTTCCCTCCTCACCACAAGCGCCTCTCTCTCTCTCTCTCCCGGGGTGCGCCACGTGGCCCCCACCTTTCAAGATCTTATCAAGCCTACTGCACTTTCGGTTTTAGCTAGCATGGAAGCAGCATTAAGAACTTGATCAGTCTTTTTGCCTTCCGGTGGGTCCCACTTACCAAGAAACTAATTACTTTTTTGAAAAATCCTTCACCGAAGCATGCCTAGAATAGTTAATAAATATTTTCAATATTAGCTTATCAAAATAGAAATACCTAAATTAAAATATAAAAAGTATTTTTTATATTTATATAAATAAACAGTACTAGACAATATTTATATAAAAATATTATTTATATGTAGGAGAAAGATCTTTGTTATCCACTTTAAGAAGGGTAATCTTCAGAAACGGGGGAAGACGAGTCATGTATGTTATTTGTACAACTTAGTTGGGAGTTTTATGTAATTTTGGGTATCCAATGGGATACACGTATATATATATATACTCCGAGTCTATTGGCAACACTTCAACCAGTGCCTCAAAGCTCGGAAAACGCTCTCCAAATCTGGAACCGCGGCGGCGGCGCCGCCGACGACGAGGGCGGCGCCATGGCCGAGATGTGGCGGAGCCCCCAGATGGTCCCCCGATTCGTCGGATTCCTCTCCTCCTTCCTGCAGAGAGTGGCAGAGACGAACGACGCCCTCTGGATCCACGGCGGAGGCGGAGTGCCGCCGTGCCACCACAAGGTCACCGTGTTCCACGGCCTGTCGAAGCCCGGCATCACGGTGGCGAGTTATCTGGAGCGGATCTTCACCTACGCCAACTGCAGCCCCTCCTGCTACGTTGTCGCTTACATCTACCTCGACCGCTTCTCCCGCCGGCAACCCCTCGTTGCTGTCACCTCCCTCACTGTCCACCGCCTCCTCATCACCAGCGTCATGGTCGCCGCCAAATTCATGGACGACGTGTGAGTCTCTCTCCCTCTCCCTCTCCCTCTCCCTCTCTCTCTTCCTCCCTCTCTCTTTGCGAGGGGATCTCGGACCACTGGAGAGGGTTTATCGGAGAATTATGCGGCTTCTGGATCGCAGCGAACGGAATCTTGAATGCGCTTTGAAGGAGATTGTGGGGAGATTTGGTAATCGATTTCCGAGATAGATTTTGTCGTGGCTGCTTGTTATTCTTGAACCCCCCCCTCCTCCTCCCTCCGCGGATTCCTTGCCTTCGCAACAAGAAGATGAAAAATGTGGGCTCACTTTCCCGGTTTTCACCCACTCCGGCTCTCTCTCCCTCTCTCTCTCTCTCGCTAGTTTTTTCCTTCTGGGTGCATCTGGTCCTGTGTTCTTCCTGGGTTTTTTCACTCTCTGACCTTCTGGGGCACGGCACCGGCCTTCAGCCCTCCCTCCCTCCCTCCCTCTCTCTCTCTCTCTCTCTCTCTCTCTCTCTCTCTCTCTCTCTTATTCTCTCTCTCTAGATATATATACATGTATCGGTGCCAACCAAGATTGTGGGGATCGGGTGACTTGGAAGCAACTCTCCTTCCGGAATTAAATTCGATCCACCTAATTTGGTCACGGCGGACTCTTTTCTCCCTCATCTTCGTCTCCGGCGCCGGCGACTTCTCCTCTCACACCGAGTTTTAGACAGATCCTCCATTCTCCATCCTCGATTCTCCGTTTCTCTCTCATCAGATATTGAGGCCTTTCTTCTCCGGCGCCGGCAGGTGCTACAACAATGCCTTCTTCGCCAAGGTGGGCGGCGTGAGCACGCTGGAGATGAACTTCCTCGAGAGGGACTTCCTGTTTGGGCTAGGGTTCCGGCTGAACGTGACGCCCTCGGTCTTCGGCTCCTACTGCGCCCACCTCAAGAGAGAGATGCTGCTCGAGTTTCCCTCTCCTCCCCTCCACTGCTTCCTCTCTGACGAGGAGCCCTCATCTGCTTCCGCCGTCGCCTCTGCTGCCGGCCACCAGCATCAGACCCAGCTCGCCGTCTGACATCATCTCCCCCAGACTGTAAATTCCGATCCTCTCTCTCTCTCTCTCTCTCGCTATCTCTCTCTCCCTCTCTCTTTGTCTCTTTGTCTCTCTCTCTGCCTCTGTCTGTCTCTCACTAGGATTTGGAGAGAGAATATGCATGCCTGGTGAGTTCTTCCTGGTTGTAGAAGAATGAGGAACCCTAACGTGAAGAAGGAAGAGCTTTGGAGATTGGGTCCGGAGATCAGAGCACGAGAAAAGGGAAGACAAAATCCCGCTTTCCATAAATAGAAAATATATTTCTCTGGAATTTCGTAGCGGGGTGGAAGGAAACATGGCCGACGAGAAAATAAAATATATATAAAAAATAAAAATAAAATAGACAAGTTCGCCGCCGATTTAAATTTCCGCCGGGGTTGACCGGTGGGGCACCGTTAATCTAAACCGTCGGATCAAGATCGTCGACATCATATGCACTCCTTAAGCTTTGAAAGCATGCGCTTACGCCGACATTGACTTATCAGTCAACGAGAATGATGAGGCCCTTGTTTTGCAGGTACGTTGTTATGTATTCCCTGCCTTACACAGGACGTAAGCAGTAGGAGAGAGATTGAGACAGAGTGTGTAGGGGTTCCGTGCGAGGTGCAACACATCTGTGACATCTGACATGGCACATGGGAAAACACTCGCTCGTCTGACTTTCTCTCACCTCGAACGACGTGAAGAGGGAGAGAGAAAGAAGTTTAATTATTGCCAACGTTTTAACTACTGGAAACAGAAACTATTCGATCATCTTCGTGGTCGCAGAGTTCGCAGGCTATAGAAATTGTCGGTGGAGCCGACACCTCAACTCCTCTCTCTCTCTCTCTCTCTTTCTCTCTCTTTCTTTCTCTATCCCCCAGGGGAAGATTTGACCAGAAGATGGGTGCCCCGACGTCAGCATGAAGCTGTCGGTAGAAGATGCATAGGTCCGTCCTAGTTTGACTTTCGGGAAGATATTTCCCAGATATTCAGGTTTTGTTTTTTTCAAGCTATTTAAATGGGGTGATTTTAGTCCGTTTTATTGGTGTTGCTGAGATTGCATAAATATATGAGCCCCCGTCCATCCTCATTATTAATATATTTATTTCTTAAATATTCAGATTTTTATTTTTTATATTTTTTTATTTTTTTCCAGAAGGAATCCTCATGAATAAATTTGTTTTCTTACATTAACCCAATATTAATAAAACATTCTGTGGTATTGATCGAGAAGTTGAGCTTGAGATAAATTGTATTAGTAATTAATTTTATTATTTTGAGTTTATATTTTTTATTAATACTTTAAATGAATGAAAATAATATATAAATGCTGTTTGTTTGGGATTTAAATGCTCTGTGAGTATCCATCCATAAATAATTAAATGGTTTTTTTTTTCGATGGAATGAGGAGAAAGTGGAGTAAATTAAATGAGAGGGTTGACTCGAACTCTCGTGTTCTTGCAGATGCGAGTCCGAAACCCTAAGATTTGCCGTTTCCGTTCGCAGCGGGGGGTTTGACAATGGCTGAGGGGAGAGAGGGGACAGAGGCGATCCCGACGGCCGCGGCGGAAGATGGATGCGCCGACTCGGCGGCGCCGCTAGCCGCCGGGCCCTCGCAGTCTGATGCTTCCCTGGCCGAAACCTTTGCAGCCAGGTGAGCTCTCCCTGGCGGGATAGCGGAGGGATTTATTGCTTTCTTCTTTCCTCAATCTCTGGTAATTCGTCGCCGGCGGAGTTTCTCCTCAGGATGACGCTGGACGAGAAGTACGACCTCGTCAGGAGCATCGGGGAGGAATGCATTACGGAAGACGAACTCCGAAACCTTCTGGCGAAGAAGCCGAACCCCATCTGCTACGACGGTTTCGAACCCTCGGGTAGAATGCACATAGCCCAGGTTTGTTCCATTTTACTGTGCTGTGGCGGGCGGTACAGTCTGTTTGCCAACCTGTCGGAAATGGATTCGCGTTACTCTTGACTGATGTCTTGTTGCTTAGTGGTAGATCGAGTGGCGTAAATTATAAAAAATTGCTAGTGGAATATTCAGGGAACGCTTTTTTATTTTTTTCTCTACGTGTTCATCTTGGCTTAACTACTATTGTTTAACGTGCCAGTACCTGTTGTAAGTTTCGCAGTGATGGATGGTCATCTGCATTTTTCACAAAACCAGCAAGCAAATGGTCTGTAGAGGGTGTTGGGTAGACCCGAAGGCGCTTTCTGTTGGCGTGGGCAAACTGAAGAAGGATGTCATGTTTTACTCGCCCTGTCTGATGGAACGAATGGCCTCGAGGAAGAAACCAGTTTTTGATTCCATCTACGCTTTGAGTGGGGTCAGTAGTTGTCTGCGTGAACAGTAAAAAGCCTCTCTACCAAATATATGGTGAATTAGATAGAAATGTGCCTCAAGGTGGATTCCTTCGTCGGACATCTATGGTTGCTCGTCAGAAATTTCTGTGTAAATATCAATGCTGGAACGAATTATGGGCTTTTCATCTAATAGAAACTTTTTGCAAAATATGAGAGACTAATCTGTGCCTTTTAGAAAATTGTGAGGGAAAATAAGGATTTTTAGATAAAATATTGCTGATTTTTATATGAAATGTCAGACTTGGAGCTAGGTCTGGCTTCCTCGTTTAGCCAACTATTTTGGTGAGAAATGTGAGTTACAATTTTTTTTTGGCTGAGGGTCATTTGAAAGATGTTCCAAAGTAGCAACAATGCCATGCTTCTTGTGACAGAATAGGATGCCTTTGCCATGCGGCATTTCAATGTTAAGATCATTTATTATTGGAGCTTCAGTGTGCTGAAGAAGTAGTGTTTGCCTTGATTTTTAGTCTTTCTATGAGGTAAAGAGAACTAAAATACGTGTTCTTATGCTTACTGGCTACAACATATAACGTGCATGCAAAACAAGGACTACTGTTTCCAGTGACAAAGGAGAGATGATAAAACTAAGTAGGTACTATTCCTGTTGAGTGTGTATTTTTATCAATAGAAAAGTGAGTAGATGAAGATGTAAGACATTCTCATCTAGTATGCTGATCGGAAATGTTAGGATAGAAGGATAATAAACTGTTCACCTAAATTAGCTGTGGAAAACAGAATCTGGGTTTTTGAAGATGTTACATCGATATCAGGAGAGAAAGATACATCAATTTGGTAATGTGTGCATCTTGCCAGCTAGCATTGTCATTTGTTTGTCGTTATGTACGAGTAAAACAAATGAAATGAAAAATCTCCTTGTTCATTTGCCTTTCTAAATTACTGCCTCGTCGCATCTTTCTACCATACATGGAGGCTATTTAGATTTGCATTGATTGCCATGGAGATAAGTGCTCTCTATTCTTTTGGCTGTTTTATGTTATGCATATCTGGTAAAATGACTATGTTTTCATAATGTAGGATTCTTACTCTTAGAATCTTCTTTCGATATTTAGACGCAACCTTTGATATATTCTTGACCCTTAAGCATATATATTTTTTTATGATTGTCGTCACTCTAGCTATTCAGTGTGTCACCATGTTTGTTACGGTCCCATTTTATGAAAAGATATACAATGGGAAGATGATATAAGCTGCGGTTCCCTCTGTGGTGATATAGACCAGATTTTTTTGGTCTCAATCCTTGTTGCTATATATCCGCAATGTATGCTAGTCAGTATATTCAACAAAAAAGCAGAAATGGCAATCAATTTGTATCTAGAACTCCTCAGGAATAGCCTGGAAAGAGGGTTTCTGGGCCTTGGAGACAATCAAAGTGTTGAATGCATGAATTCAATGATCGATCAAATCTGTAGTCTGATTCCTAAGGAAGTCTAAGAAAACAGGCAATCTAGTTCTCTCTGTGTTGAAGTACGAGAGGTAGAGGAACCAATGGTAGCATCAGTGACGGAATAAACAGTCAAAGCCATAGTTTTCTTTGGTTGTCTGTTCTTTCAGAAGTGCTGGCCAACTACTTTAGTTGATGGTTATGTGTCTGTATTTTTCATACTCAATCGCCAGTGCACCTGCCAGGGCAATAAATCTATCCCACTTCGAAAGAAAGGACTTCACAGTAGTCACCTTCTCCTTGGTGAGACAAATCCCATCCTCCCTTGCCTTGCGACCTAGGTATTCCGTTTCCTGTTTCCACCGTGTCGCATTTGACGTTTGGCTTCAGTTTCTCAGCTTTTCAAAAAATTCCTCTTTGGAAGAAAATTTAGTGAAAAAATGAAGTGAAAAGAATGATACATTCTTCTCCATGATTTGCACTTGTATCTTGGAACGTACGAAAAATATTTTGGAGTATAAGCAGGGAAACAGGTGCCTTAATTGCAGTTCCATGATATGGGCCTTGCTTCCTTCTTTTGGTTTAGTTATGATTTTGCTAGCTTAGATTTGGGTGTTATTTATCTTCTTTTTGTTCTGTGCTGCAAATTTAGCCGTATAATAAATATTGGTGGCTTGTAGACATGCCTTCGTATATCATCTTTAAAAGTTCAACTTCTAGATTGGTCATATAATAAACAGTATGGCTTGAAGAGATACTAAATTTTTGGATTGCCTATTAATTCTTGTATTTCTATTATTACCAGGGGGTCATGAAGGCAATTAATGTAAACAAGTTAACCTCAGCTGGATGCTCAGTTAAAATATGGATAGCTGATTGGTTTGCACAGCTAAATAACAAGATGGGAGGTGACCTGAAGAGAATCCAAACAACTGGACGTTATCTAATAGAAATATGGAAAGCTGTTGGAATGAATCTTGACATGGTCGAGTTTTTATGGACTTCAGAAGAAATCAACAAGAGGCCTAATGAATATTGGACCCTTGTCATGGACATAGCTCGAAGGAATAATCTTCCTAGGATACTCAGGTACGTTTGGAAATTCTATTTGCTTCACCGGTTTGTTTATTCTAATGTCTCATTCCGATGTCTAATTTGCGATTTTTCTTCCTTTTGCCAACATTTTAAGGTGCTGCCAAATAATGGGTCGGAATGAGCAGGATGATTTGACAGCTGCCCAGATCATGTACCCCTGCATGCAGTGTGCTGATATATTTTTTCTGAAGGTCAATTATCTTCTTCTTTCTCTTTAGCATACGAGCCATGTTTGTTCTTATGGTTTGCGAGGATTATATTGCTGGATATAGATAGCCAAAACATATGGTAGCGTGCAACTGTTTTTCCATTTTTCTTTTGTTTTCCTATGATGATGTATTTTCATTTTTCTCCTGTATACTGACCGCCATTATTATTAAGATTCTGAACGGCATGATTAAGAAAGGAATTTGTGCTATTTACAGGCAGACATCTGTCAATTAGGAATGGATCAAAGGAAAGTGAATGTTCTTGCAAGAGAGTACTGCGATGCTATCAAAAGAAAAAACAAGCCTATCATCCTATCACATCGTAATTTTCTCGTTCTGCTTTTTCTAATTGAATTGTTGATTTGATATGATGGTTGTCGATTGACAGTTGCTGTGACATACTGCAGACATGCTGCCTGGTCTGCAGGAGGGGCAGGAGAAGATGTCAAAATCGGATCCAGCTTCTGCTATTTTTATGGAAGATGAGGAGGTATGAACATGTACTGAAGTATTGCTATTTTTCACTTGGAATCTTTTTTTATTCTAAGATAAAGCAAACCATCTGTGTTTTCCGCATATTTTCATTATATATAATTTGGTGAGGGATATTCAGTCCTCGTCCTCGATATTGTATGTGGGCATTTTATAGGGTCGTCTATCTTTTCTCATGTCTTCCTCACAAAGCATCTATTGATTTCACATATGCATTTACATTGATTTTTCACAGTTTTATGGTTCTGCTCTCTGTGTGAACAATGTTTTGATCAGTCTGTGTTTCTCTGGTTGTCTTTAGTACTGACTTTTACAGATTTGGTATATTTTGATGCATATCTGGCTGCCAATCTTTTGTGAAGATGTTGCAACGGAATACTCGTAAAGATGTATAAGCATATTTGAGATGCAGTATTCGTATGCAAGCTAGGAGGTTCAATTGCTCGAGTTTATTTAAAACTCTTATTAGAGGAAAATATTGCAAATGAAATCATATTAAATTCACGAAAATCTTCGGGCTTTTGGATATTTGATTGCTTCACATTTGGCTAGTCTGAGTGATTGTTTTATAGACGTCTTAGAAAAATTATGAACAATTCAAAATGTGGTGACAGTGGGCTAATTTTTGTTTGGATCAAGATGTACTTATATGTTAGTTCATGCACCTGTTTTGTGTTGATCTGGATGTGTTGAACATGAGAATTTCAGAAACCTTGACGTTGGGATGCAGGCAATGAATGGCGTCTGTTCATGCATGTGAAGGAAAACTCGTCAGATTTTTTGTCAAGTATGAAAGGAACGATAATATTTTATTGAACCGGTAAGATTTGAGATTCAAAAAAGTAAATACTTGTATAGGGAAGACTAAATTACGTGTTGAAATGTGAATACGAAGGGACATGTAAGCTGGCAAATTCAGATGTAGCCAGGGTTCTATGATATGACACAGCCAATAAAAAAGTCGATCAGTGGGACGTTGTATACTGTCAGATGTACGATTCTTTGGAGAACGGCGAAACGAAAGGGAATTTGTGGGAATAGCGTCAGAAGTCATCATTTTGTTGGCCAATAAAAGATGATCAAGTTTTGGCATAGGGTAGTTTTTGTGGCGTTTGATGAACAGAGATTATATATTTATAAGCTCTTATTAGTACGCTTTAATGCCTTTCCAATTTTCATCAGATCGTAGAAGCTAAATTTCTGGTGCTGGAGCATTGGAACCTTGATTCCGTGACTTCTAGGACCTTTGTTGTTCCTATCACAGCAAATACTACTAAAGGCCTTAGAATTTTTTGACTTGCTTAGATCTTATTTTCGAATTTCTCTGTATTATAAATATATGTGTGACCTTTTATAGTAATGGAATATATTTTTTAGCTTTGTACCATTAAAATTTTCAAATTTCAAAATTATTTCTTTTTTAGCATTTTCAACTGCTCAAACTCTGTTGCTTCCCTTCTTTTTTTTTTTTAACAGTAGTCTGCTTCCTGTTAATACATGCATTTTTATGGTCTTTTACCCTGGCTGTTGTAGAGCGCAGTCAATGTAAAGATAAAGAAAGCATTCTGCCCACCCAAGATTGTTCAAGCTAACCCCTGTCTGGAGTACATCAAGTACATCGTATTTCCCTGGTTTGGGAAATTTGAGGTGTCGCGTGATATCAAAAATGGTGGGAACAAGTAAGTTCATATTTATCGATTTTATTTCAATAGTTATTATGTTCACTTTAATGCCTAAGACATACGCGGATGTTTGTATTATGCGGGCTCGACTAGTTATTATGAGGGCTTTGTGTTCCTTGCGGCTACTGCAGTCTGATCCCGCAGAGTGCACGAAGAAGAATAGGGAAAGAAGCTCGCCATTGTACCGTCGATTTGGATCAGAAAACAGTCCCTGTTCTGGTTTCAAGGCGGTTCTCCCGTTCTCCAGTTGAATTATTAGAGGAAGAAAAATAGAAGATTCAGCTTTTATTGGTTAGTCTTGGTTGGGTCGGCCGGTTCTGGGCTGAGCTTGGGTTGCTTTATTTAGTCGTCCTTTCTATCTCTAGAGGAAAGATATTGCTGTTCGTAGAGACTGAAGTAGAGAAGAGAAGTTCAGTAGGCACAACAATATAGGATAAAAATTTAGACAACCATCGACTGCCATGACCACCAGCTGTTGCCACCTGCAGTGCACTGGTAGGATTGGGGTTTCTTCCTTGTCCCCATCCTGCCGTGGGCTTCTCTTAAACCTTGCACACTGAAAACCATTGTTTTAATACACTTCCATATATACTTTATCGAATAATTGTTATCACACTTTACCTAAATTGTTTTCTTCCCTTGGATCAGCCTATTGTCCGATTAAATCCCACCATGATTAGGGAGGGATCTTTCCAGGCTTATTCAACCGCCCTTGCATCCAAGGGGATCTGTTGCCGTGGTGGATGTGTGCAGTCATGGCTTTCAGCTTTCATAAGGCAAAATTTCTACGAATCAAAGCCAATTAACCAATTTGGTCAGAAAGATTTAGTTTTTTTTTTATATAATTATAATGGGTTCTCGATTTAGTGGGATAAATCGGAACGGACCACAGGGTTAAGTTTGGGCCTTTCATTCCCGATTTAATTTTGCTTCTGAATTGGACTTCCAGTCATAAGTTGTTGTGTCTCATCAACACATATCATGTCATAGAAAATGGAAAAGACTTGCAAAAGGAGCATGAAGGCGAAGATAGAGGGGGGCATCCAAGCAGCTCTGCAAAGTGTTGCCCGTATTTGAGTTATCCCTTGTGTTTATCTTGTAGAACCTGAGTTGGCAGTGATCATCAACCAAACGAATCCGCTGAGGAACGTGTAGTTTTCTCGTGATGATTGACTAAAATTTATCTGACTGAACCTCACTTACCTGAGAATATCAGTTTTCTGATTTTCATATTATTCTTGCAAATTATTCTTGCAAATTATTCTTTTTCTGTTCCCAATGCAATACAGACTGGGATTTTCTTGAAGCGTATATTGCATTTTTTTTATAATAAAATTTCGGTTGAGATCCTTTATTGTTGGTGATCAGTTATTTATGTTCAACAACAGATTTTGTTTCTACTTTGAGATTCAGATGAACTTTGTGGTACATCGCCAGATCTGGTTATTCTATATCTTTCTAACTAGTGAGCCATTCCTTCGTCCAGAGTCTACAACAGCATGGAAGAGCTGGTTTCTGATTACGAGAGTGGGGCATTACATCCAGGCGACCTGAAGCCTTCTCTCTCAAAGGCATTGAACCAGATTCTTCAGGTAAACTCTAGATCCTCCGCTCATCCACATATCTGCATACTATATATATGTTACGAGAAGTAGTTGCCTGTGTGGGCCATGAATCCACTTTACTTTTGTATGCGCTACTCGAGATCCCAGGAGAATGGGATTCTTGATAAATTGATCCCTTGTTCGTTCTTGCTGATCTTCCCATTCACTCCCCCTTTCGCTTCAATATCTCCCAATCTAGTATGCAGCACACTCTCATATATGACTAGACATGATTTTTTTTAAAAAAAATTATTTTTTATTTTTTATTTTTTATTTTTTATTTTTTATTTTTATTTCTATTAGATATATTATTTTTTATTTTTTTGTTGGAGGGGGGTTACTCATTCTCACTTCCCTCAATGTGTTGGCAGCCTGTCCGGGATCACTTTAAGAACAATGCCGAGGCCAGAGAACTACTGAAAACTGTCAGGGTATATATATCCTCATTTCTCCTCTTCTCATTTTATTTATTTATTTAATCTTTTTATTATTATTTTTAAAGATCCATGCGTTAGTTAACTATCTTACTTCACAAAAGTATGATTTCCGAGTTGAGATCTCTGTAACAGTTCCTCCATCTAGAGGGCAATGAGTAACTTTGGCTTATGGCCTTCTCCGTAATTTGCAGGCATATAACATCACAAGGTGATGGGGTTGGCGTCTCACTGAGTTCATTGTTGTGGGGAGAATTTTTATGTTTTTATTTAATATGATTTCCTCTTTACTTTCCCCTGAGGATGTTGATTCTGCCATTAAAAAGAGAATCGAACAGCAGGTGCTTGAGCATCATTTATCTGAAACGCTTTCGAATTTTTTTCCTCTCTAGGAAATACAGCTTTTCCTTCCTTTTCTTCTCTTGTGTGGAGAGATGTTGTAACCTTTGATTAAGTCCGTTGACTCTGAGGCATGCGTTTTCATGAACTGGGTGTTTGAATCTTCCTGCCGCTTTCATGGATACATACTGTCGGATTAATCAAAGGCCACACTTTTTTCTTTCCCACCCCCCCCCACCCCCCCCAATGTTTGTAGATTGAACTGATGCAAGATCTCAAGCTCTGTTGTTCGTCAAGTATAGCTCCAGATTTCTTGGGCATGATTTCTATTCTCATACGGGACCCGTCAAGATTTACGGCGGGGGAGGGGCTCATTTTTGGGTGGAGGGGGAGGCTGATTATTTTATTCCCTCCTTTCTCCTGCTCTGTTCTTCATCGTTTGAACCCTAATCAGGCAGAATAGTGAATTCAGTATTATTTTCAAAATTTGGGAAAGAAATCAGACTCTGACTTTGTTCTCTGGATGCAAGTGGAGAAATGACTGCCAGGGCATCCATTTATAATAGCCCTCTCTCTCTCTCTCTCTCTCGCTCGCTCGCTCGCTAGCTACCACCGCCGCAGCGGCCGCCGCCGTTCTTCCCCGCGGGTCAATAAAGGTGCTGCCATGTCCACCCACAAAAAAGGTCAACGCTTATCAGTCGAGTTTGTCGGCAGCGTGCACAAAAGGGGGAGGAGATTTGTCAAAAGAAGCGGCGGAGGGCGGCCCAATAGGGGCGGGCCCATTAGCCCACGCTCAGTGGGCCCATATCACCTTCTGTCGGATTGGGGATTCCTCGGTTAGCCAAATGAATGTAGATTTGCCCACGTCAGCTGCCATTAGAGGCGTATCTTGGAGATGACGAAGATTAGGCGTTTCGGGCCGGGCTTTTAAGACGCCCGACCTCTGAGAATGGGCTTATTTTCTCGAGTTGGCCCGGCCCGGTGACCCCTGCTGCATGTTAGGGGGCAAATGGGGACACGGGCCAGGGCCCAGGGGATTCAGCCCGAATATGATAAGCCCATACTGAGGTCCGTTTCAGGAGTCGCCCCCGGCTGGGCCTGATGAAGCCCCTGGCCCAGCGGTGCATCACCATCCAGACTACTCCGGCCCGGGCTGATTTTAGTTTCGGGCCTTTTCTTTTGAAGACATCCGAAAACGGAACTCCCTAAGCTTGGCCCGGCCCATTGTGGATCCATAAATGGGTCTAAGGATAAAAAAATATGGTAAGCTCGACAGTGGGGATTTGCTTTCTTAAACGAGATCTCCTGCTTTCATCCTTAGCGATCCTCTCTCTCTCTCCCTCTCACTCCCTATCTCTCTCTCTTGATGGCTGGGGCGACATGCTATCTTCTCTCTCTCTCTCTCTCTCTCTCTTAATGGCGGGGGCGATATATTATTCTCTCTCTCTCTCTCTTCATGCTTCATGGCGGGGGCGATATGCCATCTTTCCTGGCTTGCCAAAGCAGCCACCTTTCCTGCATGCGGATGGGATATAAAGCGCCGCCACACTCCACCGCCCCCCAGCCAGGTGCCCCGTCTTCCGTGCCGGATTTTACACCCGCAGCAGCCTTCCCCCCTCCCTTCACGGGCACCGTCGCCTCCCCTCCAGCAGCTCTATAAATAGAGCAGCCATCTCAAATCCTCCCTCTCCACCACAAAACTCTGGCGTCCATGGCCACCTTCCACTGCCTCCGTTCCCCTCTCTCTTTCTTCTTCTTCTTCTTCTTCTTCTGCTTCTTCTTCCTTCTGGTGGTCCCCTCGCCGGCGTCGGCGGGGAGGGCCTCGCCGTTCGATTTCCTTCCCGACGAGGGTGGCGCCCCACCGGAGCCCGCCGCCTCCGACGTTCCGGCGAACGACGGCGGCAGCGGCGGCGACAGCGGGTCCGGGCCGGGCGGCAACTGGGGCTACCACTGGGCCTGGGGCTCCACCCCCGGCGGCACCGGGTGGGGATTCGGATTCAGCAACGGAAAAGGAGGCGGCGGTGGCGGTGGTGGTGGCGGCGACGAAGTGCACCACCGTCCGCCGCCGGTCACGGCGGAGGGCGGCGGCCAGTAGAGGCGGGTGGGTTGCTGGATGTTTGACTCGAGAGTTTTGGACGTTCGTGATCTGAATAAGAGACCTCCCCTGTGGCTCAGGTGGTCAATAAAAATAGGGGTTTTAATGGGCCACCGTGTAGAGGGCCCAGGCTCGGCCCATTTATAAGATGGGGGCGATTAATTAATCCTGATGGAGGTAAATGGGCCGGACATGGTTCTGGGTTTTGGGCCTTGTGCGTCCCTTTGAAGCCCATGTAGAAGAAATAGTATCCCTCCCTTTGTTTTGAGGTTGGTTCTAACTTGAAAGATGAGATTTTTCTAGCTACTGGGGCTTTATCTCAACTCCCCCCGGGTTCTGTTCTCCCTCCCTCCCTCTCTCTCTCTCTCTCTCTCTCTCTCTCTCTAAATCACCCCCTAAAATCGATAAAGCTACAATATAGGTGTGTGAATTTTTCAGGCCTTCTGATCTTGGCGGGTTGAACTTGGCTAGCCCCAAACCCCAAATAACCCCAAAAATAGGGGTTTAAGTTATATTGAGAGAGAGAGAGAGAGTGGTGAAAGAGAGAGGAGAGAGAGAGAGAGAGAAAGAGAGAGAAAAAGAGGGCAAGGTTAAAGGAAAGATGGTGGGTTTGACTGCCCATTAATTATTACCTGTCATATTAACATAAATTTAATAACTGCAAGGCCGCACACAACTCAATTTTCAGTAAAGATCCGCCAATCCGATCCACAGTTGAAAAGTCGCGACGGGTAAGTGAACGATGAAGGAAAAGGGCCGTTCTTGGACATATCCTTATCAAACTTGGTCAAATAGACGTTGACCACCTAACCTTGTCCTTTACAAGGTACTGGTCCCAGCTCCGCTTGTCCAGAACAGCCCCAGAGAGGCCGATTAAATTGGTTCTGCATGTGATGATTTAAGTCTAGCCTGGTGTATGGGCTGATGAATGTTCTTAGACTGAATGTACCCGTTCACATGCCACAAAGTCAACACTTAGTCTTGTAATGATGGTTATTAAAGTCAACACGTGATCACAGACATGGGCCTACTGCACTCATGGTCAACTGGTTTGAGCTGGATGACCCAATAACCTAATAGCCCTCATACAGTATTCAGATTGATATGGTCAACGGCAGCTCAGCTGCCATAGAATCCATTTTCAAACAATCACAGCTGCAAAAATAGGAGCAAAAAAAGGAAAAAAAAGAAAACTACTTGGAGCATATATCTGATGGTTGTGATGAACAGGCAAAATAATCTGAAGGGAGATGGATGAAACCGGAGCAATATGATGTGATTATTACAACCTTGATTGAAGGCTATATGAGCTGGGCCCTTTTTAGGTCTGAAACCACGCTCTTATCATCTGTGCCCCTCTCATTGTACAAGACCTACAAAAAGAAGAAGAAAATCTCAGACGACATGTCATAATTCATGAAAGGTCAAAGGGCTAATTATCTGCAAATATAGTATTCATCTAGCTTTTCTCGGTATTATTGACAAACCTTGTCGATGATGCCATATTCAACGGCTTCACTGGGGCTGAAATATTTTGGCCGTCTGATGTCTGTCTCGATCTGCTCAGTAGTCTGCCCTGTGTGTCTCGCATATAGTTTCACCTTGAAACAGTTTTCTAGCATCAGTCTTGTTAGAGAGAGAGAGAGAGAGAGAGAGAGAGAGAGAGAGAGAGAGAGAGAAGTAGAGAGAGATAGCGAGAGTTTTAGAATAATTATTCCGCAGAGAAGCATGCTGGGTACTTTGGGAAGTTGGAATCAGAGAGGCCTACGATCCTCATCCCTCAAAGAAATATAAAACAATTCGGCATTAGAAAATAATAGAATTCATACTGAAATATAACCTTTTTTCTTTATGAAAATTATAATTCAGAGCAAGATAGATATGATATAGTGACCAATCTTCATGAGCACCAGTTCCTTTTTTGGGCTTTGTTTTGTCGAAATATTCTCAAAATTATTGCTTTTATTTCTATAATAGTCAACATGGGCCAACTGTTACGATCCCCATGTCTGGGAATCAACTCATAGAAATGTGAAGACTGTTTCTTCATCCCTAAAAAGGGGAAAACATGGTGTGATAGAAGTTTACCAGCTCAGCCTTCACATTTCTCACTTCCTTCCTTGCGAGCTCGATATCTGTTGCTTGGCCTTGGAACCGAGCGATGGGCTGTCACCAACGGACACGCAGTGATATTTCCCATTGAACAAGAGAGAGAGAGAGAGAGAGAGAGAGAGAGAGAGAGAGAAAGAAAAAAATCAGTATATGTCACCTGTTTGATCATAATCGTTGATGAAGGAAGAGCTGCACGGTTCCCTCTTGCACCAGCAGCCAGCAGCAGTGCAGCTTCTCCCCACGCATTGCCCACACAGAGGGTAAATATTGGTGGTTTGACGTATCTAGAGAGAGAAAATATCAATTACCATCATGTTGAATGAGGCACTTTGTCTCTCTCTAGAGTTTTAAAAATCCAAGAGATCGATTCCTAGTTTGATTAAAAAAAAGGGATTCCCCACAATTTTTTCTACATTATATGACCACATTTGGATGCAGAATAAGCTATTTCTTTTGATATTGAATTCCTAAAGGCTTCCTAAAGGCAAACTTTTTGTATCAACCAGAAAATATGCCTTCGGAACATTGGTCAATCGTTCATATATAAAAGCATTTCAACCGCATGGGATTTAACCAATATTTTGAGATTCTATTAGATGCTTCTGAGAACAAATTTCTTTTCATTCCACGCCTCCACAAAAAAATGCATAGAGTTGAATTGATTGATGAGCATGTTGAGATAAAGAACTTCATCATATGAATTAATACCTCATAACGTCGTAAATAGCAAAGGCCTCCGTCTCATACCCCAATTTTTCTCCACCCTGCAGATAATTTTCCCCCATCAGAGACGACAGTTGAATAACAGTAAAAAATAATTGCTACACGCACGTATATTTACATCTTTAACAGTAAAGTAGAATGCAACATAAGAGAATTTAAAGTCAATGAAATTGTAATTGCAGGGAAACCAGAAAAATAATAAAAGCAAAGTTATCAAAAACATTTGTGAATATTTATCTGAGGAAAAACACGGGAACAAGTTTATCCTTGTTCTTCAGTCAACTTCTAGAAGAAAGAAAGGAAATGGATTCCTCATAGCATTGAGCATTGACATTAGTTTTCTTTTCCCCTTTACAGATGCTAACTCGGTAATAGAATGAGTCTCATTTTGAGTTCTTAGGGGGAGGCTGTCCGAGTCTAGGATCTATTTAATTAAAGGAAAGGTACATTACAGATTGACCTCCCTACAGCTCCTATTCGTAATCGTACATAAGGGTAACACGGTTCGAAAAAGGGATGAGAAACCGTCGATTCATATTCCCCGGTAAAAAAATCATCACTGCTGCAAACTGAAAAAATAAATTCAATCGTGTATTACCCTGTACTAGAGTAGCAGTGGTCACTTGATCGTTTGGTATATCCAAAGATAAAGAGCATTCTATCATATTCTTATGCTACATTTACAATAACCATACCACCATTAAATCTTGTCACAGTCTTATCTAGTTTCTTTTCCATCAACGAATAATTACTTCACTGATAGTTCCATGTTTACCATAAGAAAAGCATGCAAGAGATTCCTAAAAAGTATTATTGTTCCATAGTCTGCGAAGTGCCCAGAGGAAAGTTGGTAAAAGAAGCCAGCAGCAGTTTTTTTTCTGAATATCTTGAAATTTCTTCCAATGTAATATGTAATGCAGAACAAGGTCCGGTCGTTATAGGTCAATGGTTCTCCAGAATTTTCCTGTTATAGACGTTGTTCATTACACTCAAAGGACTACATGGGCTTAGATTCAAACCGCTTCTTGTTGCCATGTGAACCAGTTTATTGATGTTGAGCATAGACTGAAACCGTACAAAATCGTGACTTAGCTTTGAATAGACAAACTGACTCAACATTGATTAAACAATTACGTGGGACTGCTGGATGGAGGTAGTAATGATCTCTCAACGCTAATGATGTTTCGTTAATTGGTTCGATGTTATGAGTGTTAATCTATACATAGATCAACCATACATTGATTGGACTATTGCATGACACTGAGATAGTATTGATCAATAGATTCCATTCGGCATAATCAACGGTGCCACGTCCTACAAACCATGGTTATCACAGCATGACTAAGTTCATGGATGCTCCGAATATGCTCAATACGACTAGAACTACTGAACTACAGGATCAGCTGGTTAGTCATTATGGTCAATATGAGTTACAATTCAACTACAGGGCTAGTCTCTGGGTTGCCATTACATTAACCGACTATAATTGAACTTTCACTGTTTAGCATTACAATTAGCCTCAGACTCTCTCTACTAGAGCACTTAAATACTATCCTATAAATGATGGTGGACCCTTCAGGGTAGATGAACCTGCATATAGATTGAAGATTATCTGTGACGTTACATGCACATAGATCGAATATTAACAGTGACTCCTACACAGATCTACTCAATAATAGCTAGGCAGGTGCTATAAACCTTCTCGTATCCTCATTTGTCATGTCACATAGAGCAGCTGGAAAACATATTCACCTTCGTGGTACCAGTAGAATTTACATAGAGATAGATTGGCTTCTCCTCGTCTTCATATTGTAGGTAGAGAAACTCTGCAAGCATGAGCTCGGTCACAGATGGGACGAGAGACATCCCCAAGTACACAATGCGGTTTTTGTACAAGTACGATGCTAGGTCAGGGGGTGGCTGCTCCCAAGCATTTCCTCTTAAGAAAGGAATTACCTGAAAATAAAATAAACAAAATATTATGACACCATACACAAATATAAGAATACCAGAGACACCTGGTTTTCTTCACATTTTTAATGTAATGTTGGGGATATGAATATAGAAAACCGTTCCAGGCACATTATCTAACTGCCGTGCAGGACAAAACACGACTTCATAAAATAATTTTGCAGATAATATGCAGAAGTAAGAGTTTGAATAACAGATTTCTCCCTTTTATAAATATATACATACACACATGGAGGTATGCATTCTATTACACACACGTGCCATATATCCCTCTAAACATTTAATACGCTTAGTGTTTCAGAGATTGTGGAATCAAAGCAACTACTCTCAATCTAGTGTTGCCACTGTTATTGGATGCATACATGTTGTGCCACACCATAGCCATCACTGCCAAGCAAGGAAAAAGAAGAAAATTTCCTAGATAAAAATACAGAAATTCATATGGAAAAAATATGATTAACTCCAAGAGCATACTTCACGTCCCTAAACTTTCCTTTGTCACCTTGATTGACTTAAAAAAATTCAAGGCTACAGGTCCACCAGATACCCCTCTACCCCTTCATTCCCCACACTGACTTGTACTTTTCTCCTTATCATTTTCATACTCTTACGGCTTTCTGTGCAAATGACATTCAATGGCAATAAGGATTCTGAACATTGTTCATAACCTTTTTGACAAGAAAGATGCCCACAAGTACTTCATAATGATTTTTTCAGTTAATCTTTGAAAATCCTTGGTATCTTATACATGTCTGAACTTCTAACTGGTTTATAGTCTCTCTCTCTCTCTCCCTCTCTCTCTCTCTCTCTCTTACTAGCTCAAATGTCATGTTACTATTTGCTTTCTACGCCAGAAGTCTGGGTTTCATGCTTGCACATAGATTCTGTTTCCTTAGTCGAATTTCCATGAGGCTCACCACAACTTTGATGCCGAATTAGATGCGACTGTCTTGTATTATGAATACTTTGGTTTGACTTCACAAAACCGAAACAGCTAATCCTTACTAATTGACACAACTCTCCCTCCCTCGCACTTCCTCTTTTCTTCCCACTCCTTATGACTCGAAGATCCCACCATATGGCTTTTCGATGGCGACCTTCTTCACAGACTCCACTTTCAGCACGATCTCCCTTGCTCCTTCTTGCACCCCCTCCCTTTCCTCACCACAGAAGTCGTGAAGCATATGGCTTTGCATCAAGCAGATATGGCAACAAGTTGAGCTACATATCTACCATTCTTAGGTAGGATGGATAATAAAGATCATAAATACCAGCTGAACCATAGATACATGATCACTTGAACCCACTTAGCTGAACTGGTCGCCCTAAAGACCCAGCATCTTCAAGCTGTTCTCCGTCACCCTTCCACATACTCGAGGGATAAAACCATGTTAACATTCATTATATGATTTGGGATAGAAGAATACTTACACTCTTCTGAAAGTGGAGAGGTATTCTGGGCAAGGACGCCTAAATCACTCATCCAATGCAAGTTTGGGAAATCTACTGTCATCAGCCACCGTCAATTAGTCTGATAGATTTCATCCTTTTTGATGCTGAGAATTCAATTAAAAGTTACATCAGTGTGCCCCTTAGCCATCAAGAACGGATCGGAGAATTCCTCTTTAGCGAACATTATATTCACGAGCACTCACTAACACCAATCCAACAAGCCGAAATGCTTTGGAAAAAAATCATTCCCCGCGCATCAACTTAAATCTTCAGAAAAAGCGTCATCCAAAGACGACGAGAACATTCAAATCCCACAGCACGAGAAAGCAAAGAAAAAAAAAGACGGAGTCACGGTCGGGGAAATACCATGGTGACAACACCCCTCTTGCCCTTGGAGCCAGATAAAGGCAACCTCAGGGAAGGAACACGAAGCTTCTGGCCGCAAAGATCGCTGGACAAGCTCCCCCCGGCCAAGGACCCCATGAAGCCGGTCGTGAGGGAAGCCCTCACGGAAACCCCAGCAGTCGACAGAGGACAGGAAGAAGAAGAGGAAGAAGAACACGCAGGAGCGGGGTAAGCGCTACTCCGGCTTCCCCGCCGCCGGCCGCCGACACCGCCGCCGCTGCTCGGGCGGAGAGCCCCGCAGGATAAGATCCGTGAGGGGACTGTGACTTCCATGGCTCGCTGGTGGAAGGCCGTCGTCCGCCGCAGCGGCGCCTACTCTCTGAGGAGGTATCAATCAGGACGCTATTTGCGGTCTGCTGTCTCGCGGTTCCGCTTAGTGGGGACCGTATTACCCCAACACGAACCGGTACATTTTTTGTACAGATATTATCCCATTTATTCATAGTACTTGAATCCCACTATTTTTTATTATTTTCAAATATGGTCAGGATTTTAAGTTTTTTTAAAGTCTCCATAAAAATCTGAATTACGGATAATTTTCTCTATCTTTTACTCGACTCTTCAAGTCTTCCAAAATCGTATAATTATTAATTTTTGGGTTTTTTAAAATAGGTTTTAAGAAAACATTTAAATATTGTCAAAATATGTTATCACTCATTGAAAATTTATATTAAAAATTTCCCAGATCATAAGTTATGGATCCTAATTTTTGAAAAGCGAGTGCTCATCTGTCCAATAATTTAAAATTATAATATACTATTATATAATAGGAAATTTGATCAATAATACATTTATATTAAGGTAAATAATCAACAAATAAACTTGAGTTCATTAATCATACTAATAAAACGTTATTATTTCAAAATTTTCAGGATTTTTTTCATTTAATCGTATTTCCTATTGTACTTGATTAAGTGTTCATATTATAAAAAGAGGTAAATTTTAATTGTACATAGAGTATTAAATAATTAATCTAAAAAATAAAATAAAATGAGTGTCCAAGAAAGGATATACATTTAAAAATAAATTAATATTTTTAATTTATTTTTTCCTTAAAAAGGTCAGCCAATCTAATATGAGCCATTTTTAAATTTTCACAAGCCCTACTGCATAAATTTCTCATATAAATGGCAAAGCTCCAATAATTGTGGCTATTTATTGAGAAACTATCACTTATTAAAAAATATTTTTTAACCTTGCATCGATAAATTAGTTGATTGAGTATTAATTAAATTTAAATTATTTAACTAATGATTGAAGCACTCGATAATCCGAGCTGAACATTATGTATATTTTAGAAAGTTTTTTTATTGCATTATGGTATATTTTTTGTGTTATTTTCCTATAATATAAAACTTCACAACATGTTTTTAAAAAGAAGTTTTAATGTGCCCCATTATTTTTTTCATTGGACATTACTCTTTTGAGGAAGAGCTTCAAATAAATGATTTGTTTAGGGATGTGTGCAACACTAAGGAGTTCAAGTATCTCAAAATGGAGGTGTTAATCATAAAAAAAATTTAATGATATCATAACCCTATATGTTTATTATTTTTTCTGAAAATTGACTTAATTTTTTGCATATGATTTAATACTTTGGGATAAGGTATTTTTATATTATTATTATTATTGACTTTATAAACCTTGAATGAACTTTATAAAAAAGTTTAAGTTATGTGTTACAATAACTGCTTTTTTTAGTCATTTTGATTCACAAATTTACAGCATAATTTGTCATATAATTTCATACCAGCTGCATGAAAAATAATTTCTAAATTATAAAAATGGTAGAAATAATTCTCCATCTATAGATATATATTTGACAAGCAATAATTCGTTAAATATATATATTAATATTTTTTTAAATGGCCAATTAACCTTGAAATTTATTGCTTTCTTCTAAAAGTACTATATATTTGTAAGAGCTTAATTAATGTCCAAGAATTGTGGAAAACAATATAATAACTCACAAGGGATTTAAATAGTCTTTTTAATGGGTACATAGATCCAACTCAAGAGGGGTTGTGCCTCTCAATGCAAAGTTTTGATTTTAAGATCATATGTGTCACTTGTCTATGGTAGTTTCCAAGATGTTGGGAGCTAGAGCAGACTCATCTCTACTTTTGTTGTATACATGAGAGAAGCATGATGAAAACAATTACATCATATTTATCTGGTTTTGAGAAACCTCTGTGTCCATGGTCACAACAATACTATCTGATGTTAAAACCCACTTGCACACCTTGATTATATGAGATGGTGGTGACCTTATATTAAATAAGATTAAGATAAACCTCCATTAGAAAATAATTTGGGCTTGATGTGGGCCTATTTCTCTCTACTTTCTCTCTCTCTCTCTCTCTCTCTCTATCTCTATATATATATATATGTATATATATATATTGATCTCTCTAACTCTCTTTCTCTCTCTCTCTCTCTCTCTCACACACTTTAATTGGAGATTGATATCCTAAACCACTTCAAATTTAGCTTCTATTTGTTTTCTCCTCTATTTTCTCTTTATCTTTTGTAAAAAAGGAAATGATGACACGTGTGTTTCCCTAACACCATGCCCCCATCAACTTTTATTGGGTCTCACATGAGCAACTCCTCAATTTAGTTGACTAATTTCAAGAGTGGACCAACTGCTGACCTTGCCGAGTCCCAGTAGTTTGAAAATTAAAGTAGACTTCTGTTGACTTTTTTGAGTTGGTAAAGATGACACATGTCTTTCCCTAAGTCCATGCCCCTATTAACTTTTACTGTGCCTCACGTGGTCAACTGCTGGATTGAATTAACTAATTTCAAAGGTTGACCAACCCCCAAATTATAGTCGACTTATGTTGAATTTTTCAAGTTTTCCACACCGACATGTCTTTGGGGTCCCCACTCTTCCCTGCACGTGTTGTGTGTGTCTAAGAGACAATTAGCACGTAACTATATGTTGGAGTAGAAACAGCAAGTGGGGGGGACACGTGACGGCGGTTTGACCACGACCGAAAGCCCTAACTAACCAATTACAGCTGGTTTTCGGAATAGGAAATGAGGGAGGGAAAGAGGGGCCGGGGAGCGGCGGCGGGGAGGCTATAAATAGAGGGATAGAGGCGGCGGCCAATTCTTGCCCACGCGTATTTCTTCTGTCGATCGGCAGATTTCTCCCTCCCTCGTGCCACCGTCTCCTCCTCGGGGCTCCGCCTGGTTCTCCTCTCCGGCAGTCGCGGTTCGTGAATGGTGGGCGCCTCCTCCTCCGCCTCGTGCTCCACCGCCGCGACCTCCCTGGCTGCCATCGCCACCGCCTCCTTCGGGTCCTGTATGCAGGGGTGGCACTACCGCTGCCTCGGCGTCGACCCCTGAGCGAGTCGCCCCAAGGCCCCCTTCGGATCTGCCGGCGTTTCAGGGTCCCCTAACTGCAGATCGGCCCCCGGGAGGAGTTTTTCGAGGGGGGGCTATGGCGATTCGCGTCCTGTCGAACCAGAAGCCAGCGGGGGCGGCGGCGGGGGGGAGGAAGGGCGGGGGAGCCGCGGCGGGGAGCCGGATCCTCGTGTCTGTTAACGTGCTGGGCAGCGCGGGGCCGATCCGGTTCGTGACCAGCGAGGGGGAGCTCGTGGCCACCGTTATCTGCACGGCGCTTCGTTCCTACGCCCGCGAGGGGAGGCTTCCTGTTCTCGGCTCTGACCACAATGAATTCCTCCTCTTCTGCGCGCACTCCAACTACATGGACGGTGAGCATCTCATTGAAAATTCCTATTGAAAGCGTGGAAATCCGTCTCCTATATCATGGCTAGACAAATAATCTTCTTCTCACCTGTTTTCTTTGTCCTTAATTCTGGAATATCTACACAGATTTATTTCCGATCGCCTTTTTTCTTCCTCGATTTCGCCGCATTCCTACCATGAACAAGTTTCGTTTCGATGGGTATTTTTCCCCTTTGACCGTTTCAATTCCTCGGAGACACTTATTCGGTTTATCTTGTTTCTTTAATGGCATGAGTTCGCGAAGTCTTGTTCTGACGGTGTTTGTTTCATTGTCTCAGCGCTCAATCCCAACGAGCCGATCGGTGCCAACGGGGGCAGGAACTTTGTGTTGTGCAAGAAACAACTTCAGCAGCTTTCTCTCCCCGTGCCCATGGTGGTCGCGGGTTCCACTGCTGTTATCAATGCGCAGCAGCAGTATTCCCACTCCATGGAGAAGAAGGCTGGAAATGGTGGGAGTTGGAAGGCCTGGCTGAACAAGTCTTTCAATTTCAAGATCTCCTCCCACTAATATCAATCGGCTGCAGCTGTCCCTGAGATGCCGATCCTATGCTTTTCCTATCAATGTCCGCCTGAGACTGGTGTTCTCGCCCTCCATCATCTGTCTCCAGGTGATAGAATTGATCCACAGTGGATAAATTCTTCCCTGATTCACAGTTTATCAGAGTTGTTTCCCTGCATTCATCGATTCCAAGTATTTCCCTTTCCCTTTCCTAATGACTCGACGGCTGTTATTGTTCAAGTTATGAACAAAATTCGTCTCCATGCAGTGGTATTGTTGCTTCAAGATGCTGTGGCTCTCGTGTTCTTTCTCTTATCATTGCAGGAGGTTCCCTGGTTCATTTGATCTGCTCCAAGAAGCTACCATGGCTATGGCTGTACAAAACAACTCATGGAGTAACTCTCAGCTCACGATCTCGTTTTGATTTCACAGATTTTCCTTCCCTTCCTTTCCCTCTGATGACCCTTGATCTTGTTCTTGATGAGTGCTTCTGCAGTGGTGGAATCTAGGAATTCTCCCTCACTCCCCACTCCCCACCCAGGGCAGGGGTGAACTAGATACTTTCCTTCGTAATTATCTGGAAGGTTGCGGTGAAGATCTTCTTCAGTAAGCTCTTAGCAGGCCGTGGTTATGGCAGGTCCAGCTCTCGGGTTAGCCCGGCCGATATCTTGGAAAAGAAGGGAGAGTACAGGACGAAGAAGTTGGGTAGGTTTTTTTCCCAACCAGGTACACAGTTGGATCTGGCGTTCCCCTGCTCTCTCTCTCTCTCTCTCTCTCTCTCACTCATTCAATCTCCCCTCATCTCTATTCATTCCGTTCACCTGAGAAAGTAGGCCCTTCTCTTTCTCTCTCCTCAACTCTCCCATCTCGTTGCCCACTTTAGCATTAGGACATTGCCTACCGTCGGAGTCCTCTTCTCCCCCAGCTTTTTCTCTAACCAGGGAAAAGAAGAATTCGTCTCTCCCATTTTATCATTTAGATCTCCTGTCATCCCTGAATTCACTCTGGCTTCTGTAAAACTAATACTCTTTCTCTCTCTCTCCTCTCTGTACACATGGATAAATCTCACTCTTTTACCCGTGGTGATGTCAACATTAATGATCTTTCCCTCTGCTTCTTTTTCACCCTCCTCTGCCTTCACTAGCGACGAGGGCAAAGTTACTCCTTTCTCTTTCTCTCCTTCCCCTTCCGTATATGACATTGTATATCACTCTTTCTCCCTTGGCTAGAGATGTGGGTAAACTTTCTCATCTCCCCTTTCTCTTCCCACGCAGTCTGCCCATGACAGGAGATGTGGGCCGAATCTTTCTCTCTTTCTCTCTCTCTCTCTCTCTCTCTCTCATAAATATCATCCATGCTTGGCTGAGATGCTCCAGGTCCTTTATTGCAACCAATCACCGCTTGCCGATTCCCCATAAAACCCTTCAACTGTAGTTCCTGATTCTTGCAGTCCCCCCTGTACCCGGCACGCTCTCAACTCAACTCAAAAAAACGAGGTACCTCGCTTTCCTCATTAAACCTCCACCTCTCCATCATTAATGGGCGATTCAGACAACGTCAACCACGTGTGGAAGATGCACCTCGCGAGGAACACCACCCCCTTCTCCCTGATGAAAGCCGACCTAGATTCAGAGAGAGCACAGAGAGAGAGAGAGAGAGAGAGTTAATGAAGAAAGTAACCCAGTTCGTTGTCCAGGGAACGCAGTTTCGGTGTCGTACTCATCCATCCTTCATGGGCAGGCACACCATCAATACCTGGTGCGTTCTTAACTCGGGCCGATCCCCCCCCCCCTCCCTTTCCCTCTTTAGCCAGTTGTATTCCATTAATGGCAGTAGCCCCTCTCCCTCTCTCTCGCTCTCTTGCCCATCTGGCTGGTTAAGGGATGATGAACAGCTCTTCGGGAAAAGGGTTTCTCTAATGAAGAAAGGTGAGGGGTGTAAGTTGGGTTGTTTCATCCTGCCGACCCCTCTCTCTCTCTCTCTCTCTCTCTAAATAAAGATGTGAAGCTGGTGCTATCCCTGTGAAGGGCGGCAGGGGAATATATCTAACTCTCAACGAATTCAATAGTGGCTCGAGATTCCGTTCATCAATCCAAGATGCTGCTGCTCCTTGATTCGAATCCTGTCCTTCTAATCAGCCACAACCTCATAAAAAAATTTCTCATCAAGTTCCAATTATGGATGAGTGGTGGATAACATGGTGCTGATGACAAGCCGCCAATGAGTCACAGATTAGGGATTCCTCTCCCTCCATTCTTCCACAACTTATCTTGCATATTGTGAAAAATTCTCTTCAAGTTACTATTTTGGATGAGGAGCAACAAGCTGTCCCCAGCATCTGAGGAGCCACAGACCAGGGATTTCTCTGGGTGTGGAGGAGAGACCCTCCTCCATTCTCATCAAGTTACTATTTTGGGTGAGGGGCAACAAGCTGTCCCCAGCATATGAGGAGCCACAGACCAGGGGTTTCTCTGGCTGCGGAGGGGAGACCCTCCTCCATTCTTCTACAATCAATCTTTCACGTTCCCGGATAGTACAGTGTCTTCATGATCATGGTCCACATGAACCATGCTGGCCTTGGCAGAAGGCGCCTGGGGAAGCCGCTGCTGTGGGTTTAGAAATGGTGTTAGTAGAGCCCTGAAACTTCATACTGAGGTGATTCCCATGGGTTGTTGTACTCTGCTAGTGTGAAGGGAGATTCTATAAATGTAAAGAATCGCTTTGAGTAATGAAAGTGGAAAGAAAGGGAACGGGTGGGAAATGGGTAAGAAGGGTAAGTTTCTGCATTTGTTTCCTTTGTGTGAAGCTACGACGATTTTCTTGATTTACCTTTAAATGGATGAAGAAAAACATTTCCAGGTACAGTCTGCTAACGACGGAAGAGATCATACTGTAAGTAATGTGAATATCTTAAGAGTAATCTCTGGACAGAATCAATCTCAGAACACAACGATTATAACAAAATGGAAGTGATGGATAGCTGAATTTGAAAGCAAATTTCCGATTGATTGTTTGTTCTTTTGCCTTAATGGTGATCAAAACAGGTAGAAATAACACAAGAACATGATATAACAGCGAGGGAATTTCTCATTTGCTCTCACGCCGCAATACATTGAGGAGGGATGGCTCTTTTTTCCATTTTCTTAATAAATCAAGATTTTTGGCGTGCTCCAGATTATGATTTCTGAGAGCTACACATATTGTTCTTTCTTTTCTTGTATGAAAAAGAATAGAGTGAATTAAATGGCTCAAACCATAGCAGAGCACTAGAGGCATCACATAGACAGGGGAAGGGGATACCACATCGTATCAGCAGTCCCATCACAGAAGTTTGCTGGTGCGACGCTTCGATGGGCCTCCAGGAAACAGTGTCATTATCCAACCCAAGACTCTCTCCACAACCTGTTTAAGAAACAGAGCAAGATGTTTCATTAAGCATGAGATTTCCCAGAAGATTGCACAAAGGAAATGAGAAAAACCATACCAAGTTCAATAATATATTTATTTCAGCAAAGCAAAGGAACAAGTAACGATGAGTGGAATGAAACAAAGATGATCACAGTCCACTTAACAGCATCGCAATGATTTCGGTACCAAAGATGAACATCAAGCGATAGATTTCTTCTACCCATGGATTATATATATATATATCATCTGAAAACTAGATATATATCTCAGCAGGAAGGATGACAGGAATTCTAAATCTAGACAACTGACCTCATCTCCTTCATCAGTATACCCAGTTGTCTCTGGTATACTTTGAGCATGTAGTGGCCTTGCCAGCATACTCTCACTTGCCATATGCTGAGCAGCTAGAAACTCTAGTCTTTGAGTCTGAGTCTCCAACTTCTGAGATAACTCCTTGTTTGTGTCCTTCAACCAAGAGATCAAATAATGAGGGTTTTGTACAAGTATGACAGCTAGAAACCCAACTTGATCACGGTGAATAAAAAAAAAAACACAAATTAAATCAAGCCATAAAATGCACTGTGGAAAGATAGGAAAAGCCACAGTGCAAACCTACCTGGAGCATGGGTCATCATTATAGTAAAATGCCAGTTTAATCTTTTTTAACAGGCGATCATAATAAAAGGTGTATAGAAGTTAAGAGGTTGCATTGTATGCCGTTAGACAGGAGTAATGAATCCCCTTTCTATTCTAATGCCGTGCATATGGAATATAATAAAATATTGACTGTGAACTTGTCAAATCAAATCAACTAATTTCTTTCATTAGTTATTTTAAGATAAAAAAAAATGCCCCAACAGACCTTGAAATCACAAACAAGCTGGCTTAAGGATTATATTATACATTGGTCATCTTCCGGAGAATCAAAAGGCAAAGTATTAAAAATATATAATGGTAATCCACAACAGGCATACATGTAATGGAGATTGTATCCAAGTTGAATATTAAATACCAGGGAAATCACTATGCAGGAAGAATAAAAATAAAAATAAAAATAAAAATGCAATGAATGGATTGGGAAGATATGGATAAGAAAAAGGATCTAGAGGATCTTTAGCTTGAGCCATGTGATTAACAAGTTTTTCCCTTTCTGTTTCCTTCTTCTTTGGCTATCAAGTGCTAAAAGGTTCGACAAAAAGTAGAAAACAAATCTTGTCAGTCCTTCCCTCTTCTTTTTTCTCCAACTGAATTTAACACCCAAGTTTAACATGTATATGACCTGCATTCGATATGGCTAAAACCTTTCCTCAAGCTTCTTTCCCTTTTCAAGTAGATTGGTTCGATTAAAACTCAATATCAAATAATTCCATTTCAGTACCACCATTTATGTTGTTTCTGTGCCCGACTTAGGCATCATCGTCTCAGTAACTTTAATTTTATTTACATATATTTCATTCTCTATTTCTCAAATCAAATAACATAAATCTCTCCACAGTTGCCCGTCCAATGACCCTGCAAACTCAGAAATATATTTTGAACGCGGAGAGTGCCAGAAGTGGTCCTTTTTATCATTCATTAGATTCTCTACCACTTCGCATGATAAATCCAAAGTTGTGGACGCTCTTAGTTAAATGTATAACGTGGACTCAACAACAATGATTATTGCATCAGTCATGCTAACATGCCATAGTTGACTTTTTCTCCCATTGCTCTTCATATCCTTTCTCTAAAAACATCTTATAGTTCCCCATGCTCCATCGCAAGCCAAAGAAGAAAAAAACAACCTAAACATTCAATCCATTGTTTTTTGAGTGCCACACTGGAAAGAGAGGCCCATAAAAACTAGGAAAAAAAGTGTGGTTCGCTAGTATTATCACGCCATACTCAGTAAAAATTACCATTAGTTACTATTTTTCTATGTTCACTGGCACATCCAGGAAAAAACCGTAAGCGAGAGAACAGGACAAAACTTAATATTCTCATGGTCAACTGCTTTGCACTTTTGTAAATAACTTTAAATCTAATGGTTATTTATGGTAAATTCTCTCCATTTAACTGACCAAAGTAAAGGACTCAAACATAAGACAAAATCAAAAAATACTATCATCAACATTTAGTAAAAGATGGAACTTCACTGGTTCGCAGGACATCATTTGTAACGATCCAAAACATTGGGTTTCCAACTTGCTTCAAGTGATGGGATCAATTGTCTCCGCTCAAATGAACTAAGAAAATAACCATTTGATGACCACTATAGATCTTCCATATTGTAGACAACCTTCTGAAAGATGTAGCATTGCTTACACAGAACACTGATACCATCTTAAGGTGATTATTCTCAAAGGTATTTATTCTTTAAGATTCATTACATACGGAGTGATTTATTTTGATTAAAAATAAAACCGTCCAGAAAATAAAATTAAAAGCTGTAAATTTAAAGATAATAACGTGAATGACACATACAATCAGACCATGAAATAATTGTAAGTCAGGATAAGTCATATGAGTCAGCAAGGGTCAGGAAAATTGCTACAACCTTTAGCTTGGAATAGTCAGTTGACTGAACTCTTAATGCTCGGATCAACTCTTCTTTCTCCAGTGCCAACTGAAATGTCATATATTCCAGTTAGAGCACTAGCCTAGCCATGAGTAATGATATCCATTGCCAAAATTAGTCAAATATTTATTTCTCAAACAAACACTGAAATCATTTCAAATGAAACATTGTATCTATTCACCTCAGAAATCAATGAGTTGATATTGTCAATCGTTCTTAGCTGTTCAGGAGGGATCATGCCAGGCGCATCTTGAACGAAGAGCTTTCCAGTTTCTGACTGGTGACTAAACATTGAGACATTACTAGAGAGAGAGGCACGCCTATCATTTGATTGCAAGGTATCAACAGCAGGGCTTGACATCATTTCCATAGAATCACCCCCATCAATAAGAGTTGAATCCTCGATCTCTGAAAAGATTACAAGAATGGAGCGTTTTAAGGAATAAAAGGAATGGACCCGAAAGAGAAATTTCCAGCAAGCCTCATAGTAGAATGAATTGGAGAAAGACAAATTTAATCTTGTTGGCTGAATTATCGTTAAAAGCTCACAACATTCAGTTGTCATAATAATAAATGTAATCTGTTTTACAATACATGAAACTAAAACGTAGCAATCAACACAATAAAAGCTATGAAACTAAAATGACTATTTGGTTCTGACACTAGTTAAAGGTCGAATACCGTTTTTCTACAGCAATTATAACGAGAGAGAGAACAAGGAGAACTAGAGAGTTAGGAGAACTAGAGAGCATACCTCTCTTGTGGTCATACTATGTAGGTTTGTAGGTATTTGGATATATATCTGTACACATATATCAGTACGAGAGCTAAAAAAAGGATAACAAATACAATAAAATAGGACAAGATTGTAGACGTAGTGGACAAGTGTCTCTTACCACTCCCTCTTAAATTCATAAGAGATCAAATAGCAAGAATTCGCTAACAAGCTCTTTGAAGTGTGGAGACCTAAGACTTGGGGAGTATCTCAACAAATTGCCTAACAAAGAAATATAAGGAAGAGGCAAAGTGCCAAAGAGGTACACCAGGAGGGCTAATAGAAATGTGCATCAATAATGAGATGGAACCACTCAAGCGAGATATCAGGAACTTGCCTGATCCTGTATATGGCCTAACGAAGGTGTCAAACACAGTGACCAATGACCAGGAGAAGGCTGCATGTGGACTTCCCTAGAAAGGTCATAGTGAAGAAAGGGACTCTTTACAGTATGCTGATAGAAAGATCATTGATAAATAACTAGTACAACAATGGGGATACAAACGTTAGCGACTAGAATAACCAATGCCATGCACCTGAGTGAAACTGAGTGCCATAAATAAAGCCTTAAAATCCTATTACTATTATTAGACTTGTTTAAATCGAGCCAATTCACTTGTAGGTCGTGGAGAAGCGCTGGAAGAAAGATAAACAAGATCCCAAGTTCGGCCCAGTTGAAAAGCCTGAAGCTCCTCGTCAGTAGCTTGCAGCAACTAAAGCAAGTAAACTGCAAGTAAACTACTTCTAGTAGAAGTGAAGGGTTGCGGAAAACATAGAGAACTTTGGATAGAAAAATTATGCGAAAATAAGACCAAACTGATTAAGAGGTTGATGGTGATATAGGAGGTTACGTTGTAGAAGATTTGTAAGAGACGAAACAAAAGAAGGATTAGGCGTGTTTGGTCCACTAGACTTTCCATAACGTTTCTGAGACACAAAATCATCTCGAGGATCATGAGGATAAGTGTAGATATAGACAATGGAGGACGAGGAGGTAATGAGGGCTCAAGGGTTGGGGAATTAGTAGTGAGACCGGTTGTCAAGAGGACAACTAAGAATAATAGGCAGAGAAGGTGAAGGATTAAGACCAGAGCAGAAGGAAGTATCATTAGACAAAGATGTAAAGAATGGAAAGGGATGTTCACAAAGAAATGAATGAAATGAGAAATGTGAAGATGACAAGTTACTGAATCAGAACTACAATAGCCGTGATGCCCCAAGCTATTTGCTACTTGAGGAAAGTTGTGTATTCAGACTTAAAAGGAAATTAAAGGAAGTCAAAACTAAGTCTGTGGAACATGATAGTCCGGAGAAGCATAATGAAAACGCTTGCTAGCAGACCAAAAAGCAACAAAATGATACATGCGACAATGTGATGAGATGGACAGAAGTGAGACCAACTTCTGCCCCGAAGTTGAAAGAAGAAGAATTGGTAAAACAAAGCCACTTCTCATTGCCAATGATCTCAAGAAGGGCATCTTCCATAGATGGAGGAAAATGATGGAGAAGTGGTTGAACAGCCTCAGACTCAGACTCAGCCTCTATTTATTTCTCTTCTTTATTCTCTCTATTCTCTGTAATCTTGGAAAGTGATATCAGTATAAGTCAAATATCCATACAATTCCATATGAAAAAATTGTGACCATCCAGTGAAAAAATATTGCGAGCTACTTATGCATCAGAATCTTAAATATAGATATAGATGTATTTTTAGAATCTGGAGTATAAGTATGACAAATGGTAAAAAAAATTTAATTTTTCTCCAGTTAAGAGCAAACTGGAAGACTGGAAACAATGTGGACCCTTAGAAGTCAAAAGATAGTGATCGGGCACTAATTGTTTTAGCAAAACTATATTTCATAAGATTAGGATGAAAGCCAAGTCCCGAATGATGCTTTTAGCTCTGATCTAGTCCTTCCCCCTTGAGCAGGAAGGTTCAAATTTTGTCATGCACGTATCCTAGCTATCGCAATAATGCAATGTGTACCGAGAAGTTGATAGATGATTCTTGAATCGCAATGCATGACTTGAATTCCTAGGAAATTCATTCGCACATGACTAAACCACAAAGAATATGAAAGTATACCCAAATCCTCTGTAGAGGTGAATGAATCTTTCTTTGGAGCAGACGTCCTCTGAGTATCAACTCTATCATTTGAAGTTGTTTTACGTACCTTAGACAGTAAAAGCTTTTTCTCTGTAAAAATGAAGAACCATTCAGCACCAGAACTATGTAATTTTGACATGCAAGTGTCTACAAAAATACATTTACCAATCAAAGTCTAAAAAGTCAACATCTCATACTGTCACCAGCCTGGGAACTTTCTCAAAAAAGTTCAAAATTAAAATGATACAAAGAGAATTATCATTCACAGTAGTGCAAAGTTTCCACCTTGACAGATGAAATGCTCTATATCACCATATAAATTTTCTTGATAGAGCAACATGATGCAGAAACTTTTGAGGATAATGAGCTCCAAGTTTTATCTAAGACACAAAAAGTGGGTTGAAAAGACCTATTACTAAAAGTAAGTGGTTAATCCTGATAGACATGAGACCCTCTTATGGCTGCAAGTGAAATTTTAGCGGGATTCCAAAGTCAAAGGGAAGTTGAATGTGGCTCCAAACTTCAAAAACCTAAGCATTGCCTTTGTAGTCGAACTAGCATTTTGTTGACAACGAAGACAAATGAAGAGTAAAACGTAAAACGCTTTTGGTGACAAAGTCTAAAGTTGTTGCCATGGAATTCATACCTTCTTGCAAGGCTTCAATCGTAGATTGAAAATCATAACGCTCCTTCTCTAGGCTAGATAGCTTCCTTCTGCAAAATTAGACCTCCCATTCAGGGTTTCAACATGAGGCTTATCAAGAATCTTGAAAGCAAGTTGATATTGCTACAGCTTAAAACTCCTCCAACAAAAACAGAGTGTGGTAGTCATCATAAGCTGGAAAGAAGCAACAATGCTGAACTGGAATCAATAACAAAGGAACCAGCACTTGATAGGAGACGGTTACAGAGCACATCCACCATCGTTCAAAGTATGACAGACAGATATACGTTGAAACGATTGTGCCAAAATCAAAAGCTCTTTGCTAGAAATGAAGGCCCACTGTCAAGGTCAAACTTAAGAATTCTCTCAAATGTTGAAAAGCCACATACTCAGTCCATATGAACATCCCAAAATCGTTTATAGATTGTGGTTCAGATCCACTTAGTCAAATTAAGATTTGGCCTTACATATTGACATGGATCTGATGGACCACCCATATGGTAACACATCATCAAACTGAGATGAAAGAATCGAATAATGGTTTTGTAAACATGCAGCCATTTTCAGCAAGAATATCATGACTTTGCCACACAGTATCACTCTTGCCACACATGAGGATACAAGTGGGTGAAATATAACAATATTATTTCAACCAGTCAAGCATAAAAGCACACTTAGTAGCTTTATTTTATATGCAGAACAGTGAGAAAAGGAAATTGCTAAATAAAACCCAACTAGAGAAAGATGATGATAGCAGCTGTAAAACTGCCATAGAAACCTTTCTTTCCAGATCCCTTTTAGTTCTGCACGATAGGCAACAGGAGCAATGCAGACAATGAGGTTGACGTACACTCAGAGATGCATAAACCCCACACTTCCAATAAGGCCCCAGGTTTGCCTTAGATATTGTCAAGGAGTTTTCAAATCCAGGGCAATCGGATTCAAACCCACAACCAGGTCAAACGACGGACTATGTATTTAATATATTTGTAAAGCTATACCACATTCACTTTCTGTCACCAAATCCACTTCTATTTCAACCTCTTATTCAAATATCTCAAGCCCCACTGTAATTCAAACATCTCTTTTAACAGTGACATAACCTCATCTAGAAAAAGTTTTTGCTTTTGACACATTAGCAAAAGGTGCTGAAGCAAAAGCAGCTACATACTTGTATGAACCGATTTCAGCATTCAGGTTCTCCAGCTGTTTTTCCAACTTCAGCTCATTTGACCTCAATCTGAGGGCCTAAGTGGCAAAAAAGGGGAGTCAGTTTTGCATCAAGTATAAAAATGATACAATCTATAGTTGAAAAGGAAAACCAAAGCAACACAGCCTGAAGTATTATATCCTCAAGAGAAACATAAAAAGTTGCGTAAAACTGAATAAATCCTCCAAAAGAATACGACAATCATTAGAGACTGCGGTTGCAATAAGGAAAATATTTGCTTCATGCAAGACATATACTGAGTTTGAGCCTTATCTACACAAAAAATCATTTGGTAGGTCCAATATTCAACAAAACAAAGAACTAGCTTCATAAAGATGAAGGCCTTGCAGAACTGAATCAATTACAAGAAATCACCTACACAATCGCTTTTTAGGCTATAGTACCATGAAATACATGTTAAAAACAAGACTACTTGATTTGCAGGCTTTGCAGAACTCCTTGTTTTAGCTACCTGATTCCCGATCCAAGTAAAGAAACAGGAACATAAACTATGTGGCACATAACACAATAACAATCTGTAATCCAAGAAACAGTTCTAATTAGAAGACACAAGCTCTGGCAATTTGATGTAGCTCGTTTTATTAAAGAAGCTAATATTGAAATTTATCCTGTGGTTAATGATGATGTGGCACAACCCACTTTAAATAAAAGGTGAAGAAGGTTCCCGATCTACTTGAAATTCCAGATATACAAGAATAAATGAGACACGAAATTATGAAAGACTTAAATATTTTAATTCCTGATATTACATAAACCAATCTTGCCATCTTGACCATTATCATATTATGAAGCTCGAGTAGTTATTGATAGGGAGAAGTACAAATAAAACAAAAGACGACTGAAAACGGATCAATTACCTTCTCTTCTAGACCAATGACCTCAGATGCTAGTATTTTCGCTCTTTCATCAGCCGCACTGCATTCCAATTGGGCATTTGTAGATTCCATTTTCACTGCCTCAAGCTCGATCTGATATCATGAATATAATGAAAATGACATTTACAGACATAATGTCTTCAGCACCTAAAGCTGTACAGATAAACTAAGAAATAAGATTGCGATTAAATGTAGAAAATTGCAAAGGACGTTTCCGATTTAATGCATGTATGAACTCGGAGCTTCACTCCACTAGAACTAAGGCTACTTTCTATGCCTATTCCTTTCCCTTGATTATGGATCCAATTTTCCGTATGCTTTTCACAAGATTCCTATGTCAACCGGAGCTATTCACTGGGAGATTTGAAGTGATTGTGAATTTGAGGGTATGACTATTCGTGGGCAGCATTTTAGCCTCCAGAACACTTGGGCTGCATAAAATAACATGTAGTGTGGAGTGTTCTTCAACCAGCTGGACCGTACATCTGAATGTAAAACCATGGTAGCCCACTAAAAGTGAAAATGTTTTAATGCAGGAATGCGTCCACTACAGAGTTGAAGGTGGCAGAAATGGTGGACAGAAATGACAAAATATTGTGCAGTGGCAGCAACAGTGAACGGTGACGACAAAGACTCTGCAATGGCAGGATCATCTGTGCGGAGTAGAGCAAAAGAAATAGAAGTTGGAAGGATTGGGTTTTCTTCCTTATACCATGGTAGATGGAGTGCCAAAACCTGACTGCTGCTCACATGAAGGTTGTGGTTTCATTGAATGAAGAATCCTAAAATGAGAGGTTACCCCTTTGAGATCAACTTGTTCTTTTTATACACATGAATGATCATTTCTGCTAGGGAAATCTCAGCTCCCACTTTACTAGAGAGATGTCATGGTGGACAGATTGCCATTGAAATGGGTATTGAAGGGTGATGACTAGAAGTGGATGACATTTAGGGCCATCTGAAATGAGGAACAATCATACATTTCAAAATGTGAGATGCTATGCAGAAAGGTTGAAACTACCACATAGGATACTGAGAGAGTCTGTCACGTGCTGGTCAGGACCTTGTTCCTCCAAGTGAGGGGTGTCACATCATGGGCTAGAGTGTTCCATAATACAGTGGGGATTTCACCATCTTGATGTAACCCAGTGAGATATTTGTATGGAGAACTTTTTGGGGCCATATTTGAAGCACAAATTACTTCCCATTCCCTTTGAACAGTTAATGCATACGTGGTACCATCCACTTTCAAAATTAAACAACACCCACACAAATAATCTAAACAATGAATGAACTAATCCTTCTCGTTGTTTGTCAATTAACGATTGGCCTTAATATTTATTGTTTATCGTATTATACATTACAATTTTGAATACACTGAAATAAGACTTCCTTCGTAATATTTATTGATTGATGTATTTGCACTTTTAACCTCCAGTCCTTTCCATTTTCATTTTTCTTGTGCTACTTCTATAACTAAATGTCCATAAAATACGCAATTTTTTGATAGAAGTTCAACTATTGTTCTCCATTAGTAGTGAGAATTATCAGAACTTGTAATAAATTAGTCATACTCTTATGGGGTATAGAGTATGACCTAAAGGGCATAACTTAAAAGTCTTTTTAGGTTAATAATCAGGGCATAATCCATTCTTAATCGGAAGATAACTTTTACATAACTAACGGGTATTTTCAGGCATAACCTAAAGGGCGTCACTGTGATTTGATTATTGATGACCTAGAAATTCTCAAACTCGATATGTAAATAAAATATAACAGAGCAAAAACGAAAACAAGTCTATTAACAACTGTCAGGCACTTCCTGTCAAAATAGGAAGCCACTTGTGCAAGAGTAAACGTAAACATGGATGATCAACTGAAAATTAGAAGTTCTATTTCGAAATGAAATCATAATAAATATAAACAAACATGCAGGTTGACCAAATATAATTAGGTATAAAGTTATTTGTAGGAAGCAATCGAATTAGGGCAACTCACTAGCTGAGCCCTGATTTCCTCATATAGACGCTCCATCTCAGATTTCAGTTCATTGACAACTTTTCCCTGAGGAAAATAAGAATATTACCTCAATGCCACAGCTACAAGTGAATGTCAGAGAAGCCAATTGACATACATAATCAAACATGGCAAATAAACAAAGTTCCTCATAAATGATGTAGAGAACCAATTAAAATTATATTTTGGACTAATCCGTCCGGCATGAACCAAATATTTAAATGGGTCGGCCAACAGTGGCATCACCAACTAAAATTCATGTCTTAACCCAATATTGATAATTCTCATTTATTTGCAATGTTTTAAAAAGGGAAACGGAAATAGAAATCCAAGAACAGAGTAACAATCAAAGCGTCAAAGATTTGTTTAGTTGGGATTGCACAAATGAATGTGGAAGAATAATATTAACCAAATATTCTAGTCAATGCAGATATGGAGAAACACCAATGCTTGATTTGAGAAACATAATTTAACTCAAGTATTTCAGATGTGGGGAAAAGCAGGAGAAATTGGATTACATTCTACTTATGAAACTTGTAATACGTAGCCTAGAATTTAGCCTTGAGGCCAAGCTTGACAAACCCAAAAGCCAAATCTGATAAAAGGGTATCAATCGAACTCATTCAACTCATACAAGCTAGGTTCTCAAAGCCTAAAAGCAGTCTTCAGCTCTAATGGAATCTAGAACTATTGAATTAGAGCATGCAAGCCAACATGATTCATACTGATATAATTAAATTGAAAACGTACTATTAATCTGCAACAGGGCGAGCAACTTCAGGGATACATCTCCCATACCTCGTTGCTTTCTTCTTTAACTGAGTGAGAATAAGTGCGTTTATTTTTTAATGGTGACAATCACTTTCAAAACATGGCACCAGTTCCACAGAAGAAAGAAAGCTTACATGATATCTACTTCGCATAAAGTTGGAACCAGAAGACTAGAATCCAGAAGATGAAAATATTGGCACCAACCTTCATCCACAATACAACTTTTGCATAAAGCTGCAATTGTAATTAATTTTGGTCCTAATCCATAATATACAGCTCACCTGCTGATTGTAACTCTCAGTTAAAGATGAATTCTCAGATGCCAGTGACTCTGCTAAAGTTCGTGAAGATTCGAGTGCTCGTTGCAAAGAGAACTTTTCTTGAGTCAAATCTTCAATATGCTGTACATTAGTATCCACTATCAGCTAAACAAATTGAAGTATCACATTCCATTATTCAACATTTCAAACATGAAATCCACAATCCTTACAGAGAACAAGCAGAAATTAAAGAGTAATACGTCGTTTTGATATTAGCACGATATATATCAAACATTCCTGCCAAAATATTCCGAGTCGGAAAATATTCATGTTGTTTATACTTATGAACTCTCAAAAACTTAATCTTTCATCATTGAGCAAAAGTTACTTGATCTATGTCCTAGCCATTTTCTCACCTGATACTACTTTCCCCATTAATTTATCCAAAAAACAATTTTCTAGGAAGTATTTGCCTACCACATTTCTCACAGTACTAGACTATCTAATAGGACTGAAAACCAGACCAAGAACATTCAGTTATGAATCATGTGTAGAAGAGTAAAGATATTTACTTACCACAGTTCCTACTGCACCCTAACTGTCTAGTAGGAATACTGAAAGCTAAACCAAGGAGATTCAGATATTCGTTTTTCACGAGGTTAATAAATAAACAAATACCATTACATAAAAAGGGCAATATATAGGGTTTTCATCAGACCAAGCTGATACATGCATACGGTAGCTTCAGGCGTTACAATGTTTGGGCAGAAAGCTATTGCTAACCCAGTTCCTCTCATCATCCACATGTGCGAAAACCCTCATTCCAAATTCCCCTGCTCGCTCCTGAGTCTTCTGTAAACCACCTTGTCTCTCTTCCTTCTAATGGGGAAAAAGTAATTTGAAAATTTGCCTTTTCTCTCAAAAACCTTTAGCTATTCGGTATTTGGAGTCCCCTCCCAGACTTCATCCTCCCTCTCCCCATACCTGTCACCAGACCTGGCATCCCCCTCTCCTCCAGTCCGCATATTCAATGATCCCTACTTCTCCCTTCTCAGATTTACCTGTGCCAAATGCCAGCCCTTGTTGTTCTCCCACATTTTCCATCTCCCTTCCCTTCCCTTGCTGCTACCCACAAAACTTTCATTCTTTTTTATCTCTTCTTCTTCAAACAGAATCCTCACTATCAGATGGTTTTCCTCATCTTTCGATTACCACATTTATTTCTTTCCAGTCTTCATAGAAAAGCACTGTTACAGAGGCTCTTTTAGAACTAGTTAAAAAGATCCCACAAAACAGTACACTGAAAGCATAGCATAATTTAAGGCAGTCTTAGACCTTTTCTCGTAATTTCTTCTCGTTTTTGTCGATTGAGACATCCAAGTGGCATCTCTTTACATTTAGTTATCATTTGAAATATAAAAAATAGGTGAGAATGTGGATGATAGAAAATCATCAACGTCAAACCTAAATATGTCTCAGATTAAGGGGTGCTGACAACATAAAAGCTTCTGAAACCTTGGCAGACTTTTGTGAACAGTCAGAAACATAAACGACCAAAAGAACCAACAATTCTCAAAGCTAGGTTATTTAGTAAGATAGCAAATGGAAACAAGAGATAGGCCACAAACTCAGCTAAAAGGGGTGTCACAATGACAATAAACACGAAAGATCAAAGTTTTTAATCTTCCATAAAAGGTTTTGTAACAAAGAACCTAGGTGCTTCCTGATGCTCACACTTATGGTCCCAAATCAACATCAATACCAAAGTTTCGGGGTCCAACCCTAAGCCTTTTACGGACAGCTTACAGACATCATAGATATATCATCTGATGCTTAAGGTGTGAAGATAAAATTAAGCGACTAATATCTATGACCAGACTCGAAATAATAACAAATTGATTAAGATTCTGTATTTTTGTCTACAGATAGACAGCAACACATATTCATCAAATATCAAAGATATGGTTTATTGTGAATTGCATATGTTCCTACTTATCTGAGGACTTTACTCCATCTGTTGGTTTCCTTCACTGCTGTAACCTGCTAGTTTAACTTTGCAGTGCATCTGTTTATATTTTATCAAATACTCAATTCAACTACGAGCAACGTCTCACTTACAGGCACATCCACCACAGTAACCTGCTGGTGTTTTTATTTATCCATAGTATACATGGCCACAACTGCTGTTGAAATATGGAGGTATAATCATCTCTCCTACATCTGTTCCAATAACCATTATTGTTGGGAATTATTGCTAACTTTAGTTATTTCTACTCTGTCATTGATTTATCTATCTTTTTTTTAATACAATCCATAAGTCTTGCCTTTCCTTGAGGTTTCTTTATGTTTTTAGTGGAAGGGTAATGCCTTCTTTCTTTCAAAATGTTCTACGTTTTTTCTTGATAGATATGATGCCCAGACTACATCAGCTAGTCTTGACCATGAGTTATTGTCAGTAAATCATGGTTACCAGGTCATCAAATCACAGGTGAGATGTTCTGAGTTTTCCAAGTGCCATGGCCCTCACAAACTGTTCTTGCGTCCGTAACTTTAGGAGTGGCAGAAATAATCATGAAATTATGAAGAAGAATAGAATAGAGTGTTTGCTAAAAGAATGTACACGATAGTTGAGGGTTCAGGGGAATATTTAGATGCTTTTATCCTAAATACAGCCTGAAAAGGAGAATTAAATCAGCATAGAGGAGCACATATTATGAAAAGAGTATCTTTAATGGTCTGCCACTTATCTTGTTTTAGAACAAAACTGCTGGAATGTGCAGACTGTACACTCCATTCTGAATTCGTAGGATACCTTTATCTTATTCAAAACAGGAATGTTATTTTGCCAAAAGCAGCTAGAGTCAGCGTCAAGCATCTACATAATGATGTTCAGTAAAAGGCAGCTAATGCCATAATCTGGTTTCTACAATCTTTGCATGGAAGGAGAATTAAGAATTTCTATATTTATTCTGTTTTTAAAATTCTCAACTGCTCAGTATACTGAGACAAAAACCACCATAAATCAAAAGCAACATGAAAAAAAAATTCCAAAATATTATCAGCAAAATCATGAGAATTGAGGAATGCAATACAGCTACCTAGACCCTAAATTAACTTCTGAACACAATAAAAAAATGAAACTAACAACATAAAGCAATATTTTCTAAGTACTACTTATTATAGATGCTATGAACCTGCTCTAGAGCTGCAAAATCTTCATCCTTTGTTGAACTTGAAAAATCCTTCATTCCCTTTCTGTCACCATCCACGACTTCCTTTCTTAGTTTATCTTCACTTTTAGAAGCAGAAAAATTCAAATCGGACTCTTTTCTGCCAAAAGAATGCGGACCAGCTAATGATGCATCTCCCTGAAAATACTTATCATCTGACTTGTGAGAAGGCAACTGCTGAACCTCAGCACCGTAAAATTTTGAACTACTGAAAGGAACAGTCGGCTCAGTATTTGCTGGCTCAGAAAATGATGAATGAGAGACAGAAGAAGGCCTAGGTACATTGAGAAAGTCAAGGAAGGATGGACGAGCTCGCCAAGTAGCGGTAGGGACAGAGGTGGAAGATGAGGAAGGAAATTGAGTAGAAGAGCTTTTCAAAGTTGAAGCAGAATCCACAGGAGATTCTGCAAAGCGCCAATGTTCACTGTTGATATCCTGACGGTGACTAGTCAAATCATTAGTCAACTTTCCACCGCCACTTAATCCCTTTGCACCATCATGGTTCTTAGTGTCTGGCCTACGTTGCTGTAAGGCATAAGTATCTGTAAAATGGGATCATTATTAAGAGAGCTGTCATTTCTTTTAAAAGATTGAGGATCAAAGAAGTTTAGAACTCAAAGTACCTTCGTATGATGTAGATGCGGTTTCCTCCAATGATATATTTGAAAAAGACCCTGTGCTTCTGAAACCGCTTTGCTTGTCCGGTACATAAAAAGGATTTGACTGGACAATCTCAAATTTGTCTTGTTCTTTATCCTCTTGCAGACCATCACCAGAGTAAAGCGTGGAATTGTTATCTTTCACGTCAAACTTTGAATTGGGATAAACCGAATGTACATTTCCTTGTCGCATTACAGATTTATCTGATACTTTCCTTTCAGGGTCCCTTTCACTATGAAGATGATTCTTATCCCATCCTTGAGAATAATAGTCATCCATCAACCTAGTTAACTGAAAGTTCTTGTAAGATCCAGCCCCGTCATCTCGTGATTGTTCCTTTGATTGTAGGCCACTATGTGATGTGCCATCATGATTGATAGAAACAGCTTCTGTAACATTTGACAAAACTGATTTGGTACTTGTGGAAGAGCCAACTGCATTAATTTCAGAACCAGTATTGGCTCTGGTCAACTCAATTGTTGTGTTGTTATCTGGATCAGATGTAGCTCTATCATTCACATTCCCACGGTCTTGTGGCAATTTGTCCAAGTGGTCAATATCGGATGACAGCAATTGGCCAGTGGATACAGCCTTCTTAGCCTTCCCTTCAGCCTTCTTTTTACGAAATTCTTCTAGCTGAAAGAAAGAGCCAAAAACTTCAAAATAGAGGAAAGACACTTGAAATTAAAGGACGGAATGAATGAAGCGATAAAATATCATTATCTTCAATTTGAAGATATAAGGAACATAGAAGCCAGCATAACTGGACATTTTACAAGAAAATGAGGGTTCAGTCCAGTTTGACACACTTTACCAGGTCTTCTTAGGTTTCCCTCTCAAGCATTAGTTAGCACCTCCTAGAAACTAAGAAATGAAATTGAGAGGTTTGGAGCAAAACAGATCCGCAATGAAATGAAAACCAAGGTAACTCTTCCTCGGCCTGCCTCTGGAGAGTGGAAGAACTGCATGTTTAGCTATGAGAATTGATCAATTGATAGAAGTTCTCTTTCCCTGTTACGAAATAAGAGAGTGATATACAGTGCTTGCTAATGATGAATGAGATGACCATTATTTTGAGAGACTTTGGACCACAGAAAGGTCTTCACAACCTTGAAATTTATTGCTTTGCGATATGACGAGTTTTCCAGAGCTAATCATATACATTTTTGTATCCTCATCCATTAGTTATACTTGAGTAGCATGCGACACTATCCACTTTCAAAAGCCTAAATAATTTTCCAGGCTGAATTCCTTTTTCACAAATGATTTGAAAGTAACCCCCTTTTAAATTTGATCAACCGAGACAAAAAAATTCTGAAACACACATCATCAATAACAGTTGGAGGGAACTTGTGATTGAATCTAAGTAAACTATCCCTCAATCTAGATTGGTGTTTAAATATGAAGAAAGCAGTTCTGTAAATCAGGCAAATCAGCCCAATCAGAATTTATGACAAAAGACAGATTTTGGAACCAAAAAATAAGAAAATCATTGAGCATCTACTCCGTTAGTTATGAAACTCCCCTCGGCTTTTCTAACCAACACTCCTATTTCTATCATATCCCTTAAAACATAGCTATGTTTAATTAACGTGGGTTTGACTAAGTATGCTTTAAATTAGTCAGCATTGGATGATTTCCGTGGATAGGGATTTTTTTTTTATCCTAACTTTGGGATCCAATGAGTTGCTATGCCTCCGAAATAGATCCTTGAGACCTTGACATTGTTCTACATGAGAGACCTTTTTTTAATAGTGTTTGCATATTTTCTCTTTGAAAAACCTTTATGTTCCATCGCTGGTCAAAAAAATACAATTCAAATGCGCATAAGGCTGACACTTTTGTGTTGGTGGTTTTCTCTGTAGATCTTCCAAAATACAAAAGAAAACGCATAATAATGCACAGAAAAAAGCACGGAATTACTGTATTATTTTGCCATAAATGCCCCATTATCACTCATCCAGTAAATGGAAGCAGAAAGAAATAACTTATTTTATCATAACAGAAAATTAACTCCCTCACACTAAAATTCAAAAAAAGATTTACTTTCATGACCTCATATCTGTATCTTCACCGTACACGAGATCCTCCGAAACTTGTCATACAGTCCTGTGAACTAAATCAACCCATTTCCTAGTTTATTATTGCTGATATAGCAACTACTACAACTCCCGAGACACCAGAAATTCAATCTTCTATATCTTCAGCAATCGATCATCTAACCCTTTGAGAAAGAAGGTATAAGAGCTCAGAACAACTCCTTTCAACTATCGACGAACAGCAGAGATTCAATCTTCTTCAGCTTCAGCAACTGATCTTCACAACGTTTTAAAAAAGGTGTAAAAACTGACAACTCCGGTCAACTATCAACTATAAAGAAAGAAACCCTGATGTAAGGTGCCGCAACTGTTAGTCATCAAGGTAGACAGGCCCATAGGGTGATCTTCGATCAAATGCATGATTTTTAATTATGAATACAAACTTCTTGCAAATACTAAAGTGTTTCAGATAAACTCACATACAAGATTCGTAGATGAATTAACAAAGTATTTAGTGAGTTTTACAATCAGTTTTCTTGTGAGAACTCCAGTCAGCACAAGATAGTATGGCGTACTTTTGACAGGAGAGGGGCAGTCAAAAGCCTTGTGAAACCATGAAGAAGGTACACATGACCTCTTTCACTGATCTAACAACTTCAAAATGATAGAACAAGGTATATGATGCTAATGTGTCTTGGAAGTGAACTTATGAAGCATCTATGTAAAGTTCGACTGGATATCAATTGAGTTCTTCAATGCATGAATGATAAACAAAGACTCTGTAAATGTGAGATACAAATACAAAAAATCCACGCTTAACCTAAAGGCCCAGAATAAGCATTCAGCAGATGCAATATTTGACTTCCATTATAAACCGATCGTTTCTATATTTAATTATGTTTTTATGCAGACAGCAGATAATATCAGATTTCAAATGTTTTACTTCTGCCGAATAGGACAGAAACGTATACCTCAAACACAGAATCACAACAACGGCAAATATAAAGGTATAATAACATGACTTTGCAGTTGTCAATGATGAGAAATAAATAAATAACGAATATCGTACTCAATCAAAAGGGAATGCATGCGCTTACTTTCCCTTATCCGTTTAATTTTATTCTCCATTCCTCGGGAGCTCAAATTTCCAAAACTATGTCCGCATTCATAAAATCGTATGATCCTCACATAAGGTTCTCGGAAAATAAAGGACCATTATTTCTCCGTACCCAGGCGGCAGACATTGGGAAAAAATCAAACTAAAATTGAGAACCAGTAAAGAGCATACCCGACGCTTTCCAGCTTCAAGATGCCCCTGCTTGCGCGAGGAGCCCGCTGCCGAGTTTTGCATCACCTGCGCTGAAGCCATACTAAAGAAATTTGAAACGCACCTCCCCCAAACGTCCCCACCTGCCCTCTAAACCCTCAACTTTGAAACCTCCGCTTCGCCCACACGGGTTCCCTCCTCCACCCTTTCCTTTCTCCCAGCACGAATCCTGGACGAACGAGCTTCGCATGGGCGACCAACAACGGAATTCGAAAAGCACAAGTCAAAGCAAAGCACCTCGGGCCCGCGGGGGCGCCGGATCTTGGCCCTCCCTCCGAGATCGCGGACTCCCGACCACCCCCAAGCGACCGCCCAGTCGCCGGGGGGAGGAAGGTAGCGAAACAAGCGTCGATTCTCCGGCGTCGGATCCTCCGACGTCGGCTCAGACCCAGCAGCCGCCTCCCCACGCACGGGAAGAGCTGTAGAAATGGTGATTGGGGAGGCGGATGGAGAAGGAAGACGACGATCTGAGAGTCTGCCTGCTGCCGCCGGGCTCGACGAGCCGTTTCGCCTCGGCAGGCGTGTTGGTTAGCCGGTGGGCGGGTTGAGGGGCGCAGCAGCACAACGGAGTGAGAATCCAAATTCGTAGAAGCCCATTTGACCCAATAAGGACATAAAATTTAAATTTTAAAGTTTTGGGCCGGCAGCCCACCTTACTATTAATGGACGACTGGCTGACCTGACCTGACCTGACCAGCTGGAGAGTGGTGGGGGTTTCCATGGGGTTGGGACCCGTTGTCACACCCCAGAAGTCATGGTGGCCAACTCATGGGACAAAAAGTCAATGAGTCATTCAAGTTGTTTGACGTAGAAAATCAGAAACATTAAGTCAACATATGAACATTCCTTCTTCTCTATCATAAATGGACATCACTTTTAGTATCGCAATAATCACCTTTCAAGTTTACATGGAAAGTCAACCTTTTATCAATATGCCCCTCATTTTATCAAAGCCATTATGATTATTCCAAATGAAACACATTATTGGGTAATGTTTCTTCAAATTAAGCAAGAAACTTGCATTGTTTCCATATAAATCATGTTCTTTTGACCTTGTTGAGAGATCCCCAGAGAAAATTAGGCCATGGATTCGGGTAGAAGATGGTTTCAACCAAAAATGATTACTTTCAGTAAAAAATATTTCCTCTTCATAAAATCCAAACACGGTTTTCTAATATTTACTTTGATTATTACCTTCGATATCAAAGTTAAGATTTGCTTCAGAAAATTTGTGCATCAAACTTTGCTACTTGCTCAGGCGGCGGCGCGGGATGTTGCGTGCCGTTCAGGGGAGCTCCGCCGTAGCGAGGGCCCGCGTCCTCGTGCTACTCGTCGGAGCACCACGGGCTTCCCACACGCGGTGCCGGGGGAGACGCGTGTTAGGCGCATGTCTCATTGGCCGTCCTCCTCGCCATGATTCGTGGCTGAACATCGTGTAGAGCATCACAGCGAAGAAAGGGATGCGTGCCCGGAGACGGCAAGGTGCTGACTAAGAGCAAAGTCAATGGCCACCCCTCTGGATGTGATGATGACTGGCGAGGACGTAACCATGCGGCATGAAGATGGCTAACGCAGAAGGTGGAGGGCAAGGAACGGCCCAAGTGGCCGCGGTGGGTCATGCTGTCCTCTCTCTCTTTATCCCTCTATATCTCGCTGTTGCACCAGGCGTGGCGGGTCTGTCCACCAAAGGCTATATAAAGAGGTGGTCTCCGCCATCCACAAGAATCGTCATCCCCGGAAAGGAGAAGAAGAACACGGAGAGGGGAGATGGCCAACAAGGTCGAAAGAAGGAGCTCTGAACTGTCGATGGCGGGAGTCGTGAGGCTGCTCGCCGTCGCCATCTTCCTTGGTTATATCTTGGCCTGGGTGATAGCCCCCACGAACCGGTACAGGGAAAAATGGCAGCCCAAGCTCCGCGCCGACACCAACTCGACTTACTTCGGAACTCAAGGTTGTCCAAGTTCTCTTGCAGAAGCTCTAACGACGGCATTCCCCTCTTCTTTATTCTCACCTCCAAGCCTCTTGTTGTGTTTTCTCAGGGACGAACCTGCTCATCTACACCTTCCCCATCCTCTTCATCTCCATACTCGGTTGCGTCTACATCCATCTGAAGAAGGGCAGGCGGGAAGATGAAAGGCATGCTTTAAATCTGACGTCTCTCTGTCAAACATATAGAAATCAAATGGTAGAGGGGAAAACGATCTGCCTCTGGTTATGCTAATATTTTAGTTTTGTTTGTATTAAACAGCAGAGAGGTGAACCCCGGGGCCAGCTTCTGGAGGAGACCGGCTCTTGTGAGCGGTCCCCTGGGGATCGTCTCGTGGACGGAGTTGGCCTTCCTGGCCATGTTCGTTGCGCTCCTCACCTGGTACTTCTCCGTGTACCTCTCCAACAGCTTCTCGCGCATCACCCCACAGTCGGCGGCCAAGGCCGGAGAGAAAGTGTAAGAAGAGTCCTTCCCTTTCAGTCTTGTCCACTGTCCCGAGGTCTCAGAGGGCCCAACCAGGGGGTAGTAACACACTCGCCCTCCGTTGTTGCAGGTGGGAGGCGAAGTTGGAATCCGCGGCTCTCCGGCTGGGCCTTCTCGGAAACCTCTGCCTGGCCTTCCTCTTCATCCCCGTCACCAGGACGTCGTCGATCCTGCCGCTGGCTGGCCTCACCTCCGAGGGAAGCATCAAGTACCACATATGGCTCGGGCACACCGTCATGGTCCTCGTTACCCTTCACGGCCTACTGTACGTTATCTACTGGGCGTCCACCGACTCCCTCTCTTCGGTAAGCGCCTTCTCCTCACTGCAACTGCCATCTTCCTCCCCGTCGTATGAGAAGAGAATAAGAACAGAAATTCATGGCTATTCGTCGTCGATTCCACGAGCAGATGCTGGAATGGGCCAACACGGGCGAGTCGTACGTTGCCGGAGAGTTGGCGCTGCTCTGTGGATTGGTCCTCTGGGCGACCACTCTGCAACGGGTGCGGCGCAAGATGTTCGAGCTCTTCTTCTACTCGCACCAACTCTACGTGTTCTTCCTCTTCTTCTTCCTCCTCCACGTGGGAATCGGCTTCTTCTGCCTCATCCTCCCGGGGGTCTACCTCTTCATGATCGATCGGTTCCTACGGTTCCTTCAGTCCCGCGGCCGAGTCCGCCTGGTCTCAGCCCGCCTTCTTCCGGGCGACAGCATCGAGCTTAACTTCGCCAAGAGCCCCAGTGAGTCAGTCTTCCTGGCCCGGATAACCCTTTCGACACAGCCCTCGTTCCGTCTCATATCTTCTTCTTCTTCGTCTCTCCTGCTAGGTCTGGAGTACAACCCCCTGAGCAACGTCTTCGTCAACGTCCCCGCCGTCTCCAGGCTGCAGTGGCACCCCTTCACGGTGTCGTCAAACAGCAACCTCGAACCCGACACGCTCAGTGTAATCATCAAGAAAGAGGGCTCCTGGACGCAGAAGCTGCACCAGGTCCTCGCCTCGAGCCCCCCGGAGCGGCTGGAGGTCGCCCTGGAGGGACCCTACGGCCCCGTCTCCAATAGCTTCTCAAGGTTCGTTCGTCCGTTCCTTCAGGGGGTGGCAGGAGGAGGATGGAGGAGGATGGAGGGTGGAGGGTCTATAACTCTTCGCTTTGTGGAGACACCGTTCATGCTTCTCCGCCTGAGGTCTTTTGTGTCGTGTTTATTATCAGGTACAATTCGCTGGTACTGATCAGCGGCGGGAGCGGCATCACGCCTTTTATCTCCATCATCCGGGAGTTCATCTTCCGCAGCGCCACCGGAGAAGGCGCCACGCCAAAGATCCACCTCATCTGCGCGTTCAAGAACTCAGCCGATCTGACGATGCTCGACCTTCTTCTCCCCATTTCGGGCAGCGTCTCCGACATCTCCCGTCTGCGGCTGCGTGTGGACGCCTTCGTCACCAGGGAGAAGGCCCCCACCGGCAAAGGAGACGCCGTCCGCACGCTCTGGTTCAAGCCCAGGCCCACAGACCAGCCGGCGGCGGCCGTTTTGGGCCCTCACAGCTGGCTCCTGCTCGCCGCGGTTATCGCGTCCTCCTTCGTGGCGTTCCTCCTGCTTATCGGGATCATGAACCGCTACTATATCTATCCTAAGGACCATAACACCAACAAGGTGTACTCTTACACCGCCAAGGCCCTCCTCAACTTGCTCATTATCTGCGCCACCATCGCCGCCACGGCGGCGGCGGCGTTCCTCTGGGGTAAGCAGCGGCACGCCGCCGAAGGCAGGCAGGTCCAGATTGCGAACGCCCCTACGCCGGCGGGTGTGTCCCCCGGCACCTGGTTCCACAACGCGGAGCAGGAGCTGGAGAGCCTCCCGCAGGAATCCCTCGTACGGTCCACCAACGTGCAATTCGGCGCAAGGCCCGATCTCAAGAGTAAGCTTTCCCGCCGTTCATCCTCGTTGACCTCTGCATCATTCTAGAAGGGATTTTCTTATGTGCAGTCAACTCCCTGTTGCAGAGATCCTGTTGGAGCAGGAGGAGAAGGACGTCGGTGTCCTGGTCAGCGGGCCCAGAGGGATGCGCCGCGACGTGGCCAAGATCTGCTCGTCCGGCCTCACCGACAACCTTCACTACGAGTCAATGAGCTTCAGCTGGTGAGGAAAAGCCCCCGTCTGCCCCCGTCACACGCGTGGAGAAATAAGAGCTCGTTGCATGTTTAAAGAGAGATTACTGTCTAGTGGAGCGAAATTATATTGTGGGTACGCGTGTGATGTGTGTGAATGAGACACAGAAAAACGATTGAATTTAATTTCTATATCCTAAGTCTTAAAATAATTTTCTTCTTTAATTTACGACATTGAATTTTTTTTATGAATAATAGTTATATATTTTAAAATATAGATCCAATATATAAATATTTTAAAATGAAAACTAAAGTGAGAAATATGACATGACGCATTCTTAAATTCAGTCCAATTAGGGTTCTTGATGGATCTCATAATAGAACCGACTGGTCATCAATATCGGGTTAAGGCAGGCTACCCAAGTGGACTTATGAGTCGATCAAAGAGGGTGCGAATTTATGGGTCGATAAAATTCCCACGTTAATTTTATTTCTCATTGGAACGGGCCCCACGCTGACCTGAATAGCATGTGTGTTTCCCGTTGACGGGGAATACGAAGCATGACTGTGAAGCACGCCCAGAAAGGGCAGAGGCATATGGGTCCGAAGTGCAGAGCCAGGCCAACGAGCCAGAAGGGGAACCAGAAAAGGGCGAGTGCAGACAAGCCTAAAACGCATAGTCAACTCAAATGAACGGCCAAAAATGATCTGATGCGCGCTAAGCCGAAGTAAAATAAGCAGGGCACAATTAAGTCAAGTTGAGTTCCAACATCACTCCCTCAGCATTCTTACTTGACATACAAAAAAGGAAATCAGTTGGATGAATCATGCTATTCCATTAGTTCAGTATTTTAGCATAGGTAGGGGTCCGGTTTTGAACTTTCACTTTGTGTAAGTAGATTCATTTAATGAGATTCAATGAGCTCTATCTTAAACTAAACTTCAACAAACTATGCAACCCATGTTAGGAAGGCACTTGAGTAGGTTCTATATTGAGTATCGTTAATAGTCTTGAGTCATAAGTGCTTTAAAGAGCACTATTTTCTCATTCAAGATAGTAATATTCTAAATAAATGTTTTCCTAATCCTCTTAAAATCTTAAATCATATACAAGCATATAGATACGTTTCTTCATAGTTAGTTTCAGCACAGTTAGAGAGCAGAGCATGAACGTTAAATCAGTGATTGTTTCTCACACGTCTTTAATTAGCATGAGATACCTTGTCAAGAATTCTTGGATTCTGCCCATAGTAGAGGCTTGTGGTTAAATTATATTTTCTTTTGAGCATTGAGAGGTTGAGACAATTAGAGTGTATTATTTTTTTCAAACAATGATCCAAGTTAAGCATCAAGTTAACCCAAAATAAATATATTTTGAGTTAAAAAGCATTAACATGCTTAATTTTTTCCTCCATTAATGAAATTATAAGATATTTCAATAGGAATTCTTCATGGGTGCAATGGACATGGTTTGATAGCATTGGTAATTTGGATAGTTGTCACATGATGTCATGGGCCTTCTGAGAGTCAAATCTGAATTTGAGAACAAAATTAAATCTTAATTTTTTTTTCCTATAACCTTCCCAATACCAATGATATGATAATAAGGCCCAATCCTTTAAATGAATCAAGCCTAAAATAATGACTAAGAGTAACTTTGTTACTAGAAGAAACCTTGGTTTTCTTTGTAATCATTTTTCTATCCTATTTAGCACAGGTTTAATGTACATTATTTTAGTTTTATTGAAATTTATTTATACTTGGTTGCATCTTAGTCATTTTGCTGTCTTCTTGTTACTTATAGGAAGGTAGCACAAGGAACCAAGAGGGTAGAGGGGTGAATTGATCTTTTCTTTTTTTCTTGTTGGTTATTTAACAAATTTCATCAGCCATAGGTTATAGTGGTTTGACCCACCTAACCTACACTATCTAAGGACTAAATACTTAGGTTTCACTGTCTTTACTAAAATAAACATTGAACTCAAAGCCTTCAGCTAGCTTCACTAGATTTCACAATTTCAATCTACCCACATGTTTCCTTGAATTTTTTCCCCCAAGTATTAGAGTACTCAATTACAAGATATGACTAATGAATGACCTTATATGTTCACTAGCCTCTATTCCATGAATTATTTTGCCTATAGATGTGAAAGTAGCTTTTTGAGAAAAGATGTTTTTACTATTTTAGGTGGAGCCTCAATTATCTTACTCGAATAACTTTTCCTCTAATCGAGATTTATAGAATGTTGCTTATAGTTGAATTTTTTTTTCAAGGATTTTAAATTTTCATAAAATTATCATATTTGAGCATCTACAACATAATCATGCAGTTCAAGGGTGACGATGATGTTCAAATATTTTGAAATGTAAAATAATCATTTTACCTTGGAGTAAAATTTTCCCAATCTATTGATTTTTTTTATCTTTTTGATTTATATTAATTGGTAAAGTGATTTTTGATTTATTACTTTATGCTTGTACATTTGTTGTCATTATCAAATCTATAAGCCTTCAAAACCCAAAAATTCTATCATCAGCGTGTAATTTTATTTGGCGACATATGGTGCCAAGAGGGGGGTTGAGTTTGTTTTGTTCTAATTCTTTTGACTACTAAGGTCTAGAATGTTGAAAAAGTAATTCACACTCACCATTTATAGTGGTTTGACCTACCTGACCTAATCTACTCTCCAAGAAACATGTGTCATGAGGGTGGCTTAATAGTCATGTGCTATCTACCTGAATAAGCAGCATTAGTCCTCTTATTTGATGCGTAACTAGCATCAACACTTGTCACACCAAAGAAGCATGGGTTACCCTTAGCATGAAAGTCACACCAAAGTGCACACTCTTCACAGAAAGGGGATTACACAATCTGTGGGATGATTGGCCTCAACCAAGCCAAGGTTTACCCTTTTTATAGAGGAAACATGACACCCAAGAGTCACATGATATTGTCTTCAAATGATTGGCACCTTGCCTATTGTCACTTGGGCACTTGCTCATCCTTGTTGGAGCTTCAGTTCCATCACATTCTGTGTACTAAGGTTCTCATGAACCTAGGTAGTTTGTCGGCATAAACTTTTGCTCATCCTTGACATGCATGTGCACAAACTTGCATGCTTCACACTTGTTGTACCATGTCATTGCATGTGTTTCACTGCCAAGGTTTATATGTCCTATGATCCTCACTCTTAACTCATTGGAGCTGCCTCTTAAGACTTGCATGTCCGAATGTGAGCACCAATGCTCCACATGTGCTAACACCCATCACATTGTGTGCCTCCCTAAATGCTATGCATATGTGCCAAATGCCACTGCAGACCTCCTCATGTGTGGCATACTTCCACTCATGTCACTTAGTGCCTACACATGTAGTATACACTTGTGTTGTGTCGCATGTCTTTGTTCACACTGTTTTCATTCTACAACGTACTTATATGTGCATAATGTATGTCCACTCATGCCACCATGTACCTATGTGCATGTGTGTTTCCATGTGTGGCATGTTGGCATATAGTAGAATAGGTACAACATGTGCATAAGTGCATAGTGGCATAGGTAGACTTGGACACTGTGTAAGAGGTTGTTGAGTTTTAGGTCAAACTAAGATCAAGAAGAGGGAATTGAATTGAAATATTTTTTGTTCTTGTATAAAATAAAATATTTTCTCTAAATTGATTTTTTTTTTTCGCTTATCAGCATGTCTGGTTTTCTTATACTTCTTAATATAACACTATGGGTTTTAAAGTGATTTAGTTCACTACCTATATCCACTCTCCAAAAACTAACACTATATCTAGGTTTGTTTTTGATATTCTAATTAGGCATCACTATAGATATTTCAATCAGACATTATAGAACTTTAAAACTATAGTTCAATTTAGAGAAGTATAGAACTTTCAATCAGACATCACTATGGGTTTGTTTTTAATGTAACACTATAGAACTTTCACCAATTATGATAGTATAACTAGACATCACTAATAAACTAGGTTCAACTCCCATAGAATTTCACTTAAAAATTCTATTCTATATTCACGAATCTAGGAGGCCAAATTATTGAAAACTAGGACAGCTCTCATTCATGATCAAATGAATATTTAAGATCACATTTCCATTACAAATATTGATGATATCACTATGTGATATTTGTAGAGAATAATGGTTATGTGAGTTTCATCTGAAGTTAAAGGAAGAAGATGAGGATCAAAGCTTAATTGTTGCCTTTCTCTTATCATTATATGTTGGATGAAGGTGGGATGAGCAGTAGCTCATATGGTTCAAGGAAGATTAGTAGAGAGGTTGATGATTGATTTTTGACTTAAAATCTTCTTGAGTTTATACAGTCAAGTAGGATCTTGTTTTTGTTTCGATAAGAATGTGATAATATCAACACAAAACTAATAATGTATCTCATTGAAATAATGATTTATCAATCAAAAGTTATGTGAACCACATTACATTGGAAATCCAATATGTTATGTTTGTTAATAAGTTTGGATATCCTTATGTGAAACCAACACTTGATCCTATTAAATCATAACATTCATATTCAATTTGTGTTAGTTAAAATTAATTGAATAAAGATGTGATAATGTGAAAAAAATAATAATAACATGTGTCTCATTGAAATAATGATTTATCAATCGAAAGTTATTTGAATCACATTAAGCTAGAAATCCAATATGATATGTCTGTTAATAAGTTTGGACATCCTTATGTGAACCAACACTCAATCTTATTCAATCATAACATTCAATATCGGATTTATGTTGATTTAAATTACTTTGAGTAGTATATGATAAGATAAACCCAAAATTGGTAACATGTCTCATTGAAACAATTATTATCAATGAAAAGTTATCTTAATCACATCATGTTGGAAATCTAATGTATTCTTATGTTAATAAGTTTGGATATTCTTTTGTGAAACAAACACTCAATCAAATTAAATCATAAAATTCATATCCAATTTGTGTTTGTTTAAATCAGTTTGATAAGGATGTGATAATATGAACACAAAACTAATAATATGTCTCATTGAAGTAATGAGTTATCAATCAAAAGTTATTTGAATCACATTAAGCTGGAAATCTGATATGGTGTTTGTTAATAAGTTCAGATACCTTTATGTGAAACCAATATTTGATCCTATTAAATAATAACATTCATATGTGATTTGTGTTGGTTTAAATCAGTTCGATAAGGATGTGATAATATGAAGACAAAACTAATAATGTGTCTCATTGAAATAATGATGTTATCAATCAAAAGTTATCCAAATCATATCAAGTAAAGCATGATCTTCAAATTTGATTTGGAACTTTCTTATCATAGTTTTGATGATCTACTAATATTTATAAATCCTATTTGATTAAATAAATAATCTGAATAGAATTGATTAAATCATTATCAAAGTCATTCAAAAGCAAGAATTTAATATTATGAGCACATGGTAGACTGAGTAAGCTTTCAAGTCAGTATTTTACTATTTGCTATAAATTTAGTTTAATCATTTGAGTTATGCTCAATGAATTAAAATATGAATACATAACAACATTATATTGAAATGTATGTAATGAATTTTACATTTATCCTTATATCATGCATATTCAGAGTAAGGTATATTTCAATCCTTTTGATTAACCTTATACTAGTTTGTCATCATCAAAATATTATGTATACAATGCTCAAACAAAGACATCCAACCACATGAGTGTAGTGTGGACATAGGCACACAATGTGCACTTGTACGCAATGCACCTGCACATATGTGGAGTGGCACTAGAAGAAGTACACTACATGTGTTGAGGAGTTTGATGACATGGGCGAACATGTGCCAGATGTGTGGAGGCATGTAGGGGCATAGGTTTGAGCAAAAAATAAAGCATTGATGATCATGCAAGGATATATGAAGCATGTGTTCATGTGATTTTAACCTTTAAATTGGTTTCCATTACATTGGGTTCATCACACTATGTTCTTGGGTTTCACTAAATCTTTAATGAAGTAAAAAAAAAAAGGATCTAAGGCTTTCATTGCCTTGACTAAGTTTAATAACTCTATCAGGCTCAAAATTTCACTCATAAATCTTCTTTTATATTTACAGCTCAAAGGGCCAAACTATATGAAGGCCTGTCCTATTTTCTTCGAGGCCAAACTAGAGGAGAACCTCTCATCTCCTCCAGATCAATGACTCTAGGGGGCCAATCAAATTAGAACCTATTGATCTTTGCTAGATTCATGCTCCAGGTTGGCATGAATAAAGCTATTTTTAAAATACATTATAGAAGGTATTACCATTCTTTGTGTTTAAAATTTTAGCTTGCAAGTGGAATGAGTCTGATTTTTAATTCTGCGAGCTTCACAATAAGCAAAATGATATTTGGTCTTGATTTCTTCATGCTTTTCCTTTGATTTCGTTTCGTTCTTTAATGCCCATGTTGGGTTTTTTAGGAGAGTGTTATTTTTATATCTGCAGATTTTCTTTGATTTTTCAAGATATTCAGATAGAAGTTTAACAAAATGAAGCCAATATTTTCGTGGAAATGATGTACCCTAACAGTAACTTCCATTTTTATAATTTTGTGTTGTGGTTAACAATCATCTCATTCTTACTCTTGATGTGTCAACACCTAATTAAGGCATATAAAAATATGTGGATAAATCCTAATAAAATGATCCATAAATTTTGTAAATCATTGAAGATCATGTCCAATACACTTTGACTTTTTCAAGGGTTACTAGAATATTTAATTTAACTTATAATATTAACAAACTATTTTAGCCTTAATTTAGACTTTCCTAGTTTTAAGAATTTTCCTAATAACAAACATTAAGATCATCAAGATAATTGATTACATTGTCATGATATTTATCAATCTATTCTCCCACATGTTATGTTAATCATTAGAACATGAAGGGCTCCATAAGCCAATAGTTGGTTTCACCTTCCATGAGATTGTGGCTTAAGATTGAACCAAGTTGTTATGGTGTGAAGCTTTCTGATCCTACAAGCAACCTAAGTGGAGTATAAGAGTCATGATTATTATAAACAAACAAGTTATGAATATCCAAAGAAGTGGACATGCTAAAAAAGTAAATCAAACATGAATAAAAATTAGGTTCAAAAATATCTTGCCAATGGTTTAGCAAGGTGAGGGACCCTTGAAAGGGAGAATGAGAACTCGATTCTTGAGAATGTCTTCACCCTCTTAAGCTTTTCCTCTTCTTTTAGTGGCTGGATTGATTGCAATAAACCTAGGAACCATATCCATAACTTTTTGGCCCATGCAACCAATAGGATGCCCTCTCTAGATGATTTTTCATCTTTCTACCATGTAAAATTACATGTGCAAAATCAGTCCAGCAAATTAGGATGTGTGTGACAGTCTCACATTCATGTTGATGGTCCCAGCCATCATGTTGACTCAATGCCCAGTATTTTATTAGGTCAAAGGTATCAACAATATTATACACTGAATATTGGGGATGGACGAAATTAGAATGTGTTTGTAGTTTCATTTGATATTTCCTCCTAACCTCTTATGATGACCCCCACCTTAATGGGGAGTCACATAACCACATTTTTCATTATCATCTAATTAGGTTTTAAGGTCATCACCTCATAATTAGGTTTTAAGGTCATCACCACATGGTTGTTGAATCAACTACTAGTTGAGAATGGCAAGAGAAAAATGTTGTTTCATAAGTCTAATTCACATGCACATTGGAGTTATGGAAATTAAGCCAATGGGTTTCCTCTAATATCATATGATATTTAAAAATTATTTTAGGAGCATTAATAAGAAAATTCAAAATGTATGGTATCCTCTAGGTATTGTTTATATCATTAATGGATGATGTGCATTTAAGAGGGTAAGGGGACCATTTTAATTGGATCTGAAGTTACATTAGCTAACCATAAAGTATTTTTTTTTTCGACCTATTAATGGTCTACCACAGAATTCACATCCACTCTAAATGAGAGTTAAGGGTGTGAATGTACAATCAGTCAAATATACTATCCAACTTATTAGTGGGTCCAATTAATATCTTGATCAGGTTCTTACATTATAAGGAATCTAATATTCATCAAAGGCTTTGGAGTAATATACTTTCGTTTTTAATTTGCATATTAAGAAATTTAGGGAGGTTGTCTTCTCATTCTCATGACCCAAGCCCTTTTTAATGGACCAGATCTGCTTTACACACAAGGCCATCGGTTGGTCCACTATGACCACTTGCTTTGTCGATGATTTCCCCTTGGCTTTAGGGCATATCACCTATTAAATGCAAATAGCATTGGGAATAGTCTCACGTTGGAAACTTTGATTGTCCAGGCCTTAATGAAGACCAATTGCCTATTTGTCTCTCCTCCATTCAATACTCCACAATAAATTAATAGAAAATTTGGAAAATTTGTCTCTCACGCTTGGAGAATGCTAGAGTCTCCCCTGACATCTCATTATAGCATCGTATGACAATGATGCTACTAAATAGTTAGGAGCCCACTATGAATATCATCATTTAAGTGTGATTAGGACGTGTGTGTGGTAGCATTGACCCCTAGGCCACCATATTAACTAACCCAATAAATTGATGATAACCTGGTCTAGAGTAATCTGTAATTTTATATGGAAATTTCTAACTTGATTTATCATTTTTCTTATCTCTCTTCAATGGTCCTGTAGGTAGACACGTAATTTATTCTAAATAGTGAAGCCATACCAAACCACTTGGTGCTAAATAGTACACATAATCAGTTTTGTTAGTAATTATAATTAGGGATGGCAATGGCGACCGCCATTGTGGTCTCTAGAATAGACAAATCAGCCACCCAATGAATATGGTAGTGATGACAATGAGACGACCCAATACAAGAATGGAACAAAAGATAGTGAGAGAAACCGAGATCGAATGGCACTGTTTAAAATAAGAAAATGGAATCGTAGATTTGATGTAGGAATATCAATGAAATCGTGCAAGTTGGAAAGTCTTGTAGAATTCACCCATTTCTGTCTTTGTACGTGCTTTCTATAAGGTAAATGTATGCTATTTATGGAGTGTGGGGGCCATTTAACTAAGAAATGAAAGCAAGATTAAGTAATCATAAAGGTAATTTGGTATCCCATTAATGGGCCAACCACAAAGTCACCCCTTCAACTCTCAATTCAGTAGGGTGAAGAGGAGTTCCGCCTCATTCTAACCAGTGGGCTTTATTAGAATATTGACCAAGAATCTAGCGAACACCACAGGCAAGAACAGTAACAACTTTAAATAGGAGTAATTACAATTTTGATATTTATGAAATTATACCTGATCTATCGGTTATACTTCAAAATAGTTACCGTATATATATATGTCACGTAATTTAAACATGTAGACTAAAATATTTTCGTCCTTCTCAATATACACTGCGGGGCCAACCACGACACAAGTACCTCCATAGTATATTTACACGAGGGAGGAATAATCGGTACTTTCGCCGTGCGCCGTGAACCTCACCGCGTATTACGATAGTTTTCCTCAGTTTTTTTACGTCGGGGACCGAGGCTGTCCCTCACCAGCTGAAGCTCATCGACTCGTAGTGCAGGTTGTTTGCATGCCCGGACGAGCAGATCATTGCAACGTCGCGCCGCATCCCTCTGGGTCCGCTGGCCAGTACACCGACGTCCTCCTCCTCCAGCCCCAGTAGAAACTCTGAAACACGGAGTTGACACGACATAAGAACAGCCCCCCTAGAAAGGGACGGTGAGGTAACAGATAGAGTCAACCAGGGATGAACAGTGGGAGCTTACTCTTGAGATCGGGCCTCGCGCCGAAGTGCACGTTGGTGGACCGCACAAGGGATTCCTGGGGGAGACTCTCCAGTTCCTGATCGGCTTTGTGGAACCCAACGCCTGGAGTAGCCCCTGGCGAAGGGGCGTTCGCGATCTGGACCTGCCTTCCTTCGGCGGCGTGCCGCTGCTTGCTCCAGAGGAACGCCGTCGTCGCCGTAGCGGCGATAGCAGCGCAGATGATGAGCAAGTTGAGGAGGGCCTTGGCGGTGTAAGAGTACACCTTATTGCTGTTATGGTCCTTGGGATAGATGTAGTAGCGGTTCATGATCCCGAGCAGCACGAGGAACGCCACGAAAGAGGACGCGATGACGGCGGCCAACAGGAGCCAATTGTGAGGGCCCAGAACGGCCGACACCAGCTGGTCCGTGGGCCTGGGCTTGAACCAGAGCGTGCGAATGGCGTCCGCTTTGCCGGCGGGGCCCTTCTCCCTGGTGACGAAGGCGTCCACCCGCAGCTGCAGGCGGGAGATGTCGGAGACGCTGCCCGATATGGGGAGAAGAAGGTCGAGCATCGTGAGATCGTCCGAGTTCTTGAACGCGCAGATGAGGTGGATCTTCGGCGTGGCGCTATCTCCGGTGGCGCTGCGGAAGATGAACTCGCGGATGATAGCGATGAAAGGCGTAATGCCGCTCCCGCCGCTGATCAACACCAGAGAATCGTACCTGATAATAAACACGACACAAAAGACCTCAGGCGAGAAGCATGAACAGTGTCTCCACAAAGCGAAGAGGTGTAGATCCTCCTCCATCCTCCTCCAGCCACCCCATGAAGGAACGAACGAACGAAAGAACGAACCCTGAGAAGCTATTGGAGACGGGGCCGTAGGGTCCCTCCAGGGCGACCTCCAGCCGATCAGGGGGGCTCGAGGCGAGGACCTGGTGAAGCTTCTGCGTCCAGGAGCCCTCTTTTTTGATGATTACGCTCAACGTGTCGGGTTCGAGGTTGCTGTTTGATGACACCGTGAAAGGGTGCCACTGTAGCCTGGAGACGGCGGGGACGTTGACGAAGACGTTGCTCAGGGGGTTGTACTCCAGACCTAGCAGGAGAGACGAAGAAGAAGAAAATTAGAGAAGGAACGAGAGATATGTCGAAAGGGTCAGCTGGGCCATGAAGACTGACTCACCGGCGCTCTTGGCGAAGTTCAGCTCGATGGTGTCTCCCGGGAGAAGGCGGGCAGAGACCAGGCGGACTCGGCCGCGGGACTGAAGGAACCGAAGGAACCGGTCGATCATGAAGAGGTAGATCCCCGGTAACATTATGGTAAGGAAGCCGATGCCGACGTGGAGGAGGAAGAAGAGGAGGAATAGCACGTAGAGTTGGTGCGAGTAGAAGAAGAGCTCGAACATCTTGCGCCGCACCCGTTGCAGAGTGGTCGCCCAGAGGACCAATCCAAAGAGCAGCGCCAACTCTCCGGCGAGGTACGACTCGCCCGTGTTGGCCCATTCCAGCATCTGCTCGTGGAATCGACGATGAATAGCCATAAATTTCTGTTCTTATTCTCTTCTCGTAAGACGGGGAGGAAGATGGCAGTTGCAGTGAGGAGAAGGCGCTTACCGAAGAGAGGGAGTCGGTGGACGCCCAGTATATAACGTACAGCAGGCCGTGAAGGGTAACGAGGACCATGACGGTGTGCCCGAGCCATATGTGGTACTTGATGCTTCCCTCGGATGTGAGGCCGACCAGTGGCAGGATTGATGACGCCCTGGTGACGGGGATGAAGAGGAAGGCCAAGCAGAGGTTTCCGAGAAGGCCCAGCCGGAGAGCCGCAGAATCCAACTTCGCCTCCCACCTGAAACAACGCAGTGCGAGTGAATTTCCACCCCATGGTTGAGTCCTCTGCGACCTGGGGACAGTGGAGAATAGTGAAAGGGAAGGCTTCTTCTTACACTTTCTCTTTCTGCTCTGCCGCCGACTGTGGGGTGATGCGCGAGAAGCTGCTGGATAGGGCTACGGAGAAGTACCAGGTGAGGAGCGCAACGAACATGGCCAGGAAGGCCAGCTCCGTCCACGAGACGATCCCCAGGGGGCCCCTTACCAGAGCCGGTCTCCTCCAAAAGCTGGCCCCGGGCTTCACCTCTCTACTGTTCAATCCCCAAAAAAAATAAAAAAATCAGCAAACTAGAGACAGATCGTTTTCCTAATACCATTTGATTTGTTTATTTTTTCCAGAGGCGTCAGATTTCAAGCATGCCTTTCGTCTTCCCGCCTGCCCTTCTTCAGATGGATGTAGACGCATCCGAGTATGGAGATGAAGAGGACGGAGGAGGTGTAAATAAGGAGGTTCGTCCCTGAGATAACACAACCAGAGGCCTGGAGGTCAGAAGAAAGAAGAAGGGCCCACTGTCGTTAGATCTTCTGCTAGAGAACTTCGACAACCTTGAGCTCCAAAGTAGGTCGAGTTGGTGTCTGCGCGGAGCTTGGGCTGCCATTTTTCCCTGTACCGGTTGGTCGGCGCTATCATCCACAACACGATGTACCCCAGGAAGACGGCGGCCGCGAGCAGCCTCACGACTTCCGCCACCGATAGCGCTAAGCTCCTCTTTCCCCACATGTCGCCTATCTTCTCGTCTCCTTGTTCGTCTCCTCCTTTCGGACGATGGCTGCCATTGGCAGCCGTGAGGTCCACAGTCTTATAGACCTCTTGGGAGTTGACTGCGTCTCAGCCTGCGGATTTGTTGACGGAAGAGAGCGGCAGGGATAAAAAAGGGGCCCACATGGAAGTACAGAAGACGGCATGGTTCACTGCTGTCGGTCATGTTGACGCATCAAGTCGGAGCCCCGCGGGCCCCTCATGGTCACCGTCGAGGTCTCTTGTGTGGTCACTCCGCCATTGCTTTTCCTATACGCAGTGGCAGCCTACTGCATGACGATGAAATCAACAAGGGCTCGAATTTTATACGCAGTGGCCAGTTCCTTCTATACAGCCGACAATTGGAAGACGACACCATGATAACGGGCTCTTGTCGCCTCTGCTTGTATTCGTGTTCCTTCGGATGCAGGATCTTCTTGCGTTGACCTCAGGAAAGCAAGGTTCTTGCCGCCGCCGGTGTGGCGCCGGCAGATGGGGGAAGGATGCTCTCATGAGAGAGCACGAATCATGCGCAGCGCTGAGATTGGCTTGTGGTCGGGAGTGAAGCGGCGTGGCGCTTCGCCCTTCCCTGCACGCCATGAAAAGACCGCACCACCGCCATGAATGCGCCGTCGGCAACAGGGCGGCCCACCGGTGAATAATGGCGAGGAACCGGCAGAAGGGATGGGCGGCCACGCGCGCCTCGCACGCCGACGAGCGCGCCACCCGCCCGCGCCACGCTCCGGCAGCGGCCCCGCGCCGCCCGATCTCCGTGCCGCGGCAGCTGTGGCCCGTGAGCTTGTCCATTGGCGTTGCACCCACATGAGAGATACGTCCACATACAGATTTATTGGTGTGCACCACTCGGACTTCAATGGGAGAGCGACGTAGCGCAAGCTGGTGGACCTTCTCGAAGCCTTACGCATTCCTTCCTTATTAAACGACGGGGTTTGCGGTCGTTGACACCACGCTTGGGTGACGAAAGTTTACGCCACAATCTAAATTTATTTTTACTAATAACAAGGAAAATTAGCTCGACGGGAGGGGAAGGGCAAAACTTTTGCGATGCGCGGGTCCCACCGAAAAGTCAGCACCTCCTTCTCCCCATTTATTCCGTCAAACCAAACGCACCTCATCTTGTTCGTTCGGTGGACTCCGGATTCCACGTCTGGCTGACGTGTGCATCCGCGAAGCAGAATGGGAGTCTACAGAACCTTCTGGAAGACTTGCGATTTTTGGCTTATTTACAAATAAATTCTCAACAAGTGATTTTAATATATATTTTTGGAATGGCATTGGATTAGAGAATAAAAGCGGGTCCCACGGGAGCCTCAATCGCTGGCGGCTCTGTTTGTCCGCAATGCCATTACAGATGGCACCAAGCATCCAAACCTGTATGTTTGGGTGCTTCCACAGTCTTTTCCCTGCTTCTTCGCTCTGAGACGTCCCACCACCGGTCCTCTTCGAACTCCACCAACGGGGTGCCGCCTTGGCGGACGGCGGGTGGAGGTAGTCTCGGAGAAGAAGCTGCAGGAGGCGACCGAGGAGCTGAAGCGCCGCCGCGACGGCCGCCTCAGGCTGAGAGGGCTCAGGAACCTTTGCTCGGTCTTCGTGCTGTCGTGTGGCGTCAGTGTCGGGATGGGCAACGTCCTCCGTGCCGTCAAGCTGTGGCGGTGGAGGTGAACTCGCCCGTCCCTATCTCAGGTGCCGATCTTTGCCCCGTCTCTCTCTCCTGTTTGTCCTACTCTTGAGTCTGGTCTTCTGTCTGCTGACGTGGAGGCCATTGTGAGCGCCTACCCTAACTGTGATAATCTCCATATCCCTGTACCATGGAGGATAGGATTAATGTGTGTTTTAGTTGGTGAATGGTGGCCTTTCGATGGAGTAATTTAATTTATGTTACAAAATTCATACTCCTGGGCTGCAGTGGGAGCCAGTGGGGAGGTGTAAGTTCTGCACATTGTTTGTTCTTATGGTGGATGTGCTCGCTCTTCATCAGAAAGAAAATAACGGTGAATAAGCAGAAGAGGTGAGCCCCTCAATTGTCTCCTCACATTTTATGTTCATCGTACTGTCATTACGTGATTTTATTTTTATCAGCTTTTAATTATTTTTAACTGGTTCACTTTTGTTTATATTTCATAAATCAAGATATTTTTTTGATTATTTCATAAACTATTGCTGCCGCCTCTGTTTGGCGTCTCCTACCTGAGGGAGCGCCACTGCTGCCGCTGCCAGCTCTGTTCTGCGTCGGTTATGCTCGACGTCGCTTGTCTAGGGGAGCGTCGACGCCACCACTAACATCCGGCGACAGACAAGTTACAGGTTAGGGTTTCAAACCCCTCTTTGCTCGGCGAGGCCTTCCACCTCTGCCGAGTATCCTTCCGGCGAGGTCTTCCGCCTCTGCTGAGTATCCTTCCGGCGAGGCCTTACGCCTCTGCCGAATACCTTTCCGGCGAGGCATTCCGTCTCTGCTGAGTATCTTTTCGGCGAGGCACTCTGCCTCTTGCCGAGTGTCTTTCCGGCGAGGCCTTCTGCCTCTGCCGAGTTTCTTTTTGGCATCATCTTGATGCACTTATTGCGCCATTGGAGGCGTGTTATCTTTCCGCCGTTTAAAGGCGTGATATCCTGCCATTTCGAGCAGGTTTTCTTTCCGCCATTTAGAGCGGTTATACTTTCGTCAGTCCTCTAATCTAGGACGACGAGTTCACTGTCATCTCCTCTTCCGGCGAGGTAGTTCTACGACGAGAGAGCACTGATCTTCATCTGTCATTGGACAATGGATTTGAGTTCATCAGTAGCAGGTTCGTCAACGACATCTTCAAATTCATTGCCGTCATTTCTGTCTGCATCAAGCCTTCTGTCTAGAGGCTGAATAAATATCTAGGTCCATTACCGTTGTTTTCACCTTCATCAGCATTTTGTGAGAGGTAAAATCAACCTCTTATCTACGCTTGTCTTAATTCAATGTCGTACTCCATCCTCCTAAGTCTGTCTCCCTCTATTCAGCATCAGTTCTATGTCTTCCCTAGTCTGGTGACCAAGGTTCCCTCTATTTGCTACAGTCTATGTTGTCTGGTGTTGTCTGCTCACCTCTGCTTTCATCGAAATGGTCTTCACCTTCCAGTTCTTTTCCGAGTTCATTACTCGATCGGTGGAAGGGTTGCTGGCCTACACCTCTCCTGAGAGCTAAGCCCCATCATCACATCAATCGTCATAGGTGAGAGCCTTTGCATCAGATCTTGGCACTATGCAGATCTCAAAGCAGAGGGATACTCTCCGCATGCTTGGTGCCATCTGTCAACTACCTCATGACTCCATCTACAGAAAGTTGCTACTGAGGATCTGCAGAAAGTTGCTGCTGATCTGAGGTCCTCCATCTGGAAGCAGATGTCTGATGCTGGGATCAAGTACATCCCCAGCAACACCTTCTCATTCTACGACCAGGTGCTTTACACCACGGCAATACTTGGGGCTGCTCCTGACAGATATGGCTACACTGGTGGAGAGATTGGACATGACATCTACTTTTCCTTGGGTAGGGGTAATGCCAATCTGCCTGCTATGGAGATGACCAAGTGGTTCGACACTCACTACCATTTCATCGTCCCTTAACTTGGGCCAAACACAAAGTTCTCCTACGGCTCCCACAAGGCTGTGTCTGAGTATAAAAAGGCCAAGGTGCTTGGGGTGGATACTGTTCCAGTGCTCATTGGACCTGTGATTTACCTATTGCTCTCAAAGCCAGCAAAAGGAGTTGAGAAATCCTTCTCCCCTCTTTCTTTGCTGCCAAATGTTCTCCCTGTATACAAGGAAGCCATTGCTGACCTTAAGGAAGCAGGTACCTCTTGGATCCAGTTTGATGAGCCGACACTCGTGTTGGATCTGGATGCCCAAAAAAATAAAATAAAATCGGAAGCTTTCATCCAAGCTTATGGGGAGTTAGAATCTTTCTTCTCTTGCTTGAATGTGCTTATTGAGACCTACTTTGCTGATGTTCCTGCTGCAGCATACAAGACTATGACGAGCTTGAGTGGCGTCTCTAGATTTGGGTTTGATCTTGTCCGTGGAACCAAAACGCTGGACTTGATTAAGAGCGACTTCCCTGCCAACAAATACCTTTCCCAGGAGTTGTTGACAGAAGGAACATTTGGGCTAATGACCTCGCTGCTTCCCTCAGCATTCTTGGATCTCTTGAGGCCATTGTAGGCAAAGACAAGCTTGTTGTTTCTACCTCGTGCTCGCTCCTGCATACTACTGTGGACTTGATTAATGAGTCTAAGTTGGACGATGAAATCAAGTCATGGTTGGCTTTTGCTGCACAGAAGATTGTGGAGGTCGATGGTTTGGCCAAGGCATTGGGTGGTCAAAAGAATGAGGCTCTACAACCTTGGGACATGTCACAGGTGTTTGGTGCTATCATATTCATGGTGATCTGTCTTTGGGGCATGACAACATCAGAGGAGCCAAAGGTGTTGGCGAATCCACAACCTCAGTGGTGGTCATCTGTGATTACCACCAAAGGAGAGTTGCTGCGACAATAGATCTTTGTCATCACCAACAAGTGAATGTTCAGAGGGTGAGATTTTTTGTCATCACCAATTTAGTCAAGATGAATTTTTCAAAGTTCATCTTGAGGGGGAGTGATGGTAGTTCTAGGTCGTAGGGAAATAGTGGAATTAGTTGAGGGTGTTTTGGTAAAAGTTGTGTATCATTGCTCCCTATATAATGGGGGTTACAGTTGAATGAATCTTGAGGTGGTTTCTGCCATTCTCCCCTTTGTCCTTTGTGACGAGTTTGTTTTTTCTATTTCCAACAGTTATGTAGGACCATTGGAAGTATAAGGGCTTGTAAGGTCATCTGAATTTGGATCTTCATCACCATAAAGGATTCAAATACCATGTTAATAGAGAAATTATATGAATATGAAAGCACCCATAAATGATCATGTTCAATGGAAGTTTCACCCTACAGATAATTATGTTCCACTGTTTTTGTTCAATTCCACAGCATTGCAAATACGTGGGTTTGGTTTCAAGAAATTTGATTGAAGTTTCTGTTGGTGTCTGAGCTCAATTCCACAGCATTGCAATTTGATTTGATTGAATAAGTTTTGATATGAACATGATAACTTGAGCGTGGAGATTTTCCTATTTTCCTATGAAGTTCCAGTGTTTGAGCTTTGCTAAAATCAATTGTAGCAAGCCAAATGTAGTATATCAGTAAAGCTATGCTACTGGAATTGGGGTGTATTGTTGTGTCTTTGTACAATTTTTACTAGTACTTTTATGATCCTAATCCCCAATACGTGCTGCATTGGTGTTGTTGCCTCTGAAGGAGATTTGTGAAGCTGATTCTATCCTAGTCACGATAGAACCAGGTTTTTAGTTTCCAAATCCCAGCGAAACATTGAGAGGGTCAAACCCTGATTATCTCCGTGTAGTGACTGTTCCTTGCTAAGTCATCATCTCCTTGAGTGAAGTAGAACAAAAACACTCAACAGTCAAGGCGTCGTTGCTATAGATAGGATTTTGCCTCGGTCTGGTTTGCAAGGCAGAATTAAACATCACACAATCTGGTGCTCGCATGAACTGGTTGGCCGTTGGGATCCTACCTTCGGACATGGGCCTCAGACATTAGCTTGTTACTATTTTTCAAATGACTCCCTCTTCCGCAGTCATTCTATTGCATGCCCTCATCCTGTGAATTTCTCCACATGTATGCCCTGGATGTGAATCTCTCTCTCTCTCTCTCTCTCTCTGACTCCCTCTTCAACATCTGGTTGCATCAAGTAGCAACATCTGCTTTGGACACTTAGGGCCCTGTTGTTAGAGCAGTCGCATAATATTGTGCTAACGGAATGCCTGATCGAGGTGTATTCCAAAACCCTTGAGTAGGTACATATTGAAACGCCATGTGTGCCCCTTTCCTAAGCAACCTACTACAGCCAGAGAATGTTACAACACACTACGCATGTACTAAAATAAAAATAAAAATAAAGTATGTGTGTTAAATAAAAATTATGTTGCTGATGACAAACATAGATAAGATCAACTAGAATATCAAACATGGTCATTGATCACAAACTTGATTTATCATTAAATGTTTTCTTACATATGAGTTTCATTTTAATTCAATATTAAATTATATGTATTATAAATAATAATATATAATATTTAAATATTAATTCAAGAAAACAATTGTGACATATAATGCTGAATTCTAAAATCTGGTAGATTTCACATTCTAAATTATTATTTTACGTATGATTGTGGAAATTACTATACTTGTAGAAATCACTATTGTGAAAAAGTAAGGTTGATTATTATTGTGAAAAAGATCTCTTGAAGTAAAATGTGACTATAAATATTTACCTAATCTACTATTATTAATGATGCTTATGTTGATGTCCTTTGTTTTGATATTTGATGTTACCTAGTTGTTATATATTAAGTCACACAAATTTAAAATTTATATAGCTAGAAAACACTAATTTTTAGATTTTTAAAATTATTTACATACAAATATAACACTTTTAAATCAATAAAGAATTCTAAAAATTGTGAGATTTTTCGAAGTTGACCTTAAGGATGTACGTTAATATCATGAAATATTATCAATTTGTTCACAAAGAATACCATTTCATATGATTTTTAGACTAAAAGATCATAAACAATCTTTTTGAAAACTAAAAAAAAGGAAATTGAGATGCTAACATCATGCTGACATCATGGTGAGATATGTAAATGTCTAATAGATCATAATGGAGTAAAGATGAATTTGAAAACTTATATTCAAACAAAACTATCATTAATCTAAATATTTAAAAAATATAAATAAAGAAAATAGAGTTTTAATGTTACGACAATAATTATTAGAATTTTGTATGTTCAAAAGGTTTTCTAAGTGTTCATAACCTTGAAGGCTCTATTTAGACATACAAGTGATAATTATAAATTAGTAGTATTTATGTAGTAATATCTTATATATAGATGGTAATTAATGAGTAGATAATACTATTATATGTGTTACCAACTCATTATGACATTTATAATATTTTATCATTTAAGTCTTAATATATATTATTTTAGTTATTTTATTTATATTATGAGACTAACCCTACTTGACTTTTATGAAGTTAAGTGATAATTCTCTCACATTTTCTTGATAATTATTTAAGTTCAAAGATTTAAATGAGTTCTTAGTATGAGTTAGAAGTAATGGAAGAAGTCCAAGCCTTCAACCCAATAAAAAGCTTAAGTCTTATGGAGAGGGCCGACTTAATATATTTATGAGCTCAAGAGAGGACATCACTTTGGCCTAGCCCATTTGGAGTTCAAATAGTTATCAAGAGATAAGATCTAGGCTGTCCATCTTTAGGCATCTTAAGATGAGGTTAAGAGAAGGATTAGAGTACTGCCCTCATGGAATTAATTTTAACCATCCATTAGAGGGGCTTAACTCTCGAGAAGATTAAGACATCTCGCCCCCCTCTTGGAGGGGGCTTTTTGGCTCTCTTTCTAGTAGTGGCTAGTGGAAGAAAATAGGAGGAAAATCAAGACTTAATCAACGACATTCTCGTGCCCAAGATTATCATGGAGAATAAATTACCTAGAGTGTATTATGGATCGAGCATCACTTGGCCTAGGACTGGCGCACAACGAGATTTGTGCAAGATTTTGATTTGAAGAGTCTTTGTAATCCTCTTCATAGATAGATTAACTTTTAATTCGAACTAATTTTATCATTTGTTCCATCATTCTATTATATTAGATCTATTCTCTCCTCTTTTCATACTTTTCATAACTCTTGTCTTCACCATTTTACATTTAATTCCGTCCTTCACAGTCTCACGTATATATATATATCTATATAAGAAATACAATAAGTAAAATTTGTACTTTCATTGTCCATGCTCCTTGAGGATCGACCCTTACTTATTCTAAATAGAAGAGTGAGGTTTTATAAATATTATTTGTATGAACTTGATTGTATCACGATGGCGTATTTAACCTCCAATTCGAGTTTATTAACAAGGCTTGGGCATTGTCTATATTCTTATGAAATGTTTAAAAGGTGAATAAAGGCATTGATGAAGTGTCTTCAACAACTATTACCTTGTGAAGTAGAAGTTGGTGAAAATAATCATTTAGTGACTATCACCAAATGGAACTAAGATTGATAGAAGTAGAGAGCATCTTATGGAGCTTCATCCTCAAATCCATGCAGCAAGATAACTCTCTTATCGCAAATGAAACCTCTAAAGAGATAATGACAAATCTTTTAGTAAATCCCTTTACCTTTGATGATGACTCATTCATCTCCTCATAGAGAATTGAGGTGATCTAATCATTGCATAATAAATCACTCAAACTTTAAATTTATAAAATTAGAAAATACTAATTTTTAGATTTTTAGAAATATTTTAGCACAAAAAAATTATTTTTAATTTATCAAAAAAAATTAAAAATAATATATATTTTTTAGGTTGATCATAGTGATGTAAGATAATATCTAGTAAAATTTTCATCAAAGAATACAACTTTTTATGATTTTTAGACTAAATGATGAAGATAAAATATATTGAAAAATCTATGAAAAAGGAAAATTTAGGTGCAAACATTAGGATGATGTCAATGTATTGACAAATGTGATTTGAATAGAAATGGAGTTTCGTTAGACAATTCTTATGGAAATAATTATAAACACTTTAATTAATAAAATTAAGATTTGTAAAAGCTAGAATAATCGTAATTAAATGAAGAATACATTAGAAACTTGAAATCACATAAAATTTCACTAATTTAAGTAAAAATTAAATTGAAAGTATGAAAGTCAGAGTTCCAATTTCGTAGTAACTATTATCTAAATTCTATGTTTAGAAAGATTATCATGTGATATCCATAGCCTAAAAGGCTCTCTTTGAATATGAACGATGTGGGCAATCTCTAATTATTCTTGTAAATTTTAAAAATTAATGAAATGAGTCAACGAATCATCTTCAGCAACTATCACCCGATATAATAGAAATACAATGACTTTTGGATCTCTAGCTGCTATCACTTGACATAGATAAGCTAGATGGAGGTGGGAGCATATTTTAGAGAGTTTTATCCGCAAGTCCATGTAACAAGAAGTTGATCTTCATTGCATCTAGTATGCTCTCAAAAGGTGGTGACTCGTCTCTTTTTGACAATAGCTCATTCGTCAATCAATCATAGATGATTTTCTCGATAGATTCGTGATCTTTTTATCCATAATTATTCAATAGCTGATAATGATGCTTTGTGAATTACATTGATGATATTTTCTATTAATGATTGAGTGATTATGACGCTTAATCATTGATTGGTGCTCTACATAATAATCACAATTTAATTAGATAAAAATATAAAGTTTGACTCTAATGAGATTCAAACCCTTGTTAGTTGCTTGGTTGTGATAGATAAATAATATGAATTACCTACATACCCTTACCTAGTGATGTCATGGAGGCATTTCCTTCTTATAAAACAAAGGTATTTTTGGTACTAAATTATTGAAAAACTATTAGTGAGCATTGGCATAGGTTTAGTCTCACATCATCTCTTTTTTGAGTTTTGAGATAAATATATAATAATATGTCTTCTCGTGACTTCGTTGATGATGTAGAAGTGGAGTGATTCACACATGCCCCCAACTTTTCCTTAGTCACTCGAGCCCTTTGCTCATGGCTTTGCTCGATTGTGTTTGCAGCCCGCTAGTGGGTCCAGTTGACCAGCGGGTCCCCCGACTATACTTTTGACCTACTTGCAGGCCCAACTACTAGCAAGTCCCTTCTTTTTCTATATTTTTTATTTTATTTTTTATCTCTCTTTATTTTATCCCAAAAATATACTTATACAAATTATATAAATTCACATAAAATCAAATAATTAGCTAAAAAAACATATTAATCTACTAAAACCCCCTTTTTTTACTTTAACATAAATATAAATTTATTTATCATGAGTTAAGGTTTAAGATATATTATTAATTAATTATTAACTCATGATAATGAAAACTTATCAAGAATCATTTTCCCCTGGAAACTCATGATTTTTCTATTTGAACTCTTTAGTCATGCAATGGAAGATTCATAATTTTCATTGATAAAAATTCCATCGATGATCGACCATTTTTCTTGGTTTTTCCTTTTGACTATTTTCCTACAAAAAAATTACAGAATCAAAATAGAAGAAAACATGAATTTTGGCATTGGTGAGCTTCAAACCTCTACTGATCACCTAGTTGCATAGGTGAAGCCACACAAATTTCTATTATACTCTTGAAATAATGAACATATGAATGCGCTACCTTCTCTTTACATAGGAGTATTTTCATCATTAATTTAGTCAATGAGAGTTGTCAACGATTTAGTCCTAATAAGTTGTTCTATGGGGTTTTAGATCTATATAAGTTTGGGCTATCTCATGTATTTGATTCCTTCTCCCAAAGAAAAATGGCCAGGATGACAAAAGAGTGAAGTGTAGATGGGTGGTCCCCCCTCACACAACACACATGTGATGAGATGATACCTTGCCCCATGCATGGGTTCCTGACGTGACTCAGTCGTTGTATATTAAATCACGCAAATCTAAAATTTATAAAACTAGAAAATACAAATTTTTGGATATTTAGAAGTATTTCTGAATAAATATATCAATTATAATTCAATAAAACTTCCAAAAATAGCGGTAATTTTCCAGGTCGATCACAGGGATGTAATATAATATATGGTAATTATTCAGAATTTTTCTCAATGAATCCGATTTTCTATGAATTGTATACTAGGAAATGAAAAGGAAATATATTTAAAATTCACGAAAAAAAGGAAATAAGGGTGCGGATGTCAGGATGATGTCAGCACCCGGCGAACGCGAATCGGGCGGAAACAGAGTTTCGCCCGGTGATTCTTACGTAAGCGATTACAGACGATTTAATTAATCAAATTAAGATCTGTAAAAGCCGGAAGAATCGTAATTGAACGAAGTATATTTTGGTAAATTAAAATCACACAAAGTATCACTAAATGAAGCGTAAATTAAATTGAAAGCAGGAAAATAGAGTTCCGGCGTCGCAACGGCGATACGTCGGCGATGCACCGGAATCCTGAGCGTTCGGGAAGATCTTTCGTGCAGTGTCCACGGCCTCGTAGGCTCTCCTTGGACAAAGACGACGTGGGCAATCTCTAGATCTCTTTTCGAAGTCTAGAGATCAATGGAATGGGTCGTCGAGTCGTCTCCGGCGGCTGTCACCCGGCAGAGCGGAAAAACGACGACTTTGCGGCTCTCTAACGGCTGTCACCCGATGGAGAGGAGTTGGATGGAGGTGGGGCGTGTGTCAGGGAGCTTCATCCTTAGGTCCGTGCAGCAAGAGGAGGCTCTTCATCGCATCTGGTACGCTCTCAAGAGGTGACGACTCGTCTCTCGGCGGATTGTCCTCTTCCTGACGATGGCTTATTCGTCGATCAATCGGAGATGATTTACTCGATGAATTTGCGATCCTTTTATCGCTAATCGTTCAGCAATTTTAGTAGCAATGCTCCGCGAATCGCGTTGACGAGATTTTTGCCAATGATCCAGTGATTCTCGTTGCTTAATCCTTCACCGGCGATCTGTAGGAAAGTCGCGATAATCAGATAAAAATATATGAATTTTGACTCTAGGAGGATTCGAACCCCCGCGGGTTGTCCGCCCCTTCTGAGGAAGGTGTGACGCGGGTTTAGTCCCACATCGGTTGTGCGCCGATTTTTCAGGTGAATATATAGTAATGTTAGCTTTCTAAACAAAGTCCTTTCTCTCACGTGTACGACCACTCCTTGCCCCACAGCCGGCTAGCCACCGGTGACGTGGAAGGGGAGTGGCGCACACGTGCCCCTATCGGTCCAAGCCGCTCGAGCCCCTGCTTGCGGCTACTCCCCGACTGAGCTTCCAACCTGCTTGTGGGCCCGGCTGGCCGGCGGGTTCCCCCGTCATTTTGTCTTATTTTTATTTCTTTTTCTTCATTTATCTCAAAAGTAAGACTGTAAAAATCATATAAATTCATGTAAAATCACATAATTACCCAAAAATTCACATTAATCAACTGAAAACCACTTTTCACACTTTAACACAAATATAAGTCTATTTATCATGAGTTAAGGCTAAAACTATATTATTTACTAATTATTAACTCATGATAATGAAGACTTATCAGTTCCCTTCTAGTGAGATAGAAGAGGAGTGATGCATACTAGTTAGTGGAACCTTAGTCACTAGAGCCCAGCCCATGGTTCCACCCAATCTAGGTCAACTCACTCAAGCGTAGTGGCCTTTAGGTCGAATATAAAATCATGCCCCTTCGTTTTAACATTTTTATTTTCTATTATATTTTACTTTATTTTCACTTAAGAACATGAATATAAAAATCATAAAAAATCACACAATTAACCATAAATTCACATTAATCACTTAAAAACCATATTTCTTGATTTAAGGTCAATATAATTAATTTATCATGAGTTAATGTATAAAATATATCATTAATTAACTATTATCTCATGATAATGGAAACTTATTAATATTATAAGTGAGAATTTATTTATTAAATATTGAGAACTTACATTAAATATTTAACGTGTTCCATGTGATATCGCATGAGTTATATTTATTGGTTTCATGATTCTATAACTAATAGTCAAATCCAAGGTGTTAATCCTTGAGATCAAAAGATTCTTTATGATAAGAACACCTCATTGTTGATCAATATCTATTAAGGAATCACCCTTTGATAAAATGATATACACAGTTAAATTAGTATAGGTAACTCATGATAATGATATTATTTTTGTCTATACATTTATACTAATCTTGAAATGCAGCATCTAGTCTCCCTAAATGTACTTTGATAGTTTCCTACACTCTCACAAGGATAAGTTATTAAAATAATTTGAAAAATAAAAGGCACAAATAAGTCTAAATTTATTATTTGAATAGTGATGTCATCATCTTACATGAATGAAAATTCAGCATGAAGTTGATTATTTAGATTGATCTTCAAAAAAATGTTATTTATTGTCAAGTAAAAAATGTTCAATCCAAATTTGAAATTAAATGGATGATAGAATACAAATATTTGAATCATGGAAGGGTCAAAGTTTGTTATTTCATATTCTAGAAAATGACAAGTTTTCAAATGAGCATTCTAAATGTTTGAGACCCTGTCAAAGTAGGAAACTATTAAATGAAAAATGCTAATAAAGAAGGAGAGGTTTAAAAAATAGAATATGAGTCTCTAGATGAATATCCAAATGGGAAATTCAAGTCTTACCTATTGGACACATCAAAAATGAACATAAAGCCACATCTTGATCTTCATCTAACTTCAACAAATCAAACAACATCTGAATCCAAGAGGAACACTCTCAATCAGGCTCCAAAGTAATTCGTGATAAAGGGAAAGGTTGTTGGGTGAGAACGTGAGGTGTGACATGACTTAGACATTGTATAGTAAATCACGTAAATTTAAAATTTATAAAACTAAAAAATACGACTTTTCAGATATTTAGAAGTATTTCTGAATAAATATATCAAGTATAATTCAATAAAACTTCCAAAAATAGCGGTAATTTTTCAGATCGATCACAGGGATGTAATATAATATCTAGTAATTATTCAAAATTTTCCTCAAAGAATACTATTTTCTATAAACTTTATACTAAAAAATGAAAAGGAAATATATTTAAAATTCACGAAAAAGGGAAATAAGGGTGCGGACATCAAGATGATGTCAACGCTCGGCAAACGCGAATTGGGCGGAAATAGAGTTTTGCCTGGTGATTCTTACGTAAGTGATTACAGATGATTTAATTGATCCATTTAAGATTTGTAAAAGCTGGAAGAATCGTAATGGAATGAAGTATATCTTGGTAAATTTAAAATCAATAAATTATCACCAAATGAAATGGAAATTAATTTGAAAGTAGGAAAACAAGATTCCGGCGTTACAACGGCAATGCGTCGGCGATGCACTGGAATCCTGAGCGTTTGAAAGGATAGTCGTGTAGTGTCCATAGCCTCGAAGGCTCTCCTTGGACAAGGACAATGTGGGCAATCTCTAGATCTCCTTGCGAAGTCTAGAGATCAATGAAATGGGTCGTCAAATCATCTTTGGCGATTGTCACCCGGCGGAGTAGAAAAATGACGACTTTGCGGCTCTTTGGCGACTGTCACCCGACGGAGAGGAGCTGGATGGAGGTGGGGCGCGTGTTAGGGAGCTTCATCCTCAGGTCCGCGCAGCAAGAGGAGGCTCTTCATCGCATCCGGTACGCTCTCAAGAGGTTGCGACTCGTCTCCCGGCGGATCATCCTCTTCTCGACGACGGCTTGTTCATCGATCAATCGGAGATGCTTTATTCAATGGATTCGCGATCCTTTTATCGCAAATCATTCAATAATTTTAGTAACAATGATCTGTGAATCGCATTGACAAGATTTTCGCCGATGATCTAGTGATTCTGGTTGCTTAATCCTTCACCGGCGATTTGCAGGAAAGTCACGATAATCAGATAAAAAATATGAATTTTGGCTCTAGGAGGATTCAAACTCGCACCAGTTGCTCGCCCTTTTTGGGGAAGGTGTGACACGGGTTTAGTCCCACATCACTTGTGCGACGAAGTGTCTAGTGAAAGTATAGTAATATTACATTTTGTGATCAAGTCTCTTTCTTGCGCGTGTACGACCACTCCTTCCCCACAGTCGGCTGGCCACCGGTGACATGGAAGGGGAGTGGCGCACATGTGCTCCTATCAGTCCAAGCCGCTCGAGCCCTTACTCGTGGCTACTCCCCGACTGCGCTTCTGACCCGCTTGCGGGCTTAGCTGGCCAGCGGGTCCCCCCTCATTTTGTCTTATTTTTATTTTTATTTCTTTTTCTTCATTTATCTCAAAAGTAAGACTGTAAAAATCATATAAATTCGTATAAAATCATATAATTACCCAAAAATTCATGTTAATCAATTGAAAACCACTTTTCACATTTTAACACAAATATAAGTCTATTTATCATGAGTTAAGGCTAAAACTATATTATTTACTAATTATTAACTCATGATAATGAAGACTTATCAAGGTGCTAGTAATCTTTTTTGGCCTTGAAAGGGCAAAGTCTCTATGGAGATGAACTTGAATGGTTGAGTGGCTGAGCTTGTGAACGTCAGCTGATATTTCTTAAGGGACATAATGAAACACGATAGGAAGACTCCTCTAAGACTAGATTGTCAGGTGTGGGATGAACCAATATAAAAATATTAGTCTCTAGTGAGAAAAAGTTACATGCACACACATGTCAACACATGTAACAATAGCCCATATAAATGATAGGCCAAAAATAAAAAATAGTCAAAAACATTAGCAATCTAATTCACACCCTCTCTTATAGTTTCATCTAGCCCTATAGTTCTAATAATTTAATCACAATTTTTGGATATGTTTGATATTTAGCTATTTGATTGAATTATAATTGCTCATATGTCTACTGAAGATTTTTTTGATTTGAATAAATATATTTTATAAAATAATTTTAAATCATATATATTATCAAATTTATGAATTTACATATTAATATTTTGAGTTAAGATTTAACTTTAGCATTATAATTTACCTCATTGTAAAATTATTACATTATTTCAAGATGTACCATTGGTTTTTTTTTGATAGTAGATCTTTACCAAACTTTGTAAAATTGATAAGTTTTAGATATATATATATATATATATATATATATATATTTAATGGTAATACGCATGATGTTTCATTGGTTATTCAAACTCTTCGAGGTCATGTCATATTAGTTTTGTAACCGTTTGAATTTTTAACTAATTTTAGGATTGAAACTTTGATAGATGACAAAAAGTAGGGGAAATTATTGAATCAAATATTTCTGTAAAATCAACACCTCTCTAGAAACTAATTAATTGCAGAAGATAATGACTAATTCCTATACTCTCTCAAGTTTTAACAAATAATTTTTGTAGAGAAGTTTATACAAATTTGAGGGTCTTCACGATAGGTTCAAAGACAAGAAGACTAAGTCAAGGAACCAAATTTAAGTTATATAAGATATTCCGAAATTATATTAAAGTAAAAACGCCTACATTCAACTAGTTTACAAACAAGTTAATTTTTTTTACCTTTCAACATTTCAATCCCAAAATTAGTTAGAAATTTTAATAGGTGTAAGCCACTACAACATGACCTTTAATGTTACAATCAATGACTAATCTATATATTCAAAGTTTCTCTGTTTAAACAAGTCCAGCAAGAATCAATTATTGTTGAAACTAAATTAACAATATATTTCAAAATAGACTAATAGATTCTTCAAATTACTGATAAATATCAAATAGACTCATGCAACTATGATCTCCATATACACATTCAAAAGTTTGATAACTTAGGTGATCTACAACAAACTTAAGTAATATTCATTGCAGTTGAAATTCAATAAATTAATTGGATCATTCTTTCTAACAATCAAACTTTCATAGATGTCTATTATTATCTCAAAAATAATAGTTGGCATATACTAGATAGAATATGCATCCATGCTCATATTTTACTAGAACAACTCTCAATGATTGTCAAGAGGTAATCATTACTTTGTAAGAATGATACTGCATACCAATATTAAAAATTTGTACATCAATAACGAGATAAAATTTTTGAGTTGTAAAATCTACCAATTTTTTGTGTTAAACATTTTGGGACTCAAGTCTAGTCCTTGATTTCTATTTATAAATTCAAACATTTTTATTTTCTATTCTTGCTTTAACTTGTATTATATGAAATTAAATTCATGTATGAAGGAACACTTATTCATAAATCAAAAATTATAAAGAGTAAGCATGATTAGATCCTTTAAATGGTATTACTTTTTTTTCTCATCTTGAAAATACTTTTCATTTAATTCTAAACAATTTTCCCTTGAATGTGTAACATAGTAATTGCTATTGTTTTCTTTTTTGTTTTCAAGCCCTCAAGTCACTTGTAAACTTATGCAGACTTCAAAGAGGGTGTATGTGGATGTTTTCCCATAGGATGAAGTTTTCCCATAGGATGAAGTCCCTTTTTTATAGGCTTAATTTGGGGCCATCCAATGGTTGTCTACAAGAACTAGATATTGGGCCAATACTTTTTCCACCAGTGTTTGAAGTTAAAACTTTATTAAATGTATGATAATATTCAAATTTCATAAAAATGAAATTTTTTATCAGTGTACCAATTATTGCATTGTGTTCTTTCAAATATCTTTCCAAAAAGTTTATCTTCTGTGAATGTTGTGATTGGTAAGTATCTATGATTACAAACTTATAGGATAAATTCCTATAATAATTGATGTGACTTAGTCGTTGTATAGTAAATCACGCAAATTTAAAATTTATAAAACTAAAAAATATTAATTTTTAGATATTTAGATATTTAGAAGTATTTATGAATAAATATACTAATTATAATTCAATAAAACTTCCAAAAATAGTGATAATTTTCCAAATCGATCACATGAATGTAATATAATATCGAGTAATTAATTAGAATTTTTCTCAAAGAATATAATTGTCTATGAATTTTATACTAGGAAATAAAATAAAATCTATTTAAAATTTATGAAAAAAGGAATAAGGGTGCGGATGTCAAGTTAAGATCTGTAAAAGTTGAAAGAATCTTTATTGAATAAAGTTTAGCTTAGTTAATTTAAATCACACAAATTATCACTAAATGAAGTAGAAGTTAGGTTAAAAGTAGGAAAATAAAGTTTTGACATCGTGGCAGCGATGCACTAGAATCATGAGTGTTCAAGAGGGTTGTCGTGCAATGTCCCTGGCCTCAAACGTTGTCCTTGAATAAGGATGATGTGGGTGATCTCTAGTTCTCCTTGCAAAGTTTAGAGATCAATAAAATGAGTTGTCAAATCATCTCCAGTGGCTGTCACTTGACGGAGTAGAAAAACAGTGACTTTGTGGCTCTCTGGCGACTCTCACCTAACAAATAGGAGCTGAATGGAGGTGGAGCGTGTGTCAAGGAGCTTCATCCTCAGGTCCACATAACAAAAGGAGGCTCTTCATCGCATCTGGTACGCTTTTAGGAGGTGGTGACTTGTCTCGCGGCAGATCATCTTCTTCCCGACGACAGCTTGTTCGTCGATCAATCGAAGATGATTTACTCGATAGATTTGTGATTCTTTTATTGTGAATCGTTCAGTAATTTTAGTAACAATGCTCCATGAATTGTGTTAACGAGATTTTTGCCGATGATCTAGTGATTTTGGCGGCTTAATCTTTCACCGACGATCTGTAGGAAAGTTGTGATAATTAGATAAAAATATGAGTTTTGGGTCTAAAAGGATTCGAACCTGCACCGGTTGCTTGCTTGTATGAGAGAGATTAAAATAAGTACTCTAATGCCCTTATCAAGTGACGTCATTATGATATATCCCTATTATAAAAAAGGGGTAGTTTAGGTATTCAAATTTTCAAAGCCTTTCAAGGGAAGGTGTGATGTGGGTTTAGTCCCACATCGCTGGTGCACTAAAGTTTTGAACGAATATATAGTAATATCATACTTCTAAGTAATGAGTCTCTTTTTCGTGCGTGTATGACCACTCTTTGCCCCACAACTAGTTAACCACCGGTGACGTGGAAAGGGAGTGGCACAGACATACCCCCATCTGTCCTAGCCACTCGAGTCCCTACTCGTGGCTTCCCTTGATTGCACTTCTGACCCACTTGTGGGCCCGGCTGTCCAGTGAGTCCATCTATTTTGCTATATTTTTATTTTAATTTCTTTTTCTTCATTTATCTCAAAAATAAGACTATAAAAATCATATAAATTTGTAGAAAATCACATAATTAGTCAAAAATTCACGTTAACTAACTGAAAACCACTTTTCACAATTTAACACAAATATAAGTCTATTTATTATGATTTAAGGCTAAAAATATATTATTTACTAATTATTTACTCATGATAATGAAGACTTATCAATAATCCAATAAGTCTGTAATTACTAAGTCTGCGATTACTAAGAAATATTTCATCGTTCCCCAAGTCTGCAATTACTAAGGTTCATTTCATCGTTAATATCTTGAGGGGCCCTAGTCATAAATTTGTATTGTATTCTACATTGTATGGTGTTTGAGGGCTCCCCCCTCTAAGTTAGATGTTGTCATTAAAAGAGTGCTTCAAAATAGAACAAAAGAGGAATAAGTTGTGGAATAACCATTTTAAACTTATTATCCAAGTCTTATATAGTTAACTAGAAGTGACAAGGACTTTTCTTATCAAAATGTTTGGGTAAAGGTTGGTTAATATGTTGGCTTAAGTGTAGCCATTTAAGTGAGTTAGAGATATTCTAATGCTTTGTACCAGAAAGGTAAAAGATAGAAGGATATACTATTTTCATACAAAGCTCCCCCTTACAAGTTGCTCCCTTCATATTCATATGGTTTGATTATTGCCAATCCTCTCATAGTCATCAACATTGTAACTTAATCTTAAATGATGGTGACATGGAAGCCAACTTCTATGAAACTTTTTTGATTGGTTTGTTGGTGTACCTTTTCTTGTTGTACTAAAAGATAGCTAATTTAAATACGTAAAAAGCTGAATTTTACTAAAAATGATATCTGAATCTAACTAAAGTATCAACTAGGTCAATCCTCAAGGAGAAATAGGAGCTATGTGTCAACTAGTGTTTTCTTGATTTAAGAAAATAAAAAATGAGAGAAGAAAGGGATAGAGATTCTAATGTTGACGTGACAATCTGCTAGAACTCAGGTCTGGAATTGCAAGGTTTAGGACAGCTCCAAAGTTGGGTCCCTTTGGTGCACCTCCATACAAACACTTCACCAAGGTAATCAAGAAAAGTCAGTTCCAAAGACAATGTATTGCATTCCAAGGATTGTTCCACTAACTCCTACTCCTTAGCTACTCTTCAAGTCCAAAGCACTAACCTGCAAAAGTCAAACTAGATACACAACACTCTACTACTAGAAGGGAATTAGAACACAGCGTACAAAGTTAGCACTATATATGACTACAACATAAGACTGACAGATGTAAAAAGACACCTTCTTTGGCAGTTATGTCGCCAATGGAGGAATGAGTTTTATTGTAAGAGCTGCTAAATGATATAAACAGTGGGGTGAACACTAAGTCGTGTAACCTTGAAATAACATAGTGCAATTCAATTGTAAGTAGGCTATGCAATAAGTCAGCAAAGAATAAAGGAGGATGAAAAAGAGGAGAGAGAATGAATAGAAGAAGAGAGGGATGGAGCTAGAGAAACTCAGCTCCCCCTTTGACATTGGGGACAGGCAGTCTACTGCAGAGGTTGCCAAATTATATGGTTCGTGCTCTTGCAATCCATCCACCTGTCACTTGGATGATTATGAGGGCTGAACTCTATTAAAGCTGAGGAAGAAGATAGAGTGCAGAGAGAGGGGTTGGCATGAGATTCGTTGTCTGTCATTTAGCGGTGAAGGAAAAAAAGGTTCGTGGAAGAGATTGTAAGTAGAGAGAAAAGAGAAAGACAGAGGAAAGAAGCTAATGAGAAAATGAGAAGAAAAAAGAGAGTAGGGGAATAGAAAATAAAAAACCAAGCGATAGAGCAGAAAGCGTGGAGTGAGAGAGCAGAAAAAGTGGAGCGATAGAGAAGAAAGAGTGGAATGAGAGGGCAGAAAGAGTGGAGTGAGAGGGCAGAAAGAGTGGAGTGAAATGGCAGAAAAAATGGAGTGAGAAAGCAAAAGAGTGGAGTGAGAGAGCAGAAAGAGTGGAGCGATAGAGCAGAAAGAGTGGAGTGAGAGGGCAGAAAGAGTGGAGTGAAAGGGCAGAAAAAGTGGAGTGAGAAAGCAAAAGGGTGGAGTGAGAGAGCAGAAAGAGTGGAGCGATAGAGCAGAAAGAGTGGAGTGAGAGGGCAGAAAGAGTGGAGTGAGAAAGCAAAAGAGTGGAGTGAGAGAGCAGAAAGAGTGGAGCGATAGAGCAGAAAGAGTGGAGCGATAGAGCAGAAAGAGTGGAGTGAGAGGGCAGAAAGAGTGGAGTGAAAGGGCAGAAAAAGTGGAGTGAGAAAGCAAAAGAGTGGAATGAGAGAGCAGAAAGAGTGGAGCGATAGAGTAGAAAGAGTGGAGTGAGAGGGCAGAAAGAGTGGAGTGAAAGGGCAGAAAAAGTGGAGTGAGAAAGCAAAAGAGTGGAATGAGAGAGCAGAAAGAGTGGAGCGATAGAGCAGAAAGAGTGGAGTGAGAGGGCAGAAAGAGTGGAGTGAGAGGGCAGAAAGAGTGGAGTGAAAGGGCAGAAAAAGTGGAGTGAGAAAGCAAAAGAATGGAGTGAGAGAGCAGAAAGAGTGGAGCGATAGAGCAGAAAGAGTGGAGTGAGAGGGCAGAAAGAGTGGAGTGAAAGGGGAGAAAAAGTGGAGTGAGAAAGCAAAAGAGTGGAGTGAGAGAGCATAAAAAGAGGACAGATAGAGAGAGGGAGGAGAGAGGGAGGGGACACAGAGAGAGATGGCAAAGAGAGGGAGTAGACGGAGAGAGAGAGAGGGTAGAGAGAGAGAGCGGACAGAGAGAGAGGGCAGAGAGAATGGGAGAGGGCATAGGAAGAGAGGGTAGAGAGGCAAAGCAGATAGAGAAAGAGGGCAGAGCGTGGAAGTAGAGAGAGGAAAAAGTTGGAGAATGGGGAGATTGAAAGGGCAGATGGGGAGAGCAAAGAGACTGATTCCAACCTCGATCTCCTATTTTTGTGGTCATAATCTATCGAATATAAAGAGCTTCCAAATCAAAATACGACCGAATAACTATTAGTTTTGAATAAAAAAATATGACAATTACCTTGATTTTATGTTACTTTTCACATAAATATAGTGCATTATCATTTTTCTTGATAAATTTTCACTGGATTGTTACAATGACATCAATGCATAAGTACGATTTTTGCATCAAAACCAATGGTTCGGTATATCTCTTTCCTCTCTTTTCTTCTTTTTATTTAGAGTATTTAGTTTCATTAACCCTCTACAAAATGAAGATTAGTAAAAAAAAATTAGTAATAGACTGATGATTTAAGATTGAAATAGGTTATTTTATAGATAGTACTGAAGTAAACTGAAGGAGTAATACAGATCATGCTTGTGGCATAGAGCTGACAGAAAAAGGAAAATGGGAGAATACCCAACACCAACATATCAACTGATCAATACCTGATTTCTATTCCTCTAGATATGAAGAAAATCCTGCACCGAGAGCATTGCATTACAAAAGAAGAAGTGGTCCTCCACAAAAGTGAGTTTTCTCTGTTAGAGGTTATCTATTCAAGGCTAATACAATAGTGTATTAATAAATTAGACCCTATTGAATTGTGAAATCTTTATTTCACATCTCATCTACTCAAGTTTCTAGTTATTAGTTTAGTTCAAATGTTCAGGCATTTAGATTTTTTTAATCGTAATATAACTCACTTCTCATTAACTATTCTTAAAAGTCACTAGATCTTGGGAATCACATAAAAACGTTGTAAAATTTTGAGAAAAATTTAAAAGCTTATAGGTCTTTGTTTTAAATAATGAAAAAAACTTCAGTAGGTATCTATGCTCTAAATATCAACATATAAAATGGGAAGAAAATTATATTTCAATGTGTAAGTGTCAATGCATGGGGCTGAATTTTAAAAATGAAAGATTGAATGAAATACTGGTGTTAACTTACAAAAATAAGGGTCTAAAGCTTTATCAAACTAAAGATAACTCCAATATGGTTGAAAATCCTGTAAGAAATTTTTGACAATGAAAGATGATTAAAATTCGAGTATTATTTATATGGTAGCTGATGCATTTAAGTTCTAGAGTTATTATAAGAACGTATGCAAAAATCCAAGTTAATTGTGATAGTACCCATTTATAAGGTCATCACCAAAAATCTGAGACTCAATAAAAAAGTTAAATTATTACCTGTTGTGCAGAGTAGAAGGGAGAAATATAAGAGTGGGATTATCTAAGATAGATAGTTGTCCACATGTATGGTGAATATTAGATTAAAAATAAAGCTTGCAAGAAATAAGCGGCATAGTTTGAAAAACAAGCTTCTTAGAAAATTATTGAGTATGAAGGGTTCAGGAAAAAATTGTTAGCTGCACAACTCATAAGACATTCTAGCCTAAGCAGAGTTACAGGCTCTCTTTCTAACTGTAGCTCGTTCTAGGCTCAACAAGCATTTGCAACCTACTTTGAAATTCTTATAAGTGATTTTGCTATAATTTCATTTTGATCAAGGCTGTTTTAATCAACACAACTGAAACCCGAACTGTAATCTCACATATCACTTTCATGTCATCCAAATTCTTAATAATTCTCTAAACACAAGATTCTTTCTTGGTTGCTTAAATTTGAGGATCAATCCATGTAGTATATGTATACCTACTATTCATGTTTAGCATAAGAAACAGAGCTCTGTAGAGTATTTACGTTCAGCAAGGTGGTACTATGAGAGAAGGTCTATTTCATACTGCCTGTTGACCTCACCTCCTCCACACATTCAGGTTGCAACTATTTTGTCACACAAGTTAGCTCTTTATCAATGTTAGTCCCGTGGCTAACTCCCATTATGTGGCCCCTACCCTTTCTGCTGTTCTCCATGTACTCATGGCATGTTGTCCACAAGCCCAGTGGCCTCTTTAAGACTAGGTCAGTCACCTCTCTAGCACCACCTTACCTCAAACTCAATTGAATGTTTTTGTTACTAATCTGTCATTATCGTAAATATTTTTATTTTAAAAATGTTATCGCAGCTTGGTAGGATCCTCATCCATGAACTAGCAACAAAAAAACCAATCGTAATCCACGCTCTTTCTACCTAGTGACCTCAGATCCCTTGACAAATAGTTGAGGACATTCTTCTTCTAGAAATGTGAAGGTGTGAATATTCTTTCACAACACTGATTACGGTAGAAGACGTCACGTAAAAGATGCGAAGAAGCCGTATTATCGTCAATAGGCTATGCGTGTACCCGTAAAAAAATAAGGTTTTCCGTAGAGCTATTTTCGAGTGAAAACAGACAGTTCAGTCGGATAATATTTGAATCAGTCACCGCAATGAAATATAATGTTTTTTATTTTCGTGGAGACCGGGAAGAATTATTTAATGTTACCCGGCACGAATCCTTTATTCTGCGGTGGTCGTCCTCCAGCGTAGGGTTCAAACGCCGCAGCCGTCACAGCCGTTGAAGAATATCCTCTTTTGAATGTAATAGCTCAATGTTCTAGTCATTTAATTAAAAAAACTGTATCTCCCGAAAATGGATTCCTTTTACAATGTAGGTTTGTAAACACGAATTCTGTCGTCATCGTTCTATTAAACCATCATTTTTATTAAAGGGGAGAACTTTTCAAAAGAACGACCGATTCAGCGGGTAACATCAGCGGAAAACGACTCGTTAGTAAGATATGATGCGCTGCTCTATAAGTTTCAGAACCGTTGTTTTATTTGTCGTCCTCGGGTACTAGTCCATCTCCTCTTGAAGAAAATAGTGAGCTAGAGCCATGGGATCCTTCCACCAAAGCTGGCGGCAACTCCTACTCCTGTCTTCCCTCTTCCTGCTTCACTCGCTCACCGCCTACCCGGCTGTCTCCGGAATTTTCTACACTCTCTGCCCGAACCCCGGAACCTACACTGCCAATGGCACCTTCGAGGCCAACCTACATTGTAAAAGATAGATGTGATCTAGAGTCTGGATTCAGGTTTCCTGAATGGGGGATGCGAGCTTTCCCAACGGCCATCCGTTTTATGCAGGGATTAAAAAAGTGTGGTAAATAGGCACAATTGCGAACTAAAATGTAGAGCGAGAGCGAGAGAGAGAGAGAGAGAGAGAGAGAGAGAGAGAGAGAGAGAGAGAGAGAGAGAGAGAGAATAAGCTACCGACAACGGAGAAGGAAAACGGAAGAGAAGATCACACACAACAGCGCACACAAGATTTACATAAAACCCCAACACATGGAAAAACTAGAGGGAACGAATGTCATCTCATTTGTCAGATAAGAGCTTGATCACTCAGACTCCCAAGCGGTCTACAAGAAAAACGACTCCTACCACGAACGGCTGCCTTCCTCTCATAACTCAAGCCCCGTCATGATATTAGATTTGATACATGTTGTTCACGGACATGCAATCATCATACACTCACAAGAAATCAAGCCACATGCAAAAGAATCTCAACCTAGTGCAATATGAATCAGACACCCTTGATCACATCTATCTTATTTAAAAGGATGCTAAAAACTTTTTCTTGTTAAACAGAGACTCGTCATCGAACTGGATACAGGGCAGTGGTATCGATGGGTTATTATGTATCAAGAAAAACGCCATGAATACGCTTGGGAACCGTTCAGGCTGCTGAGCCCACGCCCGAGTTCTCTTCGTCTGAGCTTCCAGCATTAAGCGAAGCCGTCGTCGCGCGGTTCCCCTGGGCGGAGCCGGCCGCTACGTAGCCGCAACGGTCGGGGCAGTAGTGTAGCGTGTCGGCACAAATGTAAGGCGGCCAGCTGCTAAAGTCAGATTGGCAACGCTTACATCCGGGGTTGCAGTAGTTCTCAGTCCGGTCGCCGCAGGTGCACCAAGTAAACCCGCAGATGCACAAGTCGCAGCACTCCAGCGCGCCGGACGCCCGCCTCCCCGTGCCTTCAGGGCGGGAGACCAGCCAGAGTCAGGCGGGAAAATGGCAACGAAGTCGACGCAACGGTGGACTCTCACCTGTGCCGGAGAGGTCACCGAAGGGATCCCGCGCGGCCGCCGGAATGGCCCATGAGGCCGTGCATGCAACCAGCGCCAGCGCTAGCACCAGCGCAGACGGCGTCAGGCTCTTCTTCGCCTCCATCTCCCCTTTCTCCCTATGCTCTCGCTAGTATCTCTGTATATCTTGCACTAGAGACCACCTCGTCCCCTGTTTTATAGTTGGGTACAGGCTGTACCAACTAGTTGTGGACACGTCGAGAGGATTTAACAGTGGACACGTTGAGATGATTGCATTTACGTTATGGACGGAATCCGTGGTAGTTTGGACGATTGAATGCTGGTCCGGGTGATTCCTTATGTTCATTGCTTTTCTCATTGGCAGCGTGGAATATGAGAGGCCACTTCAACTGGTGCGCCGATTTACGTATAAACATTTTCATGAAAATTTCATTTATAAAATTTAATAAGACTTTGGGCTGATTATTGTTTTTTCCTCATTATATTCCGAGAATACCCCCGACTAAAATTTTCATGCACAAGTGATCTTTTTCCTTGAAGAGTGTTCGATTCTGTCCTGGAGTTCAACTAAACCGCCCCTCGCAGTGGAAATCATCTTCCCGGTTTCCTTCAGATAAAACGACGTTTTACTTTATTATTGGGCGGACTGATTCAAACATTATCCGACTGAACTTTCTGTTCCCACCCTTAAAGAAATCTAGGTAAGCCTGATTTTCTACATGTACACGCATAACCTTTTGAGGATAATGAAACTTATTCTCATCTAATATTTTGACGACTCCGGGGTAGTTCCGATAGTGAAAGGATATTCGCACCTTTGTATTTCTAGGATAATAATATCCTCTTTTCATTTGTCTAGGGATCTGAAGTCACTTGGTAGGAAGAGTGTTGATTGTATTTGGTTTGTATATAGTGAGTGCATGGATGAAGATCCTACCCAGCTTAATGCCTACTATTTGGGATAATTAGTAACATAATATATTTTAAACCAAAAGAGTTACGATAATGACTGGTTAGAAACAAAACATTTAATCAGATTTTAGGTTTAAGTGTAATTTCTTAGCTCGCCTGCGCAAAGCCGGACTAACGCTAGAGAGCTGACTGGCCACGAGGGCGGCAGGCCCACGATAGTGTCATGAATACGTGGAGAACGGGAGAAAGGGTAAGGGCCACGTTCTGGGGTTTGCCAATAAAGAAACACAGATGAAGGGATATCATGTGTAACCACCACTTGCAGGAATTTAGTATTTATGGAATTTAAACACTGGGGTCCTCGAACACTGCATTTAGAAGACTTTCTTACGAGAATCCTTTTCGCCTTGTGGGCTACTGCTACGTTGGTGCATGGGGGACGTGGGACGAAAGGGCTGAATGACATAGGCCCCTCTATAAGAGGACCAGCTCGTCCATACTGAATCCTCTGTCCGATTTGTTTTCATCCACAGTGAATATGAATCGTAGGTATACTTCATGTGCTGGTCGAGTTTAATGAACGAACAGAGAGAATGATGCGTTGACAAGACTATCTATGAATTTTGATAGCATGAAAACGATATGTGAGATTACGTTGAGACATTTACTGTCATGTAGATAGGACTACAGCTTGAGAGTGAACTGCACTTATTTAGGGTTAAAATGGTAAAATGAGATTTGGTGTCGAGTGAAGGGGAACATTACTTTTGTCAGCACACTGCCTATTGCACTATGAGAGTGTCTTTGTATATTCCACCGTGTTTTCACTTTATTGTATGACGCTTTTGCCTCTAAAGGTGGACCCTATCCTTCTTCTATAAACCTGCCGTGCTCACGATAAATCATAGTGAAAACCATTAAAGACCTTGAAGGAAGGTGATAAAAAGTTGTTGAGACTGGAAGGTGCTAGGGGTAGATGGGGAGCTTGTAACTCTTCTCGGGCTAGAACGTTTTAAAGGTTGGGAAGCTAAGAACTTTCTCCTGCACTGTTTCAGTTTTTGGTGCAAGCTTTCATGACTCAATGCCAGATTTATGATATATGTTGACACCTTTGTATCCTACCTGTCAGCACTTATTCTTTTTTCATTCTACTTTGCACAATCGGCAGCAAGTTTGGTATCGACCTTCTCATTGAATGCTATCACAACTAACTCAGGTGTTGACACATGCTCTTCAAATAAGTGTGGGCACTTAATTGCATGCACTGCCACATAATAGCACTCTACGTTTATTCATCTGACAGTATACAGAAAAAGGGTTGAACTCTCATTGAGATAGGTTTTATTTTGATAAGGTTGTTAACCACTATCCCTCGTATGTTAATATTTGAATACTTGTTCAGTCTTTTGATGTGGTTGCAACCATTCAGCCTGATGTAGTGCATTACACCTTGAAAATTAAGCATTTCCCTTTTTACATGATTATATTTCATCCCATATTTCCACTCCATGGTGTTTGATTTCTCAGAAAACATTAAAAGTTTTAATTATTGCTAGAAAATTCGCATTTCTATGTTATTTCCAACATCTGGTGGTGTTTAAGGTGCTAACAATGAAAAGTACACAAAGTGAGGATTAGAAAAAGGTGAATAGCTGTACACTTCTGCCAAATACGGAGATAATTGGGACTTTAGCGAGAAGACAATATGAAATAAAGATGTAACTAGTCAAGCTAATAAGGGTGATGAATACTCTACTGTGTTTAGCTTGAATAGATGCCCCCTAACAAGCAAAAGGTCTCTTTTTCCAGGGAGGATCACCTCATCTCTAGTAGTGCAGCAGTCTTGGTGTAGTTTTTTCTTCATGCCTAAAGAAGTGCTGATTTGCTCATATGTGAGCATAATATACAAGTATATTTCCCACTTGATTTTCTGTGTCAACTTGATGCCATGAGCATCTGGTGTATTTCTCCTTTCAGTGTTTTTTTTACTCTTTAAAATGATCCAGGGTACCTACTTGAATGTTAAATAAGGATCTTTATGTAAATGCAGCACAATCAGCTTTGTTATAGAACGTGCAACAAAATGAAATGTAGTCAATAACAAGAAGAGAAGAGATACCTAGACCAAATCATCAGTTTAACTAAAAAAATTCGATAGTTCTCATTCACATCATTGGAAGATTCGAATACACATTTATCATGGAAGGCCAATTTATTGGGAAATATTGATGGATTTTTTCTCTCCACACCGCCATCACTTAAGAGTTATGTAAAGTACACATGAATATCAGATGAAAGGGTATAAACATCCTATATGACCATAGAACGTAGACCTAGTAAAGTCAAGTTTTGCCTTTGTTAAGGCTTCATTTGCCTTCATATACGTTTAAGCTTAGAAAATATACAGTTCAATCAAAGGTTTTTTAAACATCTAGAAAGGGAAGACTGTAAGAATAATGTTTTTGATCCTAACACGAATTCCATAAATAGATATAATGGAAAATTAAACAAGTTATATTGGAATAGACTGATAGCAATCAAGATATAAATATTTACATCTTGCCTTCAAAGCCTCAAATGAATAAATCAAATACACAAAGACATATGGACAATAAACTAGGTTAAAGCAAATCAGAAAAGAAAACTATGCTCTTTACATGTGGAAAAATATTGAGAAGGATAATGCACTTTATGAAATATTGAGTAGGATACTATTTGGCCACTATCATAGAAAGAGCTTGTGAGATTATGCCCCTGTAAAAGGGCAACCGTCAAGTTGAATGTGACCCACCACCTAAGGTACTCAAACTTGCATTTTTTCAATAAGTGAGGATGAAAAAGTTATTTTGGTAGATCACAGTGAGCGTGATGAGTGATTGACATGACTCAATAAAAATTGCATAATAAATCACACAAATTTAATGTTTATTAAAATTCAAAATAACAAATTATAGATTTTTAAAAATATTTCAGAATAAATAAATAAATTATAACTCGATAAAAGGTTTAAAAAAACGAAAACTTTTCAAGTCAATCAAAAGGATATAAGATAATATTTAGTAATATTTCCAAATTTTCTTAAAAAATATAAGTTTCTAAATCAATAAAGAACTCTAAAAATGGTGAGATTTTTCAAAGTTGATCTTGAGGATGTACGTCAATATCAAGTAATATTATAAATTTTTTCACAAAGAATACCATTTCATATGATTTTTAGACTAAAAGATCATAAACAATCTTTTTTAAAACTAAAAAAAAGGAAATTGAGCTGCTGACATCATGCTAACATCATGCTAAGATCTATAAATGTCTAATAGATCATAAGGGAGTAAAGATGAATTTCAAAACTTATATTAAAAAAACTATCATTAATCTAAAGATTAAAAAAATATAAGTAAATAAAATAGAGTTTTAATGTTATGACAATAATTGTTAGAATTTTGTATGTTCAAAAGGTTTTCTAGAGGTGTTCATAACCTTGAAGGCTCTATTTAGACATACAAGTGATAATTATAAATTAGTAGTTGTATTTATGTAGTAATATCTTATATATAGATAGATGGTAATTAATGAGTAGATAATACTATTATACATGTGTTACCAACTCATTATGACATTTATAATGTTTTATCATTTAAGTCTTAATGTATATTATTTTACTTATTTTATTTATATTATGAGAGTAACCCCACTTGACGTTTATTAAGTCAAGTGATAATTCTTTCACATTTTTTTGATAATTATTTGATTGCAAAATTTAAGTGAGTTTTTAGTATGAGTTAGAAGTAATGGAAGAAGTCCAAGCCTTCAGCCTAATAAAAAGCCCAAGTCTTATGGAGAGGGCTGACCTAATATATTTATGAGCTCAAGAGAGGATGTCACTTTGGCCTAGCCCATTTAAACTTAAAACAGTTATCAAGAGATAAGATCTAGACCATCCATCTTAAGGCATCTTAAGATGAGATTAAGAGAAAGATTAGACTACTGCCCTCATGAAATGTTCTCGGCCATCTACCAAGAGAGTCAGTTATTAATCTTAACCATCCATTAGAGGGGCTTAACTCTCAAGAGGATTAAGACATCTCGCCCCCCTCTTGGAGGGGGCTTTTTGGCCCTCTTTCTAGTAGTGGCTAGTCGAAGGAAACAGGAGGAAAATCAAGGCTTAATCAATGACATTCTCGTGCCCAAGATTATCATGGAAAATAAATTACCTAGAGTGCATCAAGATCATCATGGATCAAGCATCACTTGGCCTAAGACTGGCACACAACGAGATTTGTGCAAGATTCTGATTTGAGGAGTCTTTGTAATCCTCTCCATGGATAGATTAACTTTTAATTCAAATTAATTTTATCATTTGTTCCATCATTCTATTGTATTAGATCCATTCTCTCCTCTTTGTCATGCTTTTCATAACTCTTGTCTTCACCCTTTTACATTTAATTCCGTCCTTCACAATCTCACATATATATATATATATCTATATAAGAAATAAAATAAGTAGAATTCGTACTCTCATTACTCATGCTCCTTGAAGATCGACCCTTACTTATTCTAAGTAGAAGAGTGAGGTTTATAAATATTATTTATATGAACTTGATTGTATCACGACGATGTATTCAACCTCCAATTTGAGTTTATCAACAAGGCTTGGGCATTGTCTATATTCCTATGAAATGTTTAGAAGGTGAATAAAGGCATTGATGAAGTGTCTTCAACAACTATTACCTTATGAAGTAGAAGTCGATGAAAATGATCATTTAGCGACTATCACCTAATGGAACTAAGATTGATAGAAGTGGAGAGCATCTTACGGAGCTTCATCCTCAAGTCCATGCAGCAAGATAACTCTCTTATCGCAAATGAAACCACTAAAGAGACAATGACAAATCTTTTAGCAGATCCCTCTACCTTTGATGATGACTCATTCATCTCCTCATAAAGAATTGAGGTGATCTAATAATTGCATACTAAATCACTCAAATTTTAAATTTATAAAATTAGAAAATACTAAAATTTAGATTTTTAGAAATATTTTAGCACAAAAAAATTATTTTTAATTTATAACTTTTTTTTAAATAAGAAATTTTTTGTAGATCGATCATAGTGATGTAAGATAATATCAACCAAGATTTTAAAATTTTCATCAAAGAATACAATTTTTTATGATTTTTAGACTAAATGATGAAGATAAAATATATTGAAAAATTTGTGAAAAAGGAAAATTTAGGTGCAAACATTAGGATGATGTCAATGTATTGACAAATGTGATTTGAATAGAAATGGAGTTTTGTCAGACAATTCTTATGGAAATAATTATAAATACTTTAATTAATAAAATTAAGATTTGTAAAAGCTAGAATAATTTTAATTAAATGAAGAATACATTAGAAACTTGAAATCACATAAAATCTCACTAATTTAAGTAAAAATTAAATTGAAAGTATGAAAGTCAGAGTTCCAACTTTGTAGTAACTATTATCTAAATTCTATGTTTAGAAAGATTATCATGTGATATCCATAGCCTAAAAGGCTCTCTTTGAATATGAACGATGTGGGCAATCTCTAATTATTCTTGTAAAGTTTAAAAATTAATGAAATGAGTCAACGAATCATCTTCAGCAACTGTCACCCGATATAATAGAAATACAATGACTTTCGGATCTCTAGCTGCTATCACTCGACATAGATAAGCTAGATGGAGGTGGGAGCATATTTTAGAGAGCTTTATCCTCAAGTCCACATAACAAGAGGTTGATCTTCATTGCTTCTAGTATGCTCTCAAAAGGTGGCGACTCGTCTCTTTTTGACAATGGCTCATTCGTTGATCAATCATAGATGATTTTCTCGATAGATTTGTGATCTTTTTATCCATAATTACTCAGTAGCTGATAATGATGCTTTGTGAATTACATTGATGATATTTTCTATTGATGATTGAGTGATTATGACCCTTAATCATTGATTGGTGCTTTACATAATAATCACAATTTAATTAGATAAAAATATAAAGTTTGACTCTAATGAGATTCAAACCCTTGTTAGTTGCTTGGTTGTGATAGATAAATAATATGAATTACCTACATACCTTTACCTAGTGATGTCATGGAGGCATTTCCTTCTTATAAAACAAAGGTATTTTAGGTATTAAAATTATTGAAAACCTACTAGTGAGTGTTGGCACAAGGTTAGTCTCACATCATCTCTTTTTTGAGTTTTGAGATAAATATATAATAATATGTCTTCTCGTGGCTTCGTTGATGATGTAGAGATGGAGTGATTCACACATGCCCCCAACTTTTCCTTAGTCATTTAAGCCCTTTGCTCGTGGCTTTGCTCGATTGTGTTTCCAGCCCGCTAGTAAGTCCGGCTGGCCAATGGGTCCCCTGACTATGCTTTTGACCTACTTGCAGGCCCAACTACTAGCAAGTCCCCTCTTTTTCTATATTTTTTATTTTATTTTTTATCTCTCTTTATTTTATCCCAAAAACATACTTATACAAATTATATGAATTCACATAAAATCAAATAATTAGCTGAAAAATCATATTAATCAACTAAAACCCCCCTTTTTCACTTTAACATAAATATAAGTTTATTTATCATGAGTTAAGGCTTAAGATATATTATTAATTAATTATTAACTCATGATAATGAAAACTTATCAAGAATCATTTTCCTCTCAAAACTCATGATTTTTCTATTTGAATTCTCTGGTCATGCAATGGAAGATTCATAATTTTCATTGATAAAAATTCCATTGATGATCGACCATTTTTCTTGGTTTTTCCTTTTGACTATTTTCCTACAAAAAAATTATAGATTAAAAATAGAAGAAAACATAAATTTTGGCATTGGTGAGCTTCGGACCTCTACTGATCACCTAGGTGCATAAATTTTGGCATTGGTGAGCTTCGAACATAAATTTATTTTCTATTATATTTTACTTTATTTTCATTTAAGAACATGAATATAGAAATCATAAAAAATCACACAATTAACCATAAATTCACATTAATCACTTAAAAACCATATTTCTTAATTTAAGGTCAATGTAATTAATTTATCATGAGTTAATGTATAAAATATATCATTAACTAACTATTATCTCATGATAATAGAGACTTATTAATATTATAAGTGAGAATTTATTTATTATATATTGAGAACTTACATTAAATATTTAACATGTTCAATGTGATATTGCATGAATTATATTTATTGGTTTCATGATTCTATAACTAATAGTCAAATCCAAGGTGTTAATCCTTGAGATCAAAAGATTCTTTATGATAAGAACACCTCATAGTTGGTCAATATCTATTAAGGAATCACCCTTTGATAAAAGGATATACACATAGTTAAATTAGTATAGGTAACTCATGATAATGACATTATTTTTGTCTATACATTTATACTAATCTTGAAATGCAACATATAGTCTTCCTAAATGAACTTTGATAGTTTTCTACACTCTTACAAGGATAAGTGATAAGTCTTCATTACCATGAGTTAATAATTAGTAAATAATATATTTTTAGTCTTAACTCATGATAAATAACCTTATATTTGTGTTAAAGTGTGATAAGTGGTTTTCAATTGATTAACGTGAATTTTTACCTAATTATGTGATTTTATACGAATTTATATAATTTTTATAATCTTAATTTTGAGATAAATAAATAAAAAGAAATAAAAATAAAAATATAGCAAAATGGGGGGTACCCGCCAATCAGTTGGGCCCGCAAGTAGGTTGGAAGCGTAGTCAGGGAGGAGTCGTGAGTAGGGGCTTGAGCAGCTAGGACCGATAAAATTATAACTTTAGAATTATAACTTACCTCATTATAAAATTATTACATTATTTCAAGATGTACCGTTGGTTTTTTTTGATAGTAGATCTTTACCAAACTTTGTAAAATTGATAAGTTTCAGATATATATATATATATATATATATATATATATATATTTAATGGTAATACGCATGATGTTTCATTGGTTATTCAAACTCTTCGAGGTCATGTCATATTAGTTTTGTAACCATTTGAATTTTTAACTAATTTTAGGATTGAAACTTTGATAGATGACAAAAAGTAGGGGAAATTATTGAATCAAATATTTCTGTAAAATCAACACCTCTCTAGAAACTAATTAATTGCAGAAGATAATGACTAATTCCTATACTCTCTCAAGTTTTAACAAATAATTTTTGTAGAGAAGTTTATACAAATTTGAGGGGTCTTCACGACACGTTCAAAGACAAGAAGACTACGAGTCAAGGAACCAAATTTAAGTTATATAAGATATTACGAAATTATATTAAATTAAAAACACCTACATTCAACTAGTTTACAAACAAGTTAATTCTTTTTACCTTTCAACATTTCAATCCCAAAATTAGTTAGAAATTTTAATAGGCGTAAGCCACTACAACATGACCTTTAATGTTACAATCAATGACTAATCTATACATTCAAAGTTTCTCTGTTAAACAAGTCCAGCAAGAATCAATTATTGTTGAAACTAAATTAACAACATATTTCAAAATAGACTAATAGATTCTTCAAATTACTGATAAATATCAAATAGACTCATGCAACTATGATCTCCATATACACATTCAAAACTTTGATAACTTAGGTGATCTACAACAAATTTAAATAATATTCATTGCTTTTAAAATAATTTTAATCAATTGTATTAGCAGTTGAAATTCAATACATTAATTGGATCATTCTTTCTAACAATTAAACTTTCATAGATGTCTATTATTATCTCAAAAATAATAGTTGGCATATACTAGATAGAATATGCATCCATGCTCATATTTTACTAGAACAATTCTCAATGATTGTCATGGGGTAATCATTACTTTCTAAGAATGATACTGCATATCAATATTACGAATTGGTACATCAATAAGTAGATAACAATTTTGAGTTGTAAAATCTACCAATTTTTTGTGTTAAACATTTTGGGACTCAAGTCTAGTCCTTGATTGCTATTTATAAATTCAAACATTTTTATTTTCTATTCTTGCTTTAACTTGTATTATATGAAATTAAATTCATGTATGAAGGAACACTTATTCATAAATCAAAAATTATAAAGAGTAAGCATGATTAGATCCTTTCAATGGTATTATTTTTTTTTCTCATCTTGAAAATAATTTTCATTTAATTCTAAACAATTTTCCCTTGAATGTGTAACATAGTAATTGCTATTATTTTCTTTTTTTGTTTTCAAGCCCTCAACTCACTTGTAAACTTATGCAGACTTCAAAGAGGAAGTATGTGAATGTTTTCCCATAGGATCAAGTCCCTTTTTTATAGGCTTAATTTTGGGCCATCCAATGGTTGTCTTCAATAACTAGATATTGGGCCAATACTTTTTCCACTAGTGTTTGAAGTTAAAACTTTATTAAATGTATGATAATATTCAAATTTCATAAAAATGGAAATTTTTTATCAGTGTACCAATTATTACATCATATTCTTTCAAATATCCTTCCAAAAAGTTTATCTTCTGTGAATATCATGATTGGTGAGTATCTATGATTACAAACTTATAGGATAAATTCCTTTAATAATTGACATGACTTAGTCGTTATATAGTAAATCACACAAATTTAAAATTTATAAAATTAGAAAATATCAATTTTCAGATATTTAGAAGTATTTATGAACAAATATATCAGTTATAATTCAATAAAACTTCCAAAAATAGTGTTAATTTTTTAGATCGATCACATAGATGTAATGTAATACTGAGTAGTTATTCAAAAAATTTCTCAAAAAGTATAATTTTTTATGAATTTTATACTAAGAAATGAAAATAAAATATATTTAAAATTTATGAAAAAAGGAAATAAGGGTGTAGACGTCAAGATGACATTAGCGCCCGACAAATGCAAATCAGGCAAAAATAGAGTTCCGCGTGGTGATTTTTACGTAAGTGATTAAAAATGATTTAATTGATCAAATTAAGATTTGTAAAAGCTAGAAGAATCATAATTGAATGAAGTTTAGCTTGGTAAATTTAAATCAGACAAATTATCACTAAATGAAGTGAAAATTAGGTGAAAAAATAGAAAATAATGTTCTGGCATTGTAGCGGCAATGCACTGAAATCTTGAGCTTTTGAGAGGATTGTTGTGTAGTGTTTATGGCCTCGAAGTCTCTCCTTGGATAAGGACGATGTAGGCGATCTCTAGATCTCTTTGCAAAGTCTAGAGATCAATGAAATGGGTCGTCGAATCATCTCTGGTAGCTATCACCAAGTGGAGTAGAAAAACGGCGACTTTGTGGCTCTCTAGTGGCTATCACTTGATGGAGATGAGTTGAATGGATGTGGGGCAGGTGTCAAAGAGTTTCATCCTTAGGACCGCACAGTAAAAGGAGGCTTTTCATCGCATTTGGTATGCTCCTAGGAGGTGGCGACTCGTCTCGCAGTAGATCATCTTCTTCCCAATGACGACTTATTTATTGATCAATCGGAGATGATTTACTTGATGGATTCACGATCCTTTTATTGCGAATTGTTCAGCAATTTTAGTAACAATGCTCCGCGAATTGTGTTAATGAAATTTTCACCGATGATTCAACGATTCTGACAACTTAATCTTTCACCGGTGATTTGCAACAAAGTTATGATAATCAAATAAAAATACGAGTTTTGGCTTAGGGAAGATTTGA